GACAATCCAAATGCTTAACACATAGATTGGGTTGACGTCACGAATGGATATCTTAATTGAAAACTTCTTATAATGTTATTTTTAATTAAATGTTTTCTACTTAAACTTAACCTTTTCGGTTATTTCCTCGTACTTTTATTTTTGTCTTATTTATATGAATATCTATTTTCAAATCTATAAAGTGAAAAGTCCTGTTCTCTTTTTTCCAAACGGGTACACCACAAGAGCTGCCGCAAATAATCCGACACTAATACCGATAGATACTTCTACCATACTAACACCAAATGATAAAGACAAGGAATCGCTTCCACTATCCGAAGATGAAGTGGAATTTGCTTGAGTGATCTTGTTGGCAGACTTCACTCCAGATAATAATGTACTATGCGACGCTATACCAGAGGGAACTTGAACGAAAATCGCAGGTAACATGGCACTCACGGCCATTCCCTTAAAAATTCTTGAATACATGTTTCCTAGAATACCAACAATAAAAGCACCAATACAGGCAGTAAACTCAGTAACTTCACTAAAATATTTGCCTGCAAAATATGTTCCAACGTACCCAGTGCAGGATATTATAATCATAATCGGTAATTGAGAAAACGACGCCTGATTTATGAGTCCTAAAATGATTGAAAACATGGGAACAAACAAGATCTTAAACTTATCATTAATCTTATGCTCACATGTCAAATTCGTATCATGAACATGCCCCACCCAACCGAATAATGCGGCGCCTAAAGTGATCCCAAAACCTAAGAAAAGTGAATAAATTATTGCGTAAAACATTCTAACAGAACCAGCTACCAAATTTCTCGATTGCAACTCCAATGACCCGCAAAGGATAATATAACCTGGTAAAATTAACGCAAGGGCTCCTTGGGCTAAAGCAGAGAAGCAAAATGTTTTTCCACCGTTAATAGATCCTATACCTCTAGAGATAAATGATACGACAATCGAGGAGCTCACTTCGAAGACTGAAGAGTACAAGTTCGATATCGACGAAACAAAGTATTGAAGGTAACCAACACACAATCCAATTCCAAATACTACGGGAACATCATACCATCCACCAGAGAAAGCAAAGGGACAAACCAGCGCTGATCCAAGACCATAAAATAGAACGCACAACCATGGCGGATATTTGTTTTTGTCCTTCAAAAGCTGCTCTAGTTTTTGAGCCGCTTCCTCCACTCCAATTAAATCATGTATAACATCTTTGTAGATTTTGTGAGTGAAACTAAGTTTCGATAGGTTCAAGCCCTGTGCACACCTCACTAGATGAACTTCAGAAGTTCTAGTGGCAACATCACCAAACGAAATTATCATACAGCCAGGAAAATATATGAATTGACCATCAATTTCTAAGACTCTACTCGTCATTACCATATACTCTTCCAATCTATGAGTTGGGGCACCGAATAACATAAGGGCTTTGCACATTCTAATAATAAATCTCTGTCTTTGTAAGATATCTGCAATGTGAACGGTAATACGTAATCTCTGTTCTGCTTCTCTTCTATGTTGTTTGAGCTTTTTTGAGAATTTCGAAGGTGCCGGAACACTAGTGCCACTAGCTTTCTTAGGCCCCTTAGGACGTGCATTTTGAAAGGATGGCAACGCAGAAGCATCCATCTCATAGTTATTATCATCTCCATCATCACTACTATTATCAATATTCTTTGGATTCAAATGTTCTTCGCTGTTTCTTGAGCTTGAAGCTTTATTTCTATGATGGCCTAACTTGCTTGCCATATTAGCAACCAGCTTCGGGCCCTTCTTGAGACCACTTTTGAGCTCCGTGAAGTCAAAAGTACTAGTTCCTTTCTTATTATAAAGGTTATCATCGAAATCATAATCGGCCAATGTAGCCCCATCACTCATAGCAAGGCTAGATGATGATTTTATCTCCTGAGGGTTTTGATACAACTTTAGTAAAGAAGAAAGAACACCAGCATGAACCTTCTTAGGGGGCACAATACCTTCATGTGCTTCATCGAGTAAAAATTCGTCTTTCAAAGAATCGTCCGACTCGCCTCTCACATAGTAATCGGGGTTTGGGGCATAGAAAGTTTTATTTTTATCCTCATTATTGTTCTCCTTATTTCCAGTATTTTCTTGCTCTTTGTCCAACAAGTGAGCATCAGAGTCATTTTTTGAACTGTCTTCATAATCTGACACATCAGGAGTTGTGTTAGTCAAGCTATCAGCTCCTGGTATGTGAGCAGATATTAACTTTTTGGCTTCAGAATTCAATGAGTTAAAGTCGATTTTCTTCATTTCTATAGCTTCACCATCATTATCACTTAACCCGATATTCTTTTCTTCATCTTCTGCGCCTTCATTAGATCTTTGAGATGCGCCAGGTGCTAGACCACCGCCACTCATGCTTTGTCCACCAGCATTAAGAACCCGTCCTAAAAAGGTATCTGAGTTAGACATCTCATGGTCATCAAGTTGCCTGTCCGAGTTTGGATGTGCATGGTCACTCAAAGACATTTTTCTCAATATACTTTTGAGGCCCTTCACTCGTTCACCTGATCCAGATGAAGACGAAGATTTTCTCCTTTGATCTGTTATGTCCATTTCATTTTTGGCGGGTGGTGATGGCCCTTTCGACGGGGAAGATGCTTTTGAAGACAGAGACTTCTTAGACGAAGAAGACTTCGACGATTTCTTAGATGCTTTTGAGGAGGCTGACCGCGCATCATTATCATCATCGTCAGAGGAATCAGGAACATGGGATGGGAAGGTTTGAGCAGGGACTGCGTCCAGATCGACATCACTTTCTTCATCGGAAATATCTGGTGACTTTATATCACTTGGCTTAATTCTAAAGTCTGGCAAATCAGCTCGCTCGCTGTTGGGTAGAGAGATATCTGACGCAGATGAATTATTGGTATTTGATGATGTATTGCTTATTATTGACAGTCTAGCTCCACACAGATCCGGAAACCTCACTGATTTGGGCTGGCGAAGCTTTTTTCCTGCCTTTGACAAGTTGACTGTTGATGAGGTTTTAGCATTTTGCTTTCTATAATTGCTTAAATTCACAGCAGGTAGCTGTATGTGCGACTGAAACCCACCAGACTCATCCTCAGAGCTAGAAGAGCTGTCCCGATGGTGAAAATGGCCACTTGACATCTAAAATATCTGTTACGTGTACTTTTAATAACTTGCAACTTGATATTAATATTGTTATGGAAATCAAAAACACCTTTATCATTTACTTCAAATTCGTCTTTACTGTGAGATGTTAGAAATTAGGTTAGGTCCGATGATATCCTGTCTCATCCGGAATGTCTAGTATACAGTACATATTCGATTTACTTATCGCTAAGAATAGAAAAAACCCTTCAATTAGTGTAGCGCAGCAACAAGGAACGCGCGACATAACGCATGCACAGCAGTGGATTGTAAGAGCTCGAATAAACGGGGGATTTACTTTGAGATTACGTTTCACCTTATCCTGGGTGCCCCTAAGACGCAAGGTTCGTAGCAAAAAGTGATCTGATTGGTACGATCTTAAATCCTGGGTATACCAATTCCAAGATCTATCTTTACAAAACCTATACTATGTTGTAAGAAGGCAAGCTTTTTATTACATCCCGCGCATACTATACGCGCATCTACAAATGACCCTAACGAATTAGAAGGAACACTAATAAAGTACATACATATTTGGTCCCTAAACGGAATCTTCCCATTGAACACCGCACCATTCTTCGATATAAGCTACGTTGTTCTCGTCAAAATAGTCGTCTGGAATGAAATCCTCAACGTCCGTGCATACAATAATAGTGCCCCAAGCCATGCCAGCTAAAATGTCAGCCATAGTCACATCTTTGTCGCTTGATTCTAAATCCATAATAGCTTTGGGCATAAGCTGCAATTCGAATTGTCGCTTGGAAGAAGGGTTGTATGAAGGAGGCGCAATATTGATGTCCTGCGATGAGACGAATTTCGATGCAACAGAGTCTTTCCCACTATAGAGGAGCGGTCTACCACCAAGATCGTATCTTAATACCTGACCCGGATTGTGTTTAACTACATCGGTAAATGCCTGAAAATATTTATCATTCAATGCATTCGCCATTTTTGCTGTCAGAGGGTGCAAGTCTGATGAAATCGCATTCGACTTTCTTGAGCTACCTGATTTCTCAGGTTCGACTTCTGAGTTGATTAAGTGCTTATACTTTTCAATTTCTTTGTCAACGACATTTTTTTTTAAAGTCTCTTTTTCAACATATAGGAAGTACCCAGGATAAGATGGAATATTGCCTTCCTTTTCCTCCGAGGGAGCTCTTTTGGTCTTCTCGTTGCCATCCAAATGAGCTGATATCTCTGCGTAGGAAGGTTTTATCTCATTTATTTTTTCCTTCTGAGGTCCCTCACTTGGTGTCACAGATGCATTATTTGACCCTGAAATGAAAGGACTCTCGCTTGCAGTGCTCTTGAAAGGGTTCTCACTTGCAGAACTACCAAAAGGATTCTGAGTCGAACCGGAACCTGAAAACAAGTCTTTGCTAACATCAAATGAAATTTTCTTTTTGTTCTCCAAATTTAATATTTCATCCAACTCATTTTTCTTGACATTTTCCTGTTGCCCCTTAATTATCTCCATCTTTTTGGGATCCTTGCTTATTCCTCGTATGCATTTTATAGTTCCTTTCTTCTTGGAACACCTTGAAGTATTCCGGCAGCCAAATATGTACAAAACCCTATCATATAGCTTGTCATCCAAGGGCGCAAATGCCTGAAGCAAGAGGGCCATACGATCACCACAGTTATCACAACTTAATTGAGAATTCTTAGGACGTGACTTGGGATGTAACCATACCGGCTTGAATCCCATAAATGAATCCTCGAACGTTGGTAAATCAGCACTCGAATCTTCGCTTATTTTATCATCGACAAATCCTAAAAAGACGTTGGATTTCTTGCCCTTGTCGAAAATTTCTTCTTCGCCAGAAGAATAGTCTTCATCTGAACTCATATTCTGAATTAACTGAACTTTATCATATTTTGAGAGATAAAGTGCAAATTTTGATGCTGTAATTTGGTTATGAACGCGGGTTTTTCCTATTTACACTATTTACTATGTACAATCAAAGATACCTGGGATGACTAATTTCTTCGAAAACTTCTATCTTGTCACCACTTTCAAATTTGTCCCAGTTCTCTAGCGACAACCCACATTCTGAGCCTTTGTTAGCTTCAGATATATCCGTCTTTACATGCTTTAATGATGATAATATTCCTGTATATATTACCTCTTCTCCCCGAATCACTTTCACCTTTGAAGACCTTTTTATGATACCTGAGGCAACTTTGCAACCTGCAATTTTAATTTTGGACTTGTTTTTTGCAGATATGTAAAAGATATCCTTTATTTGGACTTCTCCTAAAACCTTTGTTTCTATAATAGGCTTTAAATGAGATGAGAGTTCATTCGTTACGTCCTCAATCAAATGGTAGATAACGTTGTGACTTTTGACCGTAACTCCTTCTTTGTCTGCTTTCTTTAAAATTTGCAGAGGAGTTTTGATATTGAAGCATAATATCAGAGCGTCTAGCGCCTTCGCCAAGTCAATATCAGATTCAGATGGAGGGCCTGTACTATGAGAAACCACATGCGACTTTACTTCATCAAAGTCGAGGCCATCGATGCTCTCTTTAATTGCCTCGGCGGAGCCGAAAACGTCTGCTTTGATCATGTAGTTCACTTGTTCCGTTTCATTTTTCTCTGATTCATCTTCAAGAGATTTAGTCTCAATCCCGGCCATCTTAAGTTCATTGAGCTTTTCTTGTCTTTTAGATTCTTCGATTATTTCTTGCGTCTTTTGATTGATATTTTCAATATCCCTTGTGGCTTGAATACTCCTGTGATTAGTAATTCTATGTTCAACAACCTTTCTAGCGGTTTTTTCATTTTTTGCAAGTAATATTTGATCGCCACTTTCTGGTAGCTCCTTCCATCCCCAAATTTGAGCAGCTATAGATGGACCACAAGACTTGATGAGTTTGCCATTTTCATCCTTCATTCCTCTTACTTTACAATAGGTTTTACCAGCAACCAAGAAATCACCGACTTTTACAGTCCCACGACGAACAAGCACAGTTGCAGCATTTCCTGTTCCCTTTTCTACTTGTGATTCAATCACCCACCCTTCGCTTTGAACACCGGAAAATTCTGCCTTGAAGTCTTCTAGTTCACTAAGAGTGATAACTGCTTCTTCCAATTTATCCATGTTAAGGCCAGTCTTACCAGACACTCTTACTGTCTGAACTTCTCCTCCATAGTCCTCAATATCAATCCCATGTCGAGATAAATCTGCTAGTACTTTATCAACATTGATTCCTGATTTATCGCATTTATTAATGGCGACTATTAGCGGGACTCCTGATCTCTTGGCGTGCTTGATTGCTTCAATTGTTTGAGGCATTACTGAATCATCGGCAGCAACGACTAAAATGATAATATCGGTAATTATAGCACCCCTTTCCCTCATCTTTAAAAAAGCAGCATGTCCTGGTGTGTCTAAAAATGTTATCTTTTTCTTCGATATTGGCGTAATGACTGAAAATGCTCCAATGTGTTGGGTGATTCCACCAAATTCCTTTTCCACTATTGAGGACTTCCTCAAGTTGTCCAAGATTGTGGTCTTTCCATGGTCAACATGACCCATTATTGCAACCACTGGTGGTCTCTCCTTAAGTAAATCAGGCTTAATCGGCTCCGGAAACAAATCATCTTCGTTACCTTCATCAATAGTTACGACATTAAAGTTGAATTCCTCTGCTATCAAAGAAGCATTTTCTTTGTCTAAAATATAGTTATGTCTTATGTGTTCAAAACCCAAATCATCTAGCTTTTTGAATGCCTCAGCCAATGGGACATGCATTATAGTAGCCAAATTTGAGACGCTAATAAATGAGGGAATTCGAATATCAATCCTTGGACGATCCTTCTTTAAAGACTCTTTCTTCGTCGCAGAAGCTTGATTCCTTTTAGGATTGAATCTTGAATTAGAGTTGGGTAGAGTTTTTTCTTTTTGTCTTAGCCTCTCTTTGACTTGTAAATATTGATTATGTCTCTTAATATTAGTATCTTTTTCTTTTTCAGATTTTCTAAGGTTGTCTCTCTGGGCACCTATATCTCCAATTGTCTTTGACTTAAATGATTTCATTCCGTTCTGAGAATACTTCTTAGCAAATCTATTCGTCTTTAATGAAGTCTTTGGCCCTGAAGAAATTTCCACATTGGAGTCAACTGCTTTGTTCTTGTTAGTTATTCTCGAACCAGCATCTGGAACACGAGGTAAGCTTTTCAAAAAGTCAGAATAGTAGCGTCTTGCATTTTTCTTGAAGCAAAGACTTGCTATTCTTAAAGCTGAATAGTTGATCATACTCTGTACGTATTACTAAATTTATTCAAAGCTTAGATAAATTTTCACAATATGCGACAAGAAAAAAAAAAGTAGTTCAAAAAGAGAATCATTTAAGTACTGAACTACAGAAACTCTAATGACTAATATGTAGTGGACAATATGCAATAGAACAATACGTAAAGAAATTAACTACTCAGGCGTATTTATAGTCGCCGTTCGATGAAACGAAACCCATAGACTTAGTTTCACTCAAAGTTTCAATTAATATATCGATATCTTTGAAGTTTCGATCATCACAAGCAAAATTACGATGGCGATTCGAGCTTATATGATCTTCAAAGTTATCATACTTGACCCGACAATTCTCGCAATATCCTGGTCTGAGATCTCTTTCCTTTTCAGAATCAATGCTCTTCTGTTGCTGTTTTTTCATTATAATTCTTCTTTTTAGGTTATTAAGGTTTTTAGAGGGAACTTGAGAAATTGTTGGCCCGAGACCATTGCCCTGAATGGCATTGCTATTGAGATTCGAGTCAACTGAGAAATTATTAGCATTTGATGCTCCATTATATCCTGAAGCGGCGAGGTCAAAGTATTTTGAATTTAGAGGTTGCACACAAGATGAATTTCTTAGCAATGGAACCTGATCTCTTAACGTTATATTAGTAGGATTGTTAGAAGCGCCAATTTTCTGTTTAATGATAGGATCATTTTGGTCTGAGGTCTTGGTAATCCCATCATCACCATTATTATCTTTTGTATTAAAATTACTATTCTGACAATTCGCATCAGATTGTTGTATCACTGTGCTCTCATCGTCGTTATCTCTATCGGTACTTGTACTCGTACCATTTATGCCAGTCCCACTGAATGGGGTTCCTTCTTTAATATCATTTATGATCTCATTAGTAGCCTTTTTTAGAAGTTGTCTATACTCTTTTGTTGCTTGAAACTTCTGTGCTCGGCGAGCTTTTTTTCGTTCACTGTTTTCAGATGTATCGGGAATAAAAGGACATTTGCCGTCCAATGTTAAACTCAATACTGGAACGGAATCCTCGCTCCATTCTCTTATTGCAATGGGCCTCACTTTTTGTGAAAGGTCATACGAGTATAGATAGTTTTTAGTAAAATAATGGAAGTCATCTCTCTTCGCCGTTGGATCACGGTCGGTTGTACCAAATATCTTTTCTTCTTTCAATAAATTGTACAAATTAGCATCATTGGAAGTCGAACCATTTCCTTTGCTCGTTGCAACATTTTGATCCAGAACCCCTAAATTCTTCAAGAATCTGAATACCTTATCATAATCCCATACTTTTGTCTTTAAACTAATAGCATTAGAAAAGATATCGTTCGAAGAATATTGCTTACTTGCTTTAAATGGTCTGCGGCTAATGATAATAGTTACATTTGAGTCATAAAATGAAGAAATCGTGCAACCGACCTGTTTCAAGGCCTTTGCCGCCTTTTTATATTCACTATGCTGAGATGGATCGTGCTCCTCTACTCCTTCAAAATACACAACAGACTCCTTCATTATTTTTCTCCACGACTGTTGCCAGTTGTACAACTCCAAACCAGCTAGTCTAGATGATTTCGAAGACTGCTGGTTTGCGTTTTTTGTGGCTTCTAAGGAAGGCTTACCATGGATCTGCAAGCTAACAGCCAGATTAGAATGTTTTGTGAGTTTTTGTTTTTTCAAAACTGGCGACGGTACATTATTGTTCGTCTCTTTCAAAGGAAGTCGAGTCGATGTACTCTGTTGTGAAGCCATAATTTGGTTCTTCTTTTTCCTAGTACTTATTGAATCCATATTTCCATCCTATTTAACTTCTAAAATGCAATTGGTGTATGTTGAATCAGAGATTAAAAAAGTAAACAATGCAATGCCAAAAAAAAAATAAAAATTTAAGTAGCTCGCTTACAAAATTAATTGCTCTCTTCGTAACTTTTCACCAAAGTATCTCTCAATCGCTTCAGCTGAAAGAAAGAGCCTCTTTATTGGTATTGAGTTAGACGCTGATATGTGATATTTTTATTTTATTCAGATATCGGTTATTAGTTAACGCGTACTACACATTAAAAGTATCACAAAACGACTCAATGTAAAATGTAGTGAGCGTGCTTTCGGCTTAAGATTTTGAAGGATTATATACTGGTGTATCAAACGTATGTCACTGAGATAAGTAGTGGATACTGGTTCCTTATTGTGTTCCTTATTGTTTGAAAGGTTTTTTTGAAACTCAAGTCTTTTATTCTCGAGCTCCAAAAATTGTCAAAAGACAAGGTGTGTTTTAAAAATATCCTTTGTATCATACAATAATGCTTAAAGCGAAGCAAATATCAGAAATACTATCACAAACCTTGCTGCCGATAGATCAAGAAATAGAATCTACATCAAACTCACCTCTTGCGGTCTCATTATTATCAAGCGAGGGTTTACCTTTGGATACTATAATAAATACTGAGCTTCTCCCAGAACACAACATAGTAAATTTATCTATTGATTCACTCAAGATATATTCTTTAATAGCCATAAATCAACTTGAAGAACTGATTGAGAAAACAAAAGACTCACTTGATGACTGGCAGGTTCTCGAATTAGACAAAAATATTAGTTGCATAGTCCAGAGAGTGTTATATTCAGACTCTAAAGCAGAGGGTGACAATCTTTATGCAATTTTATTCTACAGTAAATTGTTTCCCAAACCAGTTGCTAAGTTAAAGTTAGATAATTTAACTAAAGCTTTGAGCGAAGGGTTGCGAGGTTACCATAAGACTGAGTAAGGCATAAGACTGATAAGAATTTTGACTACACTGGTTCATTTCGGACCATCTAATCAGCTGGCTATATATTAAAATAATATTAAATGAAAATAGAATATGAGTAATTCCAATAGGAACTATCTCATGTATGTATTATGGAAAAAAGAACTAATGCATAATAAAAGGAGATGATGGAGTCTATATTTCCTGCAAAAACTCGTTCATAGATTCGTACTTAGTGAACACATTCTCAATAGATGTTAAATCTTGCTTGAAAAAGTTCATTTTCCTACTAAATCTACGTCATCATCCTCTTCCTCTTCTTCCTCGTCGTCATCATTATCTTCCATATCATCCATTAAGCTCTCTTCATCAAAGCTTTCTTCTTCTTCACTATCATACCAGAAGTCTTCATCAACAGGATCTTGTTCTATGTCTTTACCAGGAAGATTACCATTAGAATATGCAAATAATTCGGATTCAGGAGTGATGAAATCTTCTGGTATGTCGGCTTTGGATCTTTCAACTTCCTGCAAGACCTTCTTTTTGTACGCTTCAGGATTTTTTCTTAATTCGACGGAAGCGTCAATATTAGCAGGAGATGAAACGTTTGGATCCTCCAACAACGAAATGATGGAAATCAAAACAGATTCCACAGTCTGTGCGGGAGTCCAAGTCTCGCTATCGGGTTCTTCTGATGTAGGATCACCACCTTGATGTAATATTGAAATACATAAGCGCCCATCTCTGTAGACATTCGGGTGGTAGATGGCAGGCGTAAATCTGAAGGTTGGAGGGGAAAAAGGAAAATCGCTGGGAAATCTCATTTGACCTTTGAAATAGCCCCCATGGTACATAGAGTCTTTGTTCAATACCATTATTCCAATATTCCAAAGGAAGATGTTGTCATCATCTAACTCAATATGAAAAGATGGAATCCCCTTTTTAGGGTCAGTCAAGTCCTTAAATTGTCGCTGTAAGATGGCTGCCGCTGACTTTGAACTCATCTTGGAAGGCCGGGTATAGTTCGTGTGGATATCCTTAGTTTACTTATAATTAAGACAAAGGTTAAATAATTAGTTGTACCTAATTCAGAAGAAATGGGATATATATAATCAAAATAACCGCTATCATCGTAGCGATTATTAACCGAAAAAGAAATATGTGTAATAACGACACAGAGAAATAACCTGCAAATTCATTGAAACAACAAAAAAATATTACAGCATAAATGCAGGTTAGCACAAAACCCAAATAATATGAGATTACGTTGCTAAAAAGGACGTCGATTTGATTGGAAGATCTAGAGCAAGTACATAAAATTACCACAACTAAGTGAATTTCTCTGGGTCGATAGGAATATAGTAACAATGGATTTTGAAGAGCAATTGGAAAAGGCTGAGAGACTTGACTCGCCTTCCTTAGTCGGGTCGTCTCTCAGATCTGCAGACGATTCACCCCATAATAATTATATTCATCCAGAAAAATATAAGGCAGCTAAAAAAGGCAAGCCAAAGACAGGAAATTCGAGTCTAAGCCATTTAACAGCTTCTTTAGATGATCTAATGACTGAAGGTGCTCTATTGGGCTCGGAAGAAGGCTTTGAGAACTATTTGGATGATCAAGGAAATGTTAAAAAGAATGCTATCTACCAACAAAAGCAAGACGCGAAAAAAAGGAAAGAGGAAAGTAAGCTTTTTGAATCTAAAGGAAAGTATACATCCTCGTCTGATATTGACGCTGCGAAAATCCCAACGGATAATCTTGCTTCAGCTAGAAAGGACTTTTCTGATGATGAATCTGAAGAAGAAATGGACAGTGGTGAAATTGGGAGTAGAAGGCATAAATCCCCTTCTCAAAAAAAGGATAGTGCCCCGGCTGCTAAGAATTCCATATATGGTCATTCTGATTTTTCAACCCCTAATTTATCGGAATATCAACTTGCCCATGATATTAAAGACCATAATGACTTTCTTAACAATGTACAAACCCGCGACCCACACCTCTTGCCTAAGTCAACTGAGAGAGAGAGAATTACTAAAAAGGATTCTTTTCCGACGAAACCACTTCCAACCTTTGCTGTTCCTGATGGTCGTGAATCAGGTGGTAGTGGTTTGAACTTTGCTGAGAGCATGCACACGCCATATTTCCATACTGAGCCCCAAGAAGAATCCAGATCAAGATCTAGGTCAAGATCTGCTGTTTCTTCTCATGCTGATAGGTCAAGATCTTCGTCAGCCAGACCTCATTTGGCTCGTGGAGATTCCTACAAGAATACCAATATTGACGAACCATCTAAATATGAGTTACCGCCAGAGTTTGCTGCTTCTACCCAAGATTTGAAAGAGGAGGATGAAGATAATGACAGATTACCAAGACAGGCTAGGCCAACAATGGGTGAGTCCATCGCGGCTGCAGAACGTGAAAGATCGGAATCTGTTACAACTGATCCTTCATTGGTTACAACTGGCGATTACACAAATTTCGATGTAGACAGGCCAAAACCCTCATATGACCCAATTAACTGTTCATCAAGATCTCAATCTTCAACCAATTACCTAAGATCAATTTCTCGTTCTCGGTCAAGACAACCCGAGCCAAGGGAAGATGAGAAAAATGATGCTGATACAACTGAATTGGCAAAAGAAGGTGCTCTCCTTACAGATGATCCGTATTCTGGTATCGATCGGTTGGACACAATGGTTGAAGAAGTTCTTCATTTAAAGGAGGGAGATTCTGAAGAGAATCACAATTCTGATAAGTCCAAAAATCCTAAGAAAGTAGATGAAAAAGATTCACATCAAGTAAAAAACTCCGAGGAACCTACTGATGCCTTAAAGAATGTAGAAATTCCTGTTTCCGACGTCCCAATTGAGATCTCTAAAAATTTAGTATCTGCTGGCCCCGAAGAGTTGGCAGATTTGACAGCTAACACTTCGGATTTGAAGACGGTAAAAGAGGACGAAGAAGAAAATTACTCGAATCCGAAATCTTTTAATCATGAGGTGCTGAAAGGGAAAGCTCACAACGAATATGAAAATGCTAATGATACGAATGTACCTGAAAAAGAGTTGAATAATCTGGGTTTCCTAGACTCGGAAGAAAAGCCAGCTCGAGATGTATCTAAGGAACATCATTCCTTTTTGGAATCCAACGATATCGAAAAGGATGGTGATATTGCTGATGGACTGCCGCCGTTGGCTGATATCCATTCAGAGCGCAACGTGAAAAACTTGAGTGATCATGATACTCCCGAAGATGAGAAGATAGAAACTTTGAAGAAGGAAGATCTCCCTTTGGATTCAAGGGAAAATGAAAACGCTTCAAAATCAATTGCAAATGTCGATAATGAGAGCAATCAAGTTACTCCAACCATTAACCATGATGAAAGCAATGCTGAAACAAATGAGGAACAAGGTAACGCGGAAAATTACAGTAGCGCAACTCTTGCCTCTGAAGACAAGCAATCTGAAGAAAATGAACTAGAGAATTTGAAACAAGACCATGAATCTGTTCAAAGTGAAGTCAGCAAAACTGAAGATTCTCAGGACATTGAGCGAAGGGATGACTTGGCTGAAGCTGATCAATATCATAAAAAGGATAAGTCTGAAACTATTGAAGAGGATGGCGGGGTCATTAGCAAGGAAGAAAAGTTATCTGATACCATTAACGAATCAAAATCAAAGTCTGATATTACTACTTTAGAAACGGCTCCTAAAGATCGGTCTAAGAGCATGGAGGACGAAGATGATTTAGATGCCATTGACGTTTCTCCTGAAGATATACGGAAGCATTTAGAATCACAGCCAGTGTTTATATATACATCATTGGCTGGTGGTATGCAGATAATGAATAAAACAAATCGCTTAACAACTATTCTAAATGCTAATGGCATAAAATTCAGTTATCGAGATTTGGGTACTGACGAAGAAGCGAAGAAGATTTGGAGGCGTCAAAATAATGGGAAGACACTTCCAGGTGTAGTAAGAGGCGATGATTTAATTGGCAATTGGCAAGAAATTGATGAAGCTAATGAAGAATATAAACTACAAGAGCTTATTTATGAAACTCTTTAGAAGAGAACTATATTTTTTTGGATTCCTTTATGATTTTATTTTATGTAGTGATCAATATATACTTTACATAATGAGCAATTTTTTATAATCATTGCATAGTAGCTCAACCCATGCATAAGCGCTCTCTTGCGTCTGTAAGTAACTTTTCTCAGAGCCATTCATTAGCTTAAAGAGACGAAAACACCATCTTGATGACACATGGTTAATTGAACTGATTTTTGGGGAGGGTATGGTCTGTCATCCTTAGAAACTAAGTTAGGAAACATTTGTACCAACCTTGTGATAACATAGCTTGCCTCTGTCAAGGCAAACTGTTGCCCCAAGCAGATTCTAGGTCCACCATTGAAGGGAACATAAGCCCATCCTAGTCTCTTAATATCAGCCCATCTTTCTGGTCTGAACTCTAACGCATCCTTTCCATAATATTCCTCAAGTCTGTGAGTACAGTACACCGAATAGGCAACAGTTGTACCTTTACCTACGTAAACAGGAGATTGCTCATCTGGCCCACCGCCTCTAGGTAATGTAGTCGTTTTAGTGGCAACCCTAAAGTTTATTGGCACAGAAGGGTATAATCTGAGAGCTTCATTTAAAACAAACTTTAAATATTCGCATTTTTTCATTGATTCGAAGGTTATCGCTTCGATATCGACATTATCACCTGATCCAAAGTGATCATAAATTTCTTCTTTCAACTTTTCCCAAATTCTTGGATTCCTAGCCAATTCAAAAAAGGTGAATGACAACAAGCCAGCAGTGGTATCTCTTCCAGCCAATAATATATTCAATAATTGATCCTGCAACACTTTGGCATTCCTCGTTTGTTTGACCAACTCATATAAAAAGATATATCCATCCTTCGACTTTTTATCCAATTCATCTTGCGAAGTGTTCAAAGCCTTGTCCACATAGTATTTGCAAAACTTGTGAACCTTTGCATTATTACTCCTGAATTCTTTGTTGTTAATAAGGAAGTATAGAAACTGAGAATAAGCTCTAGAACTCAAGTACTGCTGCGATACATTGAATGATTCAGCAAAAGCTACTTTCCCATCAAAATCTAAGGGTGCTGGTAAGCCAATCTTTTCGTCATATAACGAATGAACTGATTCACCAAACAAAAATTCTGTGGCAGTGTCAACAGTCAATTTAAAGAATAAGTCTTGGATATTAATGGTATCGCCTTCTGCTAATTTGATATGTTTAGCGAAAACTTGTAAGTGTGGCTCAAGGGACTTAACATGAGCAACCTGTTCCCTGGCGAATTGAGGTCTAAGCATGGCTCTTGAATGTTTCCAGCCCTCACCATCTAAAGTAAATATACCATCCCCTAACAATGGCTTGAAATGTGCGTGCCTCGTCCCGAGAGCGAAGTCATTGAATTGAGTTGCTAATACAGCCTTAATGTTTTCGGGATCATTGGTTACTACGACCCTTACTGAAGCCAAACGCAAATACAAAGTGTCCTTACCTGCTGTATCGAAAATCTCTTTGATATAATCAACCATGCGACCTTCCGACTTTTTCTTCAATATCTGACGTAACTGAGGAATACAAAAATATGGAGTGTCTAGTTTCGTGGCTTCTTTACATCCATGCTTTTTGACAAAACTTTGATACTCAATAAACGAAACAAGAAAATAAACCACGGCTGCCGCCGTTAATATAACATACCATTTGGAAGCAAATGGTAATATTTTGTCCAATATCTCACTCATTTTCTTATAATTCTTTCAGAGAAACCATAAAACTATCGACTGTAGGTGAATGACAGTTATTCAAATAGGTTTCAGCTAGAGTTCCATGTGAATTATGTTCCTGCATGTCCCCACCCTCATCTCAAATCATTAAATGCATTCCCCGCTGTTTGAAAACATCCACGAAATCAGTGACGTTGGATGCATGCGCCAAGTAAGTCCGATGGGGCCGTAGAACATAAAGTCCTTCGCTGATATTTGAATAATAGTTCTATTACTCTTAAAGAAACTGTACGTATGTATCTCAAGGGTCTTTGGATAAAACGATTTCTTCCTTATAATACAATATCTGCGCGCTTCGGCGGGAATGATGTATTATCCGGCATATGTAAGAGAAGTATGCAAGTGACGGAGATATAATAAGGGAAGCGAAGCGTAGCTCTAACGTGATCGGACTTCAAGTGCGGACACAGGAACGAGTTTTGTTTAATCCTATAAGCACATACGTATTATGTTTGTCAACTTATAACAGACGTGTATCGCAGAAACGTGGAGCTTTTGACATGTGAAAACCTTTTGAGGCAATGTTAAAAAACTAATGTGTTTTGAGCACGAACCCTAAACACTAAATCACAAGATATGAAGCAGTCATATGAGAAAAGAACTTAGCTTTTAGAAGCAAAAAGCTGTCTATTCGAATTAGTGTTAAAGAAGACAGGTTTCGAACACAGAAGCCTTGTAGTTGAAGCTTCTGCATAATCAATTGTCACAAATCGAGCGGAGTAATTCTAATTTTTGGCCAATAGATTACCGTAATGTGCATAAGAAGTTCCATGAGTTTATGGATGCTGAGGTCGAAGCGAAGTCCGCTCAATGTATTCTTTTCTACATGTCTCGTCTTCAAACGATATATCCAAATCGTCCTCAGATGAGTCTGCTTCAGCGCTTAATGTATGCATTTCTTGCGTACTAAGTTTTTTCGTTTTCAGATCGTTTGGTATTTTGTGTTGCGTTTTATTCTTGTACTCATTAAATGATTTTTGGTTCTTTTTCCATTTCTGAATTTTGGAAGAGTGCATCTCGGGAGAAGTCTCCAAAGATTTAGATGACTTCAAACTCAATTCATAGAGCTCCTTTAAATCTTGAGATTTCTTGTGTCTTTTATCCTGACCTGAAGCTTGAGCTATTGGATTGAATCCTAGCTTATTTAAAGTTGATGGTGTAAAGGCTCGCGTGACACACTCCGACTCCTTTGGAGCAGTACTCTTCACCAATCCTAACTTTCTGACCGTTGAATTTCCAGAAAGCAGAGAAAGCTGCTTTTCCAATAGCTTATTGCAAGCTTGGTCCTTAAGCTTCCTTCTTTTCTGCTGCAAATTCTGAAGAATACTTGGACTGTGATATTTCGATCTATCAATTGGTATACCATCCAGAGTATAAACTTTTGAATCCTCATTAATTGTTTTGAAATCTATAAATCCACCCTTACCATCTTTATTTAGATACATTGACTGTTTCTTTTGACCCCGACGTGGTGACTTCATTTGAACACTGCCACTAAGTTCCATTCGTGAACTCTGCTGTTTCCTATACCTCATTTCCAAATGATAGACGCACATCAGAGACTTGCTTGTATTAATGGGCTTATTACACTTTATATTACTCAGATTCATGGCTGAACAATACCCAAAATGCTTAATAGAGCCTATTTCAAGGATAGAGTCTAAGTCATCACATATTCGTAGATTAAAACCTTTGTAAGGCGGTGTGAATTTATTGATCTGCGGATTCAAAATAGCCACCAAATCACCCTCTTTAAGTTTCCAGTTTTTCTCAAATGCTTTACCAAAAAACATTACATCCACTGTTTGGGAAAAGTTTCCAACCGATACCTTCAAAAACTTTTTTCCATCTTTTCCTTGCTTGGGATCTGACTTGTGCACAATGAAACCCAAGAATGCCCAATTTTCATAATCTGGATCGTCATATCGTGGCGGAGAAACTTTTGCCAATAATTTCTCCACCTTAAGTAATCTTACATGCTTTAACAAGCTTTTTAAGGCCTCTTCTTTCAAGTATCTCTTCCTCAAATGCTCATGACAGAGATCATCAAATTCTTCGACGTCTATATCTGCTCTTCGTGGTTTATCTTTGAATTCGAATACTCTATTTTCGAAATCAATTTTTTCACGATCGCCTTTGTAAGAATCGTATAGATGGCTTATAAAGTTAGAATTTTTGACAACGTCTGCTTTCCAAGAGTTTGATGGCTTCTTCGATTGAACGTTGGTGGTTGTTTCAGGAATGCTCCTGTTATGTCCTTGAATCGGTGAAGATGGTATCTTAGTAGCTGGTTTCTCGATTTTCTTCTGCGGTGAGTTAAGAACCTGCCTTCTTGTTTGTTGTTCATGCTGCCGTTTCTTGTACTCTTTGTCGGCCCTCTTTTTCTCCAAAAGCTGTTTCAATTTTATCTCATACTCTTTTTGCAAGTCTTTCAACTCATCTGATGAGTTGTCTGTGAGCTCGTCAAGTGAGTTGTGATCTTCATACCTCGGGTCTTCCATTTATTGCAATTGCATACCTTTTTATGGGTATGACAAGACAGCTGAATATACGCGTAAATCTGACTCTAGAGCAGAAAATTAAAAATTGCGAATGTCAATGAAGAATTAAAGATCTTCGATTATCAATCGAACCTCACTTTTCCAGAATAAACATGGCTAGAGTGAGAAGTAAATCACTTGTGAAAAAAATTGCAGCTGATATTCCCTCATATCAAAATGAAAGGCAGGATGAAACTAAAAATGCAGAACAGGTAAAATATAAGATTGTAAGATCCAAATCAATGACATCTTGTGGGATCCCAAAGAGACATGTAATAGAGAGGACATATCCATTGAGTAAGAGCGAGTTTGAGACGCTTTGGATGGAGCATATAAGTGATTTTAATGTCGGAATGGTCTTGTCTGAAGAATCTATCGACAATATAGAATTATTGAAGAATAATGATTTATTGACTTTTAAAGAAAATTGTGAAAGAAATAAAGACAAAATTGAACTGCTTGTGAGGGATACAGACATTGTTCTCGAATCTTTGGGACGCTTGCTCTCGTCCTACGAAAAAATTTGGAATGAGACTTACGAGTTTGATTCGGAATCTACTAAGTTAATAGAGCTTCAACAAAGTTATAGTTCGAAAGCACAAGACATAGAATCCTATTTGAAAAACTATGAGAACTTGGATTTCATAACAAAAAATTTATCCGCTCCTGGAATAAAACTCGTAAGGAGGCCCCTTTTTCAAGAAATCTTACGAAGATTGGGAGAATCCATACAATTTGTTGATGCTCATGAGGATTTCAAGGACATTGATTTTTACAAAATTAAATTTAGGCAGTGTATGACAAGGTCCTTGACGTTAATTAAAGATTACTTATTGAATGAGTTGAGAAACTTGAATGCTCTGATTAATGCCAAGTTAAGCAAAAACGTCTCGCTCGAGCTCTTATCTTATAGTGGATTCAGTACTTATTTGGAAGGTTCGAATTTCAACAGTTTAATTAACGAAATAATTAGTAGATCATTAAATCATAAGGAATACATCGGTTTAGTCAACGATGTGTTGAATGCATATTTCAAAATGAGAATAAATTTGACTAGAAGTTACAATTTATTATCAAATAACATAGATCTCGTTCAATTTTGCCAGGACAAGATTTCGTTTGCTAAGAAGTTAATAGAAAGAGAATTTAACTTATATAAAAAGCTATTCGGCAATGGTGAGTTACCGAAATTTGTCAGCGATAGGTTTTACGAATTTTCTAAAAACCTACTAGATCCCTTTTATGATGTTTTAAGAGAAAATATATTGAAGGAAACAAATATCTCAAAATTGTGTCAGTTGACAACTTTGCTTCAAAAGTACTATGAATTTGAGGAAAACGAAAATGAAATTGACTTTGGCGACTTGTTTCATCCTATTTTGGACGATGCTCAGTCAAGGTTGATTTTTAGAGTTCAAAACTACGTCGACGGAAAGCTAAAAAATTACAAACCAAGTTTGGTGGATTTAAAGATTAGTAACAAGAGGAAATCTGATACGAGTGTCGATCTGCTTGACGTAGACTACCCCGAGAACTTATTTAAAGATGTCTATTTGCCATTGGGAAAAGCGCTTACACTACTTTCAAATATCTATGAATTGATAAATTCGGTGGTATTTGATGATTTAGCTCATTATATCGTTCATTCATGCATATTGTTGTTGAAGAACGAGTTCTACAAACTATCAATGGCTCACCTTGGTCCTATTGATACCAAGCTAAATTATTTGAAGCAGCTTATCATTTTAAAAGCTCAGTTGAATAACTTTGATATACAGTACGTAAGAAATGATTATTCAATTGATTTTTTGAGTGGATTTAACGATATTTGGAATGATATTAGAAATGGTCACGTATCGTTTAATAACAATGGCCTTATTGAACTTGCTAAAAAGTCAGTACCTAAGTTAATAACAAATATGATTGATGCTAATTATGAGATTGAATTTGAATTAAACAATGCTATCAATGATTTAATTTCGAGTTGTATTAACATTATATGTGAGCCAATTTTAGTGAACAGCGCAGCTTCGCATCCATTAGAAACCAATGCTGCTTTCAAAAATAGCTTGAAGGAAAGGTTTCCGGAATTTGTGAAAAAAATTCAACTTTATATCGAAGATCCTAATATTAGGAAGTTTCTTTCTAATAACTTGATAAATTTGATAGTAATCAGTTACGATAACTTTCGCATAACCTTGGATCACAAATACAATCAGAGCGATTCTGATTTGAATGAACTTTCCGAAATTATGGAGACGGATGAATTGATAAGGTTTTTGGAAGATTTAAATGAATCATTACAAGACACTGAACCAGAACCTCCTCAATTTAATGAAGAAATGTTAAAAGATTTAGTTATAGAAAACCCATAATTAAGTAGGCTTTTGCTTTAGTATTACGATACTCTCATTTCAACTCAAAAGGATCGTAAATATTTTTAGATAGTAGCCTATTTAATTCAGTTTTGACACCTTGAACTTGATCCTGCTTTATGAGCAAATGAGTTTCGTCTAATTCATCCAAAACTATTCCAGGTGTCTTCGAGTCAATTTGCATAATAAGTGCCTTAATGGAAGGATCACATTGTACCAAGATACCCTTTGTGGCAGTAGGCATCCTTCGTGTTTAAGTTCTCTTCTTGCGTTCCGCTGAAGTTGGACCTTTTTTTTTTGGGATTACAGGTAACTTATTATAAATGTTATAATATGCAGGAGATATATGAAAGTCACTTCTGTTTAACATTTGCGTATTTTGAGTACATGCCATTTGCAGTGAAAGTATGGTGAAAATACCACATAAGGAACTCGAGGATCAACAACATCAGGAAGATGTTGAGAGTGATACAGACAGACGCACCATTGATACAGAGCATTCGATAGATGGTACTGAAGAAGACGACGAAGAAACCTCACCGCCAATATTCAAGTATACAAGGTTGACTCAGATTCCTGCCACTTTCTTTCAAAAGGACCATATATCAATGTGTAACTTTCATGAGTCAGTGTTTCTTTTTGCGACCCACTCAGGTGTAATTCATATTACTGATATATATTTCGCTCCGATAAGAACATTTAAGGCCCATAGAGCTTCAGTGCTATCGCTTTATACCGATGGGAAATTTTTTGCCAGCGGTTCAATGGATGGCACAGTAGTAATTGGCTCAATTTATGATGAGAAGGATATAATAGCTTATGACTTTAAGAGACCCGTACATTCTGTGGTTCTTGACCCAAACTACCCAAAAAGCAGGTCTTTTTTCAGTGGAGGGATGAATGGTAAAGTAATATATTCGAGTAAAAATTGGTTGGGACAAAAGACAGATGTTGTGATTGATGAAGGAGAGGGCCCCGTTGTCTCAATTCATTTCATAGATGATTTATTAATCTGGATGAATGATAGAGGGATAACTATTTATCATTTTTCATCAAGAAAGACCATGGCAGTAATTGATAAACCTCAAGATTCACCCAGAGGTGACTTATATTGGCCAAAAGTGAGTTTTCCCGAAACAGACAGGATACTAGTTGGTTGGGGCAACTATGTTTGGTCTCTAAGGATATCTATTAAAACAGATGATCACTCTAGTAGGATTATTCCGTCAACGGCCACAATTTCATTTAGATCAGTCCAAGAAAAGGAAATTCAAGTAGAGCATGTATTTAAACTAGACTTCTTAGTATCTGGCATTTTGAGCTTCAGAGATGATTTGTGGATGCTCCTTTCGTATGAACCACCATCGAAAAATGTCGAAGGAAAATTAGCTTTCCACTGTCCTGATCTCAAGTTGATAAATTCTTCAACGGGTGAAGTTGTCTTCGAAGAAGAAATAGGGTTGAGAAATATTGATAATTTAGGACTTAATGACTACATGTTGGGTTGCCATTTAGATAGTACGTCAAGGCACTTTATTTTAAGTGCTACAGATGGTGTGGTGGTTGAGGAGCTCCAATTAATCGATAGAGTGAATTGGTACATCGAGAGAGAAAGGTATCTTGATGCTTGGGAGATTAGTGAGCACTTACTTTCACCAATCAAACGATTAAACATTGGTATTCAGTATGTTGATTCGTTATTAAAAGACGATAAATGGGATGAGGCTAAGCAATTTCTTGAAAGTCTTCTTTATGTCAATCCTGACGAAATTAGTGATTTTGAGACAAAAAGTAGATACTCGATGGATTCGACTGTTAATGATGAAAAAGAGACATACATTAAGGAAAAAATTTCGCAATGGGATACCTGGGCCAACATATTTATCGATACAAGGCATTTCAAAGAGATTACAGAAATTCTACCTTCATCTCCTAGATTAAATGTGCCGAAAAAGATTTACAATAGTATATTGGTATACTGGTTACATGAGGACCAAGATTTATTTTGTCAATTGATTGATACTTGGAACACCTCACTCTACGATTTGCAAGCAATGCAAACAAAATTGGAGGAGCAAATAGAAACTGCTCCGGATAACGTTAAGATCGAAAGATGTCTTTCCGATTTATATGTCAAGTCATTTAGGCCAGAGAAAGCTGTACCTCACCTTATACACTTAAAAGATCCAAACATAACTCAATTCTTAGCCAGACACCATTTGCTAATTAATTTTCTCGATGATTTACCTAATATTGTTACTTTCAGGTTTTCTGACTCAGAAATGTCCACTTTGCCGATACAAGATATTGGTAGTAAGCTCGGCGATATCATCGATGTGTTAGTTGATCATCGGCATGAAATTCTTCCAAAGGATATATTATCTTTATTCTTTCGAAATCATCAAGATTTTATCTGCTATTTTTACTTAGAAAAGTTGGCGCTGGTTGATGAATATCTCACGCAGCCACTTGGTAATGAAAGAATCGAGCTTTATGCTTTGTTCAATAGAAAGTCTCTACTGCCGTTCCTTGCTAAAAACAGTAATTATAATATTGATGAGGCGATATCGCTTTGCGAGAGAAACGATTTTACCGAAGAATTAGTATACTTATTAGGAAAAATTGGAGAAAATCGAAGGGCCCTTACATTAATTATAAATAAGCTAGATGATCCAGATATGGCAATCGAATTCGCTAAACGGCAAAATGACAAGGAAGCGTGGAATAGTCTCCTTGATTTCTCTATGACAAAACCTGCGTTTATTAAAGCTTTATTGGAATGTGCCGATGAACAATCTAACTCATTTTATGATCCTATATCGATCTTGGAGAGAATGCCAGAAAATATAGATATAGAGGGATTCAAAAACACGGTCATAAAGTTCTCAAATAAAAACGAATTGACTCTTCTACTCAACCAACTAATATTAAGGATTATACTTGAACAATCAAGTGTACTATCGAAGTCATACAAATTTGAAAAGTTGAGAGGATTTGAAGTCTCTATAGACTCATTACGTCAAAATGATCTTGTCGAAAAATATCAATCAATACTAATCATCGAAGATAAACAAGAGAAAATAAATTATGAACTAGAATCTCTTCTCAATAAGAATTATAGCCCGAAATCTTATTCAAGAATGAAGTACAAGATTCGACATTTTGAGTTTATAAAAAAATTATTCAAATAGCTTAGATGCAAAAATTTATAAATCTTGCCAATTTCGCAACCATATTTAGCGACTACTCTCTATTTGTAAACTTTCTGTATTTTGGTCCTACAAAGAACCAGCAAAATATGGGACCAAATCAAGTCGATATTGCTGGCAAGTCTTATGAAGACTACTCTATTGATAGGTCAGTACACCAGCGGCCTGTCGTCGGATTGAATGAACCTCAATTTTTGATTTCAAAAAATGAGCGGGAAAGGCTGACTGAGAATGAGGTTCGTCTAAGGCTGCTTTCCCATCATAAATCCACTTCGGTATCTATCAAGCCAATACGTAATAGTCGAGCCGATAGATTCAAATCGAAATTACCTTTCATTTCAAAATTATTAAGTCGATCAAATGAATACAAACAAAGTAATGTTTCTATGAATGATCATACAAAGGTTGAATGGAAGAATGGTTGCAAGCAAACAACTACGAAGTCTCCAGATAATGAAAGGCATCAAATAAACATTGAATCAATGACTAGAGAATCAGCGATTGTTGGCAAAGTCAAAGGTTATTCGAAGTCATTTCCTGATGAAAAGACACCCTTTAATAAAATGGAGGAGTTGACTGACACTGGAAGACACTTCAAATCAGGAGGTATTGGTCATGAATTTTCAACAAGACAAGAACGTCGTACACCACAACGTTTGCCTGGAATTTTGAATTTCAATGTTGTCTCTCAAAATTCGATAGTTGATGAAAATGAATGTCCGCAAAAAATGCAACTGAAAAACGTAAGATGGTGGAAAAGCAGTACAGGTAAACTAAAATCCAGAATACTGGCTGTCGAAAAGGATACTCAACGTACAAAAGCAAGTTATTATGAAATACCCATAAACATATTTGGAAAAAAAGGAAATTTCGAGAATATTAAATCAAGCGATACGATTAAAGGAGACGAAATAGACAGTGGGTCAGAAAACAAAATGGATATATCTCAAGATTTCAGTAGACGACTTGAGCTGGCCATTATAAAACCTCGAAAAATATACGAAGAAAAAGACAAACATATGATTTATTATGTGAGAAATGACTCTAAACCAGTTGAAACTACTAAGAGTACCAAGTCAAACGGATTTCGATACAACCTATTTCGAAAAGAAGACTAAGAAAAAGTCAGTTTGAGAAAGGGTTCAATTTGCTAAATAAGCTTCCGGTATTTCTCCAAAGAAAATCTGTCGCAATATTGTTCGCCTTACCAAACTTATCACATTTAGTGAAGGCCATTGCATTCGTGATGGATAATGTAATTGCTATTATAATCAAAAGTAAGTATAAGAATTCAAATTTCAAGATTGCGACTATCCCCAAAACAACCCACAATAAAGGTTGGATGTAAAGCAAAGACCAAAATACCTTGGAGTCTATAGGGTTAATATATCTATTAGGATCAGCTGTTTCGAAAATCCAAACGTTCTCAAAGTCACTTTTGTTGCTTTCTACCATATTAGTTTCATTCCACCATCTTAATCCTACTAGTAATCTGCCAGCAATGTTCTTTAAATTCCAAAAATCAGCAGAAATGAGCAAAATTATTATGATAAAATGGAGAATGAATCTACTATTCTTAGTTATCATTCCAATAAATAGCCCTCCAAATATATAAACAAATATTGATGATAGCCTGAAAAATATGTAAAATAGAAGGGCAACTGGATGTGAGGATTCTTTCAACCTTTTTGCCAAAGTCCATTCATTAGGGTTTAATGCATAAGAGCCTGCTTGATTGGGAGTCTGAGTTTGAGCACCCGAGGGTCCTGAGCCATCAGGAGACACAATATCAGGCTCAATGGCCGTATAATTGTTCATTATAACTAGCAAATAACCTCAAAACTGTAATATTTATGATTATAATCTGAAAATGAATTTATTGATTTTATTTATCGGGTTCGCATGATCAGAGAAGATACAGAAAAAAAAACGCAAACTATATTATTCTTCTCTTTTGAAAGGAAAAACAATTACAGAAATTAAGGAGAATGTCGTCTTACTATCGTAAATTTATTGGTGGTATAACAAGGACCCAATTGGAGACAGCTAAGGTATGTTAAAAAGATTTTTGAAACCTCAAAGATTTAGCCTTGAAAACTAACGTAATGATTAAAAGTTTGGATTTTATTTGTTAACTCCTGTGTGTGTTATGTACTATGTAGGGTTGGATACTGATAGAAAATTCAATATACCAGGTTTTTGGCCCGACCCTAGCTCTACGAATCAAGTGCCAAAGGAACCGTATGAAATACAAGCAGAGATTGCCAGAATCAAAAGAGAGAGAAAAGAAAAGAGAGAGAGACTTGAGGCACGAGCCAACGAGCTTGGCATTAATATTGATGACAAATGAAGCTAATTAAGCTGAATAAAAAACATATCTTATGAATAACTTGTATATACCAATTTGTATTCGTTACCTATTACTTTTTCTTTATAAGCAATATATTATACTTTGATGCAAACACGTATATCGAAGCATCAAAATCAAGTCTTGAATAAAGACACTAAAATAAATTATTGGCAAACATTTTGAGTCTTTACTAATGGGAACTCAAGAATGAAAGTAATTTATCAAACACTTCTCCAAAAATCTTTTCATTTTCAAGAAATAGGTTATGCCTGGCTCCTTGTACTGGAACAAACTCTTTATCCATGTTATCATTCAACAAGCTAAAGAACTTCTCAGTTCCTTTAATCCAATTAATATTGTCGTCGGTACCATGAAGGACCAATAAGGGAATACTAGTGTTGAATTTAGAGACGTAATCCTTGTGGGTTAACGATTCGCCTCTAACAAACATGTCTTGAAATTGACGAGCTGTCCCAACCAATACCTTATCGTGTTTCATTATATACGCTTTCCATCCTTCATTTGAAGTTATGTAATCATAATTCAACTTAGAATCAAATCTCATATTAGGCAAAAGATAACTAACTATAGGAGCTAACTTTCGTAATATAATATTGGGTTCAGTGTTTGCGTGCAAGAGTATAAGAGGTCCACTGACAAATATAGCTCTAATTTGGTCAATGTATTTACCTTTTATCCCATAATTTAAAACAATTCCACCACCCATCAGGTGTCCTGCCAAAAAGAGTTTTTCTTCTTTGTCTTCTCTCTTGTCGAGATTGTACTTAATCATAAACTCTAGATCTTTAAAGACATGTTCTTCATTAGTTCTGCCGACTTCTTTACCTGGAGATGTTTCCCCCGCTCCCCTTTGTTCAAAGAAAAATATTTCATATCCTTTTTGAGACAATTTGTCAAAGAATTCAGTATAAATAGCAGCACTCTCTGAAAACCCGTGAACATAGACAATTTTACCTTTGTAAGTCACATCTTGAGGAACTTTCCAAGTAACTGTTTTGAAATTAGCATTGTCAAACTTAATAAATTCAGTAATTGGTTCCCCTTTAGGCTGGTATGGTAAATCAGACATGTTTCTGCTTAATAGTTTTCTTTATAAGACCACTATATTAGAGTTTCAAGAGGGGCTTACTAAGTAATTAAATGCGTATCCACTTTTTGAGTAGTGCATATAATACATGCGCTTGATATTCTATGAAAGCATGAACACATTTTGATAAATGAAATCAATTTCACTTGGACCTTGTTATATTTTGAAATTACGTCACAAACTTAGTAAAGTAATAGAGACTAACTGACTCAATAATTGACCAGTCCTTATCTCGCACGATTTTTGTAATATTTCAGCCCAAGAGAACACTTGCCAATAGAGCTAATATATCTAATAGAAATTCTTTTCTATATTTAGAATCAAAGATACCATACAGTCAGTTTCTTTCGTTTTAGAGCGAATACTGAAACCTACAACATATTTCAATGAGCAAGGGGACCACGACAGATCCTCAGTTTCAGGATTATAAAAATTGCATCTCTACTTATTTTATTTGTCTAATTAATTCTAAATCAATCCTCTCTTTTCAAGTAATGATGTAACATCAAGGCCATGTTCCTCTTCTTTCAAGACTTTGACTACTTTACCAGGAATACCGACAACAACTGAGTTTGGAGGAATATTTTTGTTTATGACGCTTCCGGCTCCTATAACGGAACCACTGCCTATGGTAACTCCAGGGAGAACAGTCACATTTGAAGAAAGCCATACGTTATCGCCTATTGTTATGGGCAATGCACTTTCAACTTCGGCTCCTCGTAATGTTGGATCAGATGGATGAGTGGCGGTGATAAGCGATACATTTGGTCCGAAAAGGACTCTATCGCCAATTTTTATAAGCGCACAGTCAAGAAGCGTTAAATTAAAATTACTGTAGAAGCTGCTGCCAATATGAACATTAAAACCATAATCAATATGAATTGGATGCTCTGAATAAGAATCCTTACCATAAGATCCAAAGCAACCACTTAAATAGTCATGTTTTGCCTTCAAGTAGCTTTCAGTGCTGTCAAAATGCTTGCTTCTTAAAGAACCGAAATCTTGGGCAAGGTCTCTTGCTCTCATTCTAGCGTCCTCTAGACGCTTATCAAAGGGTCTGTATCTATTTATAGTCAGTTACTTGTGATCAAAATTTTCATTATTCGATATTTACATACATCATTCCACTTATCATTCTTTCATAGTTGTCATAGCCTTTTTCAAACGGAAGATTATTAAGGCAACGATATGCAAACTCAATGATATCTTCATCTTTACATCCTTTAGTTTTAGATAGGCTTAATATTTCTTCGTTTGATAATTGTTCCATATTTACTTGAAAAAGTGTTCAGTTCAATAGTTATTCGATCATCAATATATTATGATATTATCCTGTATGTAGTAAAAGGATACGGAATGCTGAAGTTAAGTCCTTACCCCCTTTTGGAGGGTAGATAATGTATATGCCCAATAAATTCAATATACTTTTGCGCACGAAACACTACATAGTGGTTGATTTTGGCACCGTCTAATAACACATAACTTGCACTAATATGTTATCAGCAGAAGAGAAGCACATCAATTCTTCTTAGGTTCTGCTATGAGTATTGCTTACTGTAGAGAATCATATATCCTGAGGACCATTTCAGCAGGACCACACTTAGATTGAGATTTAAGTAATCAAGTTGCAAAATTACCTTTGACGCTTAGATCGAAGTCGAAATCTCACCCCTTTGCTTCTCTCCTTGGTTTTAGATAGTTATAGATAAACTTCGGGCATTTTATATCTATTATCCTAGAGGATGCATCATTACGATCTACAACTTTTCAAAGGTTACACACCTAGAAAATCCATGAAACTGTTCAAGGAGTCTCATTTTCTTGCCAGCAAGTATAATTGCTTTATATTCATGTACTTTTAAGAAAGTTTTTGTTACTTAACGCTAAAGAACATTCTTGAATATCAAATTCAATATTCAGGAGAGCAAAATCCCAGATGTTGCTTTTGTAGCAAGGATAACATTTTCCAATGCAAATTGTGAACTGATGTTTTACAAAACAATAAATTTTTAACTGCTTTCGTCTATCTATTCAAACTATATATTTTGAACCCTTATATTATTTATCTCGTTAAAATTCGCACCCAAATAGTTACTTTCAAAGAGAAATGAAGGAGAGCGTTGAAAATAGCAGTTACAAAACCACATATCTGAATCAGTTGCTTGTAAAGAAGTAAGTTCTTTACCTCAACATGATAACCAGAAGAAGATTCGCCTAAGTATTCCTTGTATAAGATGATTATCTCGGCTAATATGTGATTCAGGTTGAAATTATATAGTATCCAAACATGGCTACCTGATCCTGGAGATAATCGATAGCTCACTCCCAATCACTGTTTAAAAAAGCTCATGGTGAATAATCCGAAGATGTATGTGGATTAATAATGAAGTCCTTGTTGAACACTGGAATTACAAAAGAGGAAATGCGTATCCTCTTTCTTTCTCAGTGGATATCAATACGACAACATCTGTATCGGTAAGATCACCCCGAGAAATAAGTTCTGAAAAATGCTTCTTGAAACTTGCATAAGGAGCAGCCCCACAAGGACCGGAACTGACGTTAAACTTTTTCAATTCACAAATCAGATTATGGCATTCACCATCGTCGATTAACAGGGAGAAACTCAAACCATTTTTCAATATAGGGAAGGAAATTGAAGATATGGAAGGGCAATTTAAACCATCCATAATAGTTGGCGGACCTGATTCAAAATTTGAACGAGCAGGATAGCCAAGTGTGAGGGATTTATTGCAAGTGTGTGAAAATTTGGGTTCAGCAATCATTACTTTTGTTTCGAAGTTCTCTCTAAATTCAGACCGATAGTGCGCTACGACTGATTGAGCGAAGGATCCTACACCAGCCCCACAGATCACAAGAGAGGGTTTCAGACCACATTTTGAATACACCTGCTGATCTATTTCATTAAGGACTGTATTATATCCATCACAGATTGCCTGAGGAATCTCAGTATAGTTTTCAAAAGAAACATCTTGAATTAGAAAACTGTTTGGTTCCTCTTTGCAAAATTTTGCAGCCATGGCAACAGCATCATCGTAGTCGCCTGGTATTTGGATTAAACAGACATTTCCCTCGCTTTCAATTTTTTTGCACTCGGCCATAGGAACAGAGCCTGGAACATAGACTTGAGATCTGGCACCTAACATGGTTGCTATTTTTGCAACCGCTCTACCGTGATTACCATCGGTTGCACAAACAAAAACGAAACGTCTGTCTAAAGATAAATTCTCCATCGTTTCGATTAATTTGGAAAAGGTTGTGTCGAGTGAAAGATTAAACTCTTTAGCTAGACATGAGTAGATTGCCCAAGACGCCCCTAAAATTTTGAACGACGGCAAGCCAAATCTATATGATTCTTCTTTAACAAATATTCTGCCTACACCGAAAGAGGCAGCATTCGGAATCTCCTTCAAAGGAGTTGGCCCATAGTCAGGAAATGATTCATGAAATTTGATTACTTGCTCTTCTCTTTCCTGGGCATTATCAATGATATACTTCCACGAAAGAGCTTTATAATTAGCGTAGAGCTCGTCTGAAGGAATGTAATCCTTCTCTTCCATATCCATACATCTATCAGAATTGAGGTTCAAAGAATCTGCAAACCATTTTATATATTCTTCAGTCGCAAAAATATTTCCGAACTTGATGCCAAACTAGAATGCTAGAAATTTCAACGTCCACATAGCACTGACAACAGCAAATACTCGAACACAGAAGAACGTGATAAAACTTAAGATCATATAAACACTTATTTAAATTAAGATCAATTTACAACTATTGTCGTTTATCAAACATGATGCTTATATTTAAAATATATTAATCAACTCTCTTAGAATCGTATTTAAGTACTGACTTAAGTAATACATCAAACCCATCTTCGATTTGTTGTGGTGTTGAGTATTCATCGGGATGATGACTAATACCTTCTTTACTTGGAATGAATATCATGGTAGTAGGACACACATTGTTGGTGGCACAAGAATCATGGCCAGCACCACTAACTATGTCCATAACGTTTTCCTCACCTAGTAATTCTATTGACGCCTCTCTTACGCAAGATATACAATGCGGATCAAAATGAACAGCCTTTGAGCGCATAAGATTTTCGACACTTACTTCAATAGGGGCCTTGCAATTTGGTCCCAGGGTTTCTATCGCGATATTCTTGAATGAACTATATAACTCTTCATTCAAAGCCTCTAAGGGTTCATCGTGGGGATGGCGAGCATCATAAGTAAAAGTAACTTCGTTTGGAATCACATTTACAACTCTAGGCTTTACTTCACAGACTCCTACCGATACCAATCCTTTGTATTCATGTGCAAGCTCATTACATTTGACTATCATTTTAGAAGCTGCAAGAAGAGCATCTGAACGAACATCAAGTGGAGTGGTTCCAGTATGTGAAGAACTACCTTTGATAATGACTTTATTCCAACAGTAAGCTTGGGCACCCGTCACAATTCCTACTCTTTTATCCTCCTTCTCTAGTATCGGCCCCTGTTCAATGTGAAGCTCAAAATGAGCCTTGAGCGGTATTGATTTATATGAAGCTTTATATGGACCTTTATACCCAATCCTATTCAATTCTTGATCAACTGTAACAGCTTCTGTATCGATAACAGACTTGAGGTTAAAGACTTCATCTTCCGCTACCCTGCCAGCCCATAAAGCCGATGCCATGACCGACATTGGAAATCTTGCTCCTTCTTCGTTGGTCCAATTTACAAGGCTAATGGGGTAATTTGGAACATACTTGTTCTCTTTCAATGTTCTTAGTACCTCAAGACCGGTAAGGACCCCATAAATGCCATCGTACCTTCCGCCGGTAGGTTGAGTATCTAAATGAGACCCTATAGCTGTTGGTAACCCATCTTTCTTTCCTGGGTATGTGGCAAAGATATTACCCACTTTATCAATCTTGACTTCACAACCGAGCGACTTAACTTCTTTCACGAACCAATCCCTCACATTCTTATCGTTGTCGCTCAAAGAAAGACGACACACCCCACTTCCTTTGGGTACACCTGCCATGCTTATCAGAGCACTGTATTTAGCAGTAGCTTGGATAGTATCCAAAAGCCTACCTCTCACAATTTTCAAGGACATTGCCGTCATATTCTTTGTCAAATCCTATGATATGACCATGGTATATCTTAGTATTCTTATAGTATTGGCGGAAATTATTTTGCGACCAGTTTGTCGTTCGGATTAGTATCTGCGAATCTGAACCAATACCACATATCAAAACTTTGATTTCACAAGCCGAAGTATGCGAATTCTTGAACACTTCGTTTTGCCATCTCGAGCTTAAAAAACTGCCAATGTATACTTAAAGCTGATGAAAGCTAATGAATGCTCTATAATTATGTAATTTAAAATGAAGTATCCAACTTTCTTTTTACTTATCAGTGTCCACTTCTAGAATAAACGTATCACAGCAACATACTGATATAATTTTCCTGGATTCTAACTAAAGATTTCTTGTAAGTCTTCGAGAAAATAACGATCATTGTGTCCCAATGCCATTATCGATCACTTCCTTTTTTGCAATAATGATGCGATAGTCGAGGGTGAAAAATATTTTCGTATCTAATGTCCTTAAACAGACAAATCTAAAAAATTAACTTCAACATCTCAAGATGCTGGGCATTGAGATACCTAAGAGGAAAAATATAAGTAGCTCGTATGTGTCTTGATATAAATTTTCAGCATTTTTTTTGGTGAAATACTAATGAAATTAGTTGTATCGCATGTCGGTCTGTGAAGGTAAGTGCTGTTTAAGTTATTTCATTGGGCAACCTATTAACTAACATATAGAAAAAATGCGACGGTAGCAATCCATGTTCTCTCTGCCAGAGAAAGTGTATTCTGTGTATATACGATGAAAAGGATAAGAGAAAAAAAAGAGTAACGACGGCGTATTCAGACGTATTGGAAGCTCGAATAGTTCATATGGAAAATAAAATCAAGGAACTCAAGAACTTGGTAGATCAGCCAGATAAGCTACAGAAAAGTGTACGTGGTATTAGCTTACCCAGTTCCAACAATTTTATAAGCTCGACTCACAAAATATCTTATGAAAGAGGATGTTCTAGGTATGCGTTCAATCCTTTGCTCGTCCTGGAATCTGGATCTAAGTATGCCTTTGGACCAACAAGCGTGTTTCACGATCCACAGATAATAAATAGAGAGCTAATTGAGATAGTACCAACGCCTAAATTGTCAAACGCGTGTGAGAAGTTGAAGCTAAGTGAGACTATTTTCGATTCAATTTACTACATGAAAGATCTGCCGGTTCCATTATATGTGTTCGAACCATCGAGGTTACCACAGTCTCTAATAAAAGACTCTCTTTCATGCTTTTTCAAATATAGCTATACGATGGCATTTTACTTCATACATAGAGAATCATTTCTCTATTATTTCATGAATAACGATTTTGAAAATAACTTCGTCTCAGAAGAGCTAATATATTCCATGAGTGCCTTAGGAGCTAGAATGAGTCAAAATCCAGAATTAAGAGCTAAAGCAGATCATTATTACGAAACAGCAATAGGAATTGTCTTCCAAAGCAATGCAGACCCCAACTTGAATACTGTCAATTTGAACTCCGCATCAGTGACTAGGATGCAAGCTTTATTGTGTCTCGCAATATATGACATTGGAAAAGGGCGTTTGACGAGCGGGTGGTTACTTTCAGGATTGGCTTTCAGAATGGGACATGATTTTGGATTTGAACTAGATCCTAAGGATTGGGATGAAGATATGAATAAATGCAATAACAAAGAGCTTGCAAGGAAGTACCCTTATCTGCTGAGGAGTGTGAAGAGTCGAATATACTGGGGATGCTACGTAGCCGATCACTTCATCAGTCTAGCTTTGGGAAGAACTACTTCGCTTAAACTTAGCGATACAAACATGCCATGCGTCTCTCCATTGGCTGATTTCACGAACGTTGAAGAATTTGTATATGTAGATCCCGTTTCAAACATATCTTATTCTGCATACCCCAGTTTGATTGCTATTTTAAAATTGGCAAACTTGACGGAATCGATGCTAACATCAGTTTTCACGCAAAGGTCAGACGATGATGCGAAGCTACAGTCAGAGAGACTAGAAAGACTAAGTCACTATAATCATCAGCTTTACAATTGGAGGACACGACTTCCAAAAGAGCTTAGCTGGAATAAGAGTGATTTGAAGAATATGGGACACAATATTGTAATCCTGACACCGAGATTGTATTATTACATAATTTCAATGTGTCTAAATAGACCATTCTTGACGAGCTCATCGGATATTCAAGGTGGCATGTCACCATTTAGCATTTGTCATGATGTTGTCGAGGAAGTACAAATAACGATTAAAGCTCTACAGGAAGCTTACGGCAGAAACTTTACCTTCATCAGCATTTTTTTATTATACTGTACTCTTTTGTCCATTAGTATTTTACTTTATGAGCTTTCTTCTTCAAAATTTGACTATGAGAAAAAAAGATGCATGAATAAAATAACCTTTTTCCAAGATTTCTTAAGACATTGTGCTACTATTTGGGACCTTGGTAAAAAGCCTTCTAGTATCATTGATAAAAAGTTAGAGAAGTTCCAGCTGGACTTGGAAGCTTTAAGAACATCTGACAACTCAATTGAGGAAGTACTCAACAGTGAAGTCAATTTGTTCAACTTCCCTACCTTTTCGCAAGACCAGACAATTAACTATTTGCGCCTTGACTTGGCTAATTTAGATTGGGAAAATGAATTCAATTTTTTATAAGATTTTGGTAGTCTTAGTATAGCTTTTTAGGAAAGGTAATATCAGTTCCATATACATTTCGTTGTATGTCTACTTTGTCGCACAAATCTCGCTTATCAGACGTGTCGCACATTATTTTGCGATGCCTAGAGCTGCTTATCTGACAATTATCGAAGTCGGAAATTATTTTCCTACAAAAGTGAAGTAAGAAAATGAATATATTTATGGTCTTCAACAGCACTGAATCATAAATCTGATGTTCAATATAGAGAGTTCTGCGAGAGTGTTGCAAAGCAAGTATAAAAATTCAAATGAGTAGCATATTGGGTTCTAAAGACGAAAAATTAGCTTATCTAAAGACAGAGATCGAATCTGTGGGTTCAAGAAGAGAGGCAGAAGATTTAGCCACAGATTTTCAGCTATATAATGAGGCTCTAGAAATTGACACCGATAAAAGCTCTGAATCAAAAGTTCTATTCAAAATAGACCTTGTTTTAATACCTATTATGTGTCTTATGTATACAATGCAGCTGTTAGACAAAGGATCTTTAAATTATGCTGCTGCTTATACATTGGAAGAAGATTTGAATTTAATTGGACAGAGATATTCGTGGGTGGCTGCTATATTTAATTTCGGATACTTATTTTGGGCAATTCCATCAAATTACATTATTCAAAAAGTCCCTGTCGCCAAGTACACTGGCTGCACATTGATAATCTGGTCAATAATTCTTATTGCTCATGTTGGTGCCAAAAATTATGGTGGATTACTCGTACTAAGGTTTATATTAGGGATGTTTGAAGCCGGTATTTCACCATCGTGTATGATGATATGTTCTCTCTTTTATACGAGGCTGGAACAACCTTTAAGAATATGCTTGTTTTTAAGTTGTAATGGGGTGGCAGCGATGGTAGGAGGTCTTTTGGGATATGGCCTTGGTCATGTCCAGAATTCGCATCTTAAAACTTGGCAGCTTATCTTTCTTGTTTTTGGCTTTATGAACCTTGCAGTTGGAATTATTGTATTAGTATTTTTACCTGATTCACCTCGAAATGCCCGATTTTTAAACCTGGACGAAAGAGCGATTGCAATTGAAAGGGTAGCTAGGAATAATATGGGTATCAAGGATAAGGAATTCAAAAAAGCACAACTTAAAGAAAGTATTTCTGATGTTGCTGTTTGGCTATTATCTCTAGGGGGATTCGCATGTGGTGTAATCAATGGAGGCACTTCAAATTTTGCTTCCGCTCTCTTCAAAGGCTTTGGGTTTTCTGGGATCTATGCTACTTTACTTCAATTGCCTACTGGTGCTTTAGAATTGGGCGTCGTTCTTGCTGCTGGAGTAATTGCTTTAACCGTAAAGAATACACGCTGCTTGATGTACGTGTTGACTTGTATTCCAGGATTTGCTGGGTTAATTATTATTCATACGATTCCTTTGAAAGATAAATGGACTTTGGTAGGAGGAACATGGTTGCAGTTTATAATTGGTGGCCCCATTGTCCTCTCTTGGGTTCTCTTAAGTGCTAATATTGCCGGCCATACTAAGAGAACTATTGCGAACGGTGTTTGGTTTACTTTCTATGCTGCGGGAAATATAACGGGCCCTAATTTATTCTACACTTACGAGGCCCCAAAATATTATAAAGCTATTATAGCCTTGATGACGTGCTATTCTGGACTTATGTTAATAGGTATTGTATACGCCGCATTATTGTGGTCTAGAAATAACAAAAAAGATAAAGAGTATGGTGAGTTGACACCAGAAGCTGCAAAACAAGCTATAATTGATGGGTTCAAAGATTTAACAGATAAAGAAAACAAAGGTTTTAGATACCTACTTTAGTTTTATAATGTGTTATAGTTTAATTTTATTTTAATTGAAAAACAATTCATAATCTTTCAACTGGTCAATTTAAACTCAGAAAAGTCGTAAAATCCGTGATTGTCAAGTCATAAGCCGCATTATCTGCCTTCTTTCGTTTTGGGCGGAAAATAAATTGCGACTCGAAAATTCGTAGCCCGTTTTTAGGAGATATATAATGACATGTTTTCCATAAAGCCAAAGAAACTTTGAAGTCTAAAAGGGAATCATATGACTTCAGTGAGAAAGTTTAAGTTGGCCGGTATCCAATTGGGACCGATTCAAAGGGCTACCAAAAAGGAGGATACAGTTGTGAGGCTAGATAGGCTCTTGAATGAAGCAGCTGACAAGGGAGCCAGCTTAGCTATATTCCCCGAATGCGCATTGACCTCCTTCTTCCCGAGATGGGATTTAAAGCTGCAAGAAGAGATAGATTCGTTTTTCGAAAAAGGTGATATTAGCAAGGGGATCTGCAAGCCTTTATTTAAAACCGCCCAGAGTCGAAGAATCGGATTTGTTTTGGGATACGCTGAGATCACAGATGATAATCATCATTACAACACCTGTATTTTAGTTGATAATCGGGGAAAAATTATCCAGAAATACAGAAAAACTCACTTGCCTGGATTCGATGATCCAATTAAGGGGCCAGAGTTCCAACAACTTGAGAAAAGATACTTTGATTATGGCACAGAGGGGTACGTGGCTGCTAAAAGCGACCCAGAGTGGATAGATACAACAATAGGAATGCTTATATGTAATGATCGTCGTTGGCCTGAGGCATGGAGATGCTATGCGTTGCAAGGAATGGAGCTTTGCATTAGTGGATATAATACGCCTTGTAGAGATAGCACATACGGCATGGCAGAAAACAAGACTCTACGATTGTATCAATCTGAATTAGCGACAAAAGGTAATGCTTACATGAATTGCTGTTTTGCAGTATCAGTCGCAAAGTGCGGGGTTGAAGATGGTCAACAACTTATCGGGGGATCATTGATAGTTGCGCCGGATGGTACAGTAATAGCTCTGGCCAAGACAGAAGATGATGAGATACTTTTGGGTGATATCGACCTAGATAAAGTGATCTACGGTAGAAGTAAAATGTTTGATTTTGGTCGCCATAGGAGACCAGAACTCTATAAAAGAATTGTGAAACAGAAAGGTATAATACTACCTTTGACATAAAATATGCTATTACAGATACATCTTCCTTATTGGGAATATCATATCACGAGGGCTTTTATCTCGGAAATTCTTAAATTTGCTATAATCTAACCGTAAACACGTCTTCCAAACTCTCTTACATATTCGTGGATAATAATTTTCCTGCTATATAATCTATATAAACTATATATAAAATTAGAGATAGACATCGCTTTGCATAAACATATCACGTGATCATTAGTTATTGATAGGACTTCGGACAGCCATCTCCGATATTTGATAAGTCTCAGATATTGATAGGAGTCCGGGCAGCGAACTCAGATAATGCAGCTGATTCTATACTCATAAGAGTGCCGTTACTATGAGGACGCTGCTGTTTTCAGTAGAAAAGGGCACAAAAGTGGACAAATCGATCGACCCCAAACAAATACTTGCACGAAACCTTCACTGAAGGTATGATCCTCTGATAAACTGGAAGCTTATATAAAATACTCAAAATAGCTGTAGCGACTAGTTCTCTTCCAAGCAGATGTTTCTACTATACAAAGATGGTAGCATATCCAATGTTAGTATTTGCGAATATGGTAATTGATTGCGAAACAAATATAAAACAAGTAATTTTCTCTCTTAAAAATTAATTGTGATTTCTATCCAAAAAGTAATGAATATAGAATGCAGCCTGCGAAAATTTGTTAAAGTTTGCGTTATAGGGGGCGGCATAGCGGGGCTAAATGCAGTTGACACATTGGTAAATGGTGAAAATTCAACTTTTTCGCCAGAAGATGTTGTTCTTGTGGAAGCACAGGATTACCTTGGAGGACGTATTGTAACGGACAGAACCTCTTCTAAGCTAGGGCTACATTACGATATTGGGGCAGCTTGGTTCCATGACTGTTTACTGAATGAACTTTTCAATGAACTCATCAATGGTAAAGATTTCTCCTCTGAGGAGAGTTTGTACTTTGACGATTCTCCCGTGCTTTATTACTCTTCAGAAAGCGAAGGACGGGTTAATCTATCTAAAAACAAGGTGTACAGAATATTTCAAGATTTTCAGGATTTTGTTAATTTAAATTACGATGACCTTAAGGATAATGATGATTCTGTAAAGAATATGATTCAAAAATATATTCAAAAATACAAAATGATCTTAACCCAAGAGCAAATAAATCTTCTTCCTAGGTTGAGTCGTATGCTTGAATTGTGGTATGGGAAAACTTGGGACTCAATTAGCGCTAAAGATTGTCCTTTTCATCATTCAGGACGGGATGTTTATAACAAGCAAGGCTATGACCACATTCTAAACAAGTTAATCTCTAGAATTCCAGAAAATCTGATTACACTCGGCCACGCTGTAAAAAAAATCACATATGGTATTTTTGATGATTATTCTATTATGGTGGAATGTAGCAATGGATCAAGTATTAGATGTGAGTTCTTGGTAATTGCTGTTCCTCTCAGTATTTTAAAGTTACCTGTTGGTTCGGAAAACTCCATCGAGTGGTCACCATCTTTACCTTGTGATATAACCAATGCCTTATCGAAAATGCACGTAGGATCCCTAGGTAAAGTAATTCTTGAATTTCCTTCAGTTTGGTGGGATGATACGGTAGACCAAATATTTTTGCTTCCGGATACGGATGTATCCCAAGAGTATGGGACTACCGAGTGTTTGCCGAAGCTATGGACTCTAGGCTTAGATGTGCTCAATATAGCCGGGATACATCGATTGCATTCTTCTACGATTAAAGGAGGCAGCTTGTGTATACTTACTCCTCATCCAATTACGGAGTACTTAGAGAAGAATCCCGAGAAAGCATGGGACTATTTGAAGCCAGCATTATCAAAGTTGCGTCTTGATGGGCATAAAGTTGAAAGTCCAATCAACGTAATCACCTCTAAATGGACTATAAATCCTTACATAAGAGGAGCCTATTCAGCCGCCTTTCCTGGTGACGATCCTGACACTCTAATCAATTTACTTTCAGGAGCAACAAAAAATGGTCTCGAGGAGCTTAATATCAGATTCGCTGGTGAGCACACCATAGAAGAGGGAGCTGGCTGCGTACATGGTGCTTGGATGAGTGGAAGGAGGGAAGCACAGTGGATATTGGATCAAAAAAAAAACGCGAATGTAGTGGTAATCTAAGAAAGATGTACTTAGAGCTCTTGCAATCATACTTAATTCATAGATTTTACCCAATATTTTGATAAGATATGTATTTGTATTCATAAATTATATACGGCACACTCACATGCATAAAAGAAAAACGTATCTTTCATGAGTTTCAAATATTCTTGTTAAGAATAGTAAAGAGAGTCTTTATTGTATTGAACATACTTCTGCAGTGTTCTTTACTATGTTTCATTCACGTTAACTTAAGGGATGCATTACTATTTTACTTTGTTGAACTCATAATATTATACTTTATCCTTCTATAAATATTTTTATCAAGGTAAGCACCAGTAATTCTAAAAGTCCTCTGCGACAACTTTGCGAAATTTGTGCCTATTGAGATTATGGGACAAATATTTCCTTAAAATTGCAAAATAATAATTGATTATCGTAATGAATCACGAAGTTCACAATATTTAATATAGCTCGGGAGAGTCCATTGTCTGCATTTCTTACCGTAAACCATCATTGGTATGGTGAAAACTACTACCATAAATTGCATAACAGCCAAAATAATAAAGGTATTTGTGATACTGACATTTTCTAACCAAGCATCACATGCAAATGAGAAAATGCAACCAAGCATATTGTTTATGAAAGAAATTCCACACATCATCTCTATAACTAAATCAGGATAAATAAGCATCACATAAGTCATTGATAGATCCCCCGATGAACCATAACCCACCCCGATAAATCCTAAACCAATATAAGTAGGAACCCAGCTCCATTGTTGATCAGTACCAATACCAAAAAGAAGCAAACCAATCGAAGATAATATACATGGTATATATAAAAACCAAAGTCTCACTTCAGCATCTACCACACCATCATTCCTTTTAGCAATCCAATTGCTAAACCAATCATTTAATGTTCCACCGTAAAAACATCCTATTACAACTCCAATTAAAGTTGGAACATTCATAATTGCGACTGCATTATCGCTATAATTGTAAGGAGGATCATAGTAATTATCTTCCTGAATAGTCATATAAAATTCCATAAGAATATTTTGAATACCCCAAACAAAGCCAGAAAATATCACTGGTGGGAAAATTAGGACGCGTGGAAGTAAAAATAGCTGCTTCATATATTGTATGAAACCCGTACCATCTAACATAGGGCTCGGAGCAATTACTTTCATTTGCCGACGAAACCAAGACCCAATACCACCATTTTGATCATCCTCAGAGGACGAATCGTGGACCACTTCCGATATTAAGACTTTGCTTTTTTCTTGTTTCAAAAATTCGTTAGTGAATTCAGATTCTTCTTTCACCTTTCTCGTATTTTTTCTAAAGTACACCGTTTCATCCATAAAAAAGACCATGAGAAGTAAGTTTGCTCCAGCAAAACCTACAGCAGTATATGTAGCAACTTTGAATCCCTGTAATTCATCTATAAATCCTGAAATAAGGGGACCAATAAAAGTGCCTACACCTGTAGCCAACACATAGTAGTTTAAAGCACTTCCTAGCTGATACTCGAAAAAGAGATCAGTCAAGGAGAGTTGTACTTGTGCTTCTCCACAAGATTCGGAAGCTCCCACTAGCAACTGGGCCCAATTGGCCAGACCCGTATTATGAGCATTAGCTACCCAAACCATACCAAGAATTGCCCAGAAAAGACAAATCAAATACGATATTCTTCTTCCATAGAGATTAACTGATGGAGCCAACAAGTAAGTTCCGAACGCAATTCCAATGAATAAAATTCCATCCGAAGCATCTGTAGTATAATCTGATAGTCCAGATAAGTTTGTGATTCCTGCGGTGAAACCCGTATACATTAAAACGATTAATGTATTCCAGTACTTCCTCTTTTTACTCCAGTTCAAAGGATCTTTGGGCAGGTCATCTGGCTGCGGAACCAAGATTTTACTGTCTTTTTTTTTTAACAGCTCTAACTCTAACTCAGCACCCCCGTGAGAAGCATAAGATCTTATAGTTCCAGGAAGAAGATCTTCGTCAAGGCGCGAAGTATAGGACTCTAGTTTTCCTGGATTTATATGTCTCGAGCGGATATTATCCAACATTACCACTATTCTTTTATTTCAGTTACCTACAATAGGATTCACAAGATTATGACTGTTACATCAGATTGGAATCTTTAGCTATAAGTGACTACAATTTTTTAAGTAATTATATTCCTACCTTTTTTCCTTATCTCAAGCGAAGCCGTTACAAATGTAAGTTGATTAACCGGCATATAAATTTGAGATCTGGTTTGACATGCCTAATCTGTGCGTTTCTTGATAGGTAGATTATCAAATTTTTTATCTCGAAATTGGCTTTTACCTGAGCCGTAGGATATGTATGTGCCCCTAAAAAAAATAAAATCATCATCGGACCCTGTTCCCGACAGGTCTGCCAAGATATTTGACATTAACGAAGCTAAGACAAGAAAAAAATAAGCAGGAACGAGATGCGAAAAGGTTAAGCACAATATACGTCAAAATCTTTCTTGGAACAGCCCATCTATAGAATGAAGTAAAACCTTAAATTGTCTATCGATTTTCAAGCGTGCCACTATAAGAAGAAACCCATAATTGGTACTTGAATGCGATTTGTTCTTGCAGCAGGCCAGTGCGAGCTCTGATATGACAACTTATGTACAGTACACTTAAAAAAGATAATGCAATATGATACGACTTCTCTGATCGACTGGGTTTACAAGTTTTTGGAAAATACTTTTATGTGTAAAGACAAGCAAACACTTTCAAATAGTTCATGTAACCATGACACAATCCTTTAACTGCTGTGGGGGAGTCCTTTAATGACTTGTTGCAGTATTAGTAGTGATACATGTTACTCAAACAATTGCACCTTTCGTTTTATAAAAATTTAAGAGACAATTAACGTGCTTTAGCATATCATGAAAAACGAGCTTTAGACTATCATAGCACCTGTCATTCATTAATACTGTAAAATCTTTAGTTAATTGATATACAATTAATATTTGTCAAATTTAAAGTATCATCGTAAGAAGATTATTTTATTGGTGAAGTTTATGCAAGAGTCGAGCTGCCTTGCTTGTTATTTCAAATCAAGAGAAAATGGGTGTTAAGTTTAGGTTCTCATTCGCTAGTAGGATGATGAAGGAAATGCTTTGATTCTCACTGAAGAGAAAAATCAATAGAAAGCTTAACACTTATATCACAATCCACAGTACATGATAGTGAGCGCGATTTATAGAGCCCTATCGCTTATGTATGGCACATGCCTGACATTAGGACATGCAAGTTATAATCATGCTTTTTCAAGACCACAAACTGCTTAGCGTAGGTCTCTCATGATTCTTCCTCAAATCTCGGTTGTGAAACATCTATCATCTAACACACTTAAATTTGACAAAAGCAAATGAGTGTATAGATTTACTCTTTTATCTTCCGCATAGTAACTTTTGCAACAATAAAGTACCTGGTATCTCAAAAGAGGTAGCAAGATAAGAAACAGTATCCAACCAGCATATACATCATTCTTCTTAATAAAGTTAATCCTCTATTCCATGATAAAGGGTTAACATTTGGTCCGACGTAGTGATTTCGTGCTCAGGAATCATTATTTTATAAACACACAAACATATCTTTTTCAAAAGGCAATGATTAGCTTCGTCGTCTTTATCCAGATCTTACGAAAAGAGTCGCTTTCTCTCTTTTTTTAAGTAAATTCGACTGCTCCATTATTAAATATAGGTTGATACATCTCAAGAGAATTAAAGCCAAACAGCAGTCACTTCGTTCAAATCTCTTATCAATAAAAAATTCATCAATATCTTAGTGTTACTGTGAAAGTCAATCATCACGACATGTTTATTATCAGATACAATTTGACAGTTAATAGAAAAAGTTAAGATTTTGTACCAGTCACAAGAGGAATGTACTTCCCATTTAAAACCAAAAATGCTCTTCCGCATCTGATCATCAAGACAATATTAAAAATCGATAGTATCTTAAGGCGAGGTAAGGAAGTAACGAACATATCATACCGTGAGATAGTACGAAAATTCTTTTCCCCATTTAAAAATTTACCTATTCCATCGTGTGACTTCTCTATAAATGCTTCCATGTAGTCATTGATCACAACAGGGTGCAACCCAGGAAAATAGCCGTCTGTGAAGATGGAAAGCCATTGGGAATCGTAGAACACAGCATGTTCGTATATTGAAGCCTGAAGATCACCTACATTTCTCTTGAGAAACACTTTATCCGAAGTCTCCTTTGACTTATCATACAACTTGAGGTACCGCAATTTCTTCTGAAATTCAATAATGATATCTTGTAGGGATGATCTAAATTGTTGGTTCGGCGATTCAAATATTATAAGTAGAATATCAAGTTTATTTGGGATGTTTTCTGCTAGGGCCGACATGATCGAATGATGCTGACATGAAAGGCAATCGAAAGTAGGATTAATGCACAATTGAGTAAGATTAGAAGTGAAGGAAGTGAAATTCTCCAAGAACGTTGTTTTCGCGTTGAAATGTGTTTCATGATGATGACTGACTTCTTTAAGGTTTAATAAAAGGACCTTTAAATAGCTCAAATCAAGCGCCTCTTTTAAAATGTAGGCTATATCACGACCCTTGTTCCCTATGAAGCCATCTAAGCCTAAAGTCTCAATACAGAGATGTTTCTCCAATCTCCTTAATCCCTGGAAAAAAGATATCCAAGGAGCATCGCAATTATTTAGATTAAAGTCATTTAATGCATTTAAAGAATGTGATCGATCCTCCATGATTTCGAACTCTAATGAAGTAAGATTTCTCAGATACGATACGATTCTTTCAGCAAGCTGCTCAAACTGAGTCCGATGTTTCAGATCACTAACATATAATATTTTCAACCTCCTCAAAGTAATAAAAGAATAATCAAAATCATAATCACTTAGACAAATAGTCAAAGATTGAATCGTTGAACGCTGAGGTAGTAGCAACCTTTTTTTCAACGAGGGAAGTGATCTGCAAAAAAATGTACTCAATTTAGTTATACATAAACACTCCTCCAAAAGTGATAAGATGCTTCGATTTTCTATTTTGAAATTCCAATCAATCTCACTATCTACGCAGAACACTAAACTTTTCACATTTTGACTTATCTTTCGATTACACCTCAAGACCAGCAATAAAGAAAAAAACTTTGAAACATGAATGACAGTTCCCAAGTTCCTTCTAGTGGTTGAGAATTTTTTCCTTGCAACTTTAGAAAGACTAACTTGGCTGGTTATAATTATTTTTCTGTAAAGCTGAATTGCAGCAGGTAGATACATTAGTGTCAGACAAACGCACAAGCTCTGTAAATCATCAGAATTTAGGTAGTCACAGATGTCTATGAGTAGGATTAATGGTAGCGATTCAAGTCCTGACACTAATTCGTCGCCTTTAAAATCTTCCAATGGATAAAAATTCGTTGGTCTGAAGAAACTTGACTTACGTCGTGATCCCATCCGAGGCAGACCTACTGTATAACCTTGTCCAACAGAGTTTGGAAGTCTATCAATTGGAGGCATTCAGGTAATAGAATTTAAACATAAATTAATAAACCTGTTAAGCTTCGGTATGTCAATCTCAATCTCCCCCAGCTGATTCCTTATCCATATTACTACGATATGAGTCGGCCTGCATAATGTTAAAGCAAAAATAGTGCAAGTTGAGAGAAGCGATAAAAGAACAGGTAATCGATTTCACGGCAATCAATTAGAGAATTTGTTGATAAGAATGGAGCAGCAAACGGCCAGAGATAACTTAAGCGGTAAAAAAAGGGATGAATCACCTAGGCGTCCTGGAGAGTCACAAGCATCAGACCTTTTTAAGGGCCTATCGTTTAAAGTCGGAGTAGCAGAAAATAAAAATGTAACGTATAGATCTAAGATGGAAGATGTTCATACATACATCGCAAACTTCGCCGAAAGGGTTGATTGGGGATACTTTGCCATTTTTGATGGGCACGCTGGAAAAGATACTGCTAGATGGTGTGGTAATAATCTACATACATTGATAGCGAACGAGATTAACGAAGAGGAGGACGGCCCAGAACACAACTATAATTATGACATGAAAGAAAAGTTGCATGATGCATTCATTAAGGCAGATAAACTAATTGAAAATGAGGGAACTGGATCTTCGGGTTCCACGGCTGCTGTTGCTGTACTTCGATGGGAACTCAAAGACGCAACGGGAGAGCCCACAGCATACAGTGCAGGGGAAGATGGGAAATCACAGTTTGATTTTATACCTAGCAAGGACCACAAGAGAATATTATACACATCTAATGTAGGTGACCTGAGGATCCTTTTATGTCGGGAAGGTCACCCTTATCGTCTATCGTATGACCACAAGGCGACAGACGACAACGAGGTGAATAGGATTCGCGAAACGGGTGGACTTGTTATGAAGAACAGAGTAAACGGAGTTTTGGCTGTCACAAGATCCTTAGGTGACACATACATGAAGGATTTAGTTGTAGGGAGGCCATTTACAACCTCGACCGAAATCACACCAAAAGACGAGTTTATGATATTAGCATGCGACGGACTTTGGGACGTTGTCCCTGATCAGAAAGCCTGCCAATATGTATCAGAGTTATTCAAAACTAACAGTGATCCTCAGGATGCAGCGAAAAAGTTATGTCAGCTTGCTATGGATAATTCTACGACCGATAATGTGACAGTCATGATCGTGAAATTTGATAAAAGGGTATTTGATATATGAAATGACTTTACCTAAAAAAATTAACGTCATATTTTCAAGCTTGCTTCGTAACTGTGGAATAAACTGTGAATATCATTACTATACATATTCCAGTATAAATAATCTAATTTGCTTTCAATGAGATATTTTAAGAAATTTTAGATTCAATAGCATAAGTATGTTCTTCACCAGATTCAAAATCCAATTCTTTTGTAACTAGTTTTGGTCTGTACAACTTTAGAGCCAAACTACTCATTACAACACTTATAGACGAAGCTGCCATAGCAGCACTGGCCCACACTGGATTCAATCTAGAATTATGATAGGGGTATATCACTCCAGCTGCAATTGGAATGCCAATGATATTGTAAATCAAGCTCCACGCGAAATTGAACTTCACCCTGTTAAAACAAACTTTCGACAAGTCCAAAAGAGTAAGTAACGCTAGCAAAGGATGAGCTCTATTCAACAATACAAAATCACTCGAAGTAATAGCAATATCAGTGCCGGATGATAAAGCAATTCCAACATCGGCTGTCGCCAATGCTGGAGCATCATTAATACCATCTCCGACCATTGCAACGACTCCACCAGATACCTTTTGAACTCTCTTGATTTGTAATTCTTTCTCTTCTGGAAGCACTTCGGCCACTACGTTGCGTATATTTATTTCACTGGCTATTGCGTCAGCAGTCAATTTGTTGTCGCCCGTAATCATCCAACACTGGATGTTGAAGTTCTTTTGAATATATGAGATTACTTTCTTCGATTCTGCTCGGATCAGGTCACGACATGCCATCATGAGAAGGAGATGAAACTTGCCATCATCAAAAAATTTCTCTGCCTTGATTGCAACTAATATAACGGATTTGCATTTCTCTTTCCAATTAGTCAAAACCTCATTTTGTTTACTTGATATCGTCACGCCATGATCTTTCATTAAAGCTTCATTACCCAACAATGCCACAGACGGAGAGTATTGTGACCAAGCATCATTATCTGATTCAAAAAGAAACCTACCTTTCAAGCCTTTTCCAGGAACAGTCTCGACTTGCGGTACTCTATTTTGGGTGGGCTTGAACTCTGTGTGCTTTGAAGTATATTCATTTATGAAGAGTTTAGCAGCCTCAGCGATAGGGTGCTTTGACGCTAACTCCAAGTCTCTTGTCGCTTGTATTCCAAATAACTTGATCAACCGAGACCTATCCACAGCTTTATCCTCCACAAATGCGAAGTCAGTAACCAGGAGTTTACCATTAGTTAATGTTCCAGTCTTATCAAAACAAATTGTTGAAATGTTTGCTCCTTGTTGGAACGCAGCCCCACCCCCTTTCGCTAAAATACCATACTTTGCAGCTAATCCTGAACCTACGAGAAGAGCAGTCGGTGCAGCTAATCCGATCCCACACGGACAAGCAATGACAAAAACTGCAATAGCAAACTCCAAAGACCATACCGTCCAACCACCAACATCAATGTCCAAATAACTATCCGGTAATCGTCCTGAATATGCCAAAGCTAACCAAATAATCCAAGTAACTATGGCTAATGTCACAATAATAGGTACAAAATATCCTGTCAATTGATCAGCAACTTTTTCTATCGGAGCTTTACGGAGTTGACCATTTCTGACAGTATCAATTATCTGATCTATTAAAGACCCATCCTCGATGTTGATTATCTTTGCAACCACGGCACTGTTTCCTATGTTAACAGTACCAGAAAAAATTTGATGGCCAGGGCTGTGTTTCACTGGAGTCGATTCACCGGTCAAAGCAGATTCATCAAATTCCGTGGAGCCATCCACTAGTATACAATCAACTGGAGGGGAATCTCCGGAAAGCACTCGAATATAATCATCACTTTCTAAATACTTTACGTCAATGATTTGGTCATTGACAAATTTGCCTTCTCGCTCTTCGACCAACGTCGCATTTGTCACTTTCATAGAGCTTAAATTGGAAATAGAATCTGCTGTTTTTCTTTTCGAATAACTTTCTAAGAGCCTACCTATTAATAGGAAAAAAGATAAAAATACAACAGAATCAAAATAAGTCGTTCTCAGTCCTGACATACTCTTTTCTTCATTTGCACTCAAAATTAGTAATGCAATACTGGCAAAATACGATACAGAAGTTCCAGCAGACATAAGTAAGCTCATTGATCCAAATTTAAAAATCCTTCTCTTAAAAGAATTACGATGCATCCATAGAGACGAAACTTCCTTGAAAGCCTTACGATGAAAAATATCTGCAGCAAAGAAATAAACAGGTGTACTAAGTATTAATAAAATCCATGTGTTTCTTGCCACATTTCCAGCCCATATGGGCTCCTCCACCCAAACCCGAAAAGGGTTAGTGGAATGTAATAGAGTCATTGCAACGACCCCAAATATGAAGGTAGGAATAGCAAAGACGGTTGCTATAACTAGCCTCCATGCAATTTTGATAAACTCTTTTTTACTTAGTTTCCGTATATGTTCATCCATTGACTCAGGCTCAATTAAATTACATTCAAAAAGACTCTTTTTGTTAACATCTATCTGATAACCGTCTTTTGTCCTTTGAAGATGGTTCAAACCGAACATTATGTTTCTGATATTCACATCTTGACTTGGAAGATACTTGAACCTGATGTAAGGATACTTCAAAGTAAGAGGATCTTCAATAACAACAGCCTCTCCATAACTCTCTAAATATTGAGTGATGATTTCTGGACAATGATTACAAAACATGCCTTCTACCCTCAAATGTATTGACCTTGCTCTTTTCTTATTCAGAGTATAATTAATCTTCGTTTTACTCACTAAATCGAAATCAAAACCACAGTCCTCAATAGTTCTTCGTAATTTCGTCAAGTTGTCATCATCTTTAGGTGTATTTTCAATAATGAATTGACCAACTTTTGTCACTGCGTTTATTCCGCACTCCAAGATAAAAGGTAACTCATTCACTGCACTTACAATAGAATTAACACACGAAGCACAAGTTACACCACCAATAATCGCAGTAACTTTGAGATTCACTGATCGTTGAACTGGAAGAAGTTCAAGCAAGCGGCAGTCAAAGCCCATGTCATTTATCAGATCCACAACTTTGTTTACTATCTTTTTGTTCGGTAGAAGAACTATAGCATTGTTCTGAAGGAGGTTGACGGAAAAAAGAGGCTCTTCGTCGACTTTGGCTTGAACTCCCGCAGAAGAGAGAACTTGACTGATTGCTTCAGAAATCGATTGAGCACATGAAGCACAGGTCATACCTTCAATAGTGAAAACAGCTCTGAATTCTTTTTCCAGACGATCTACTAAAGTTTCCAATGTTGAATCTTCCGATATCGAATCTGAAGATTCCTTTTCATCTTGACACTTCTTGCAGTGCTTCAAGTGATTCTTATTAATTTGCCTCTTTTTAAAAGAAGAGATTAACTTAGAGAACCAAATTTCATCTTCAGTTCCCCCTGAGTCAATATCATGTAATTCAGTATGACTATTATTATCCTTCTGCTCACCTGCGTTTTCGTCATCACGCAACTCCCAAGAAATAACTATAAAACCAGTCTTTTTTAGCTCCTTTATTAATTTTTTAACTAAGTAACCATTTACACCTGCAGAAGACAGCTTATTGAAAAAAAGCTTTAGCACATTATTGTTTAGGTAAAATAATACTGTCGTATTTTGACTCTCAGCAATCAGAGACACATCAGATACTTCAGTTAAAGGAAAGTATCGTGAAATCGTAGTATATATTGAATCCCGACAGTCTTCACAATGAATGTTTGAAAAATTAAGTTCTATTTCTTTCATCACTACCAAAGGGAATATGTCTGCAGACATCACTCATATTTGACCTTTATTATGCTCTTAAATAAGAGATTTGAGATGTTTTCGCTGCGAAAATATATGCGCAATAGATTACAATGATCACATGAGATGACAAAAGGGCATCATCTTTTATCTCTAAATGCAGCGAAAATATATGCGCAATAGATTACAATGATCACATGAGATGACAAAAGGGCATCATCTTTTATCTCTAAATAATATTGAAGAAAAATAATAAGACTCAACGTCTCTAAACCAAATAACCCCCCAATGTAATCTTTTATAGTCAGTCTTTTCTCTCAAAAAAGAATAGGATCGAGGGAAGGGTCATACCAAAAATAAGTCCAATAATCTTTTCAAAAGCCGTGTGAAAGAAAAAGCAAGTAACCACGTACATACAGTAGGTTAATAATACGTAAAGAAGTGAATAGGAAAAAATTACATTTTTAATCCACTTCTTAGCCCTTTTATTAAGAGCCTGCTTCTTTCTCTCATCCATTTCTCCATCTCTATTTTCATTTCCTATCAAATTGCTGGCAACCTGCGCTTCTGTATCTGTCTGCAAAGAGTCTGTAGATGACTCACTGAATCCCAGTAAACCCTTCAACATCTCTTGCCATATGAGGCAACTTGTAGAAGATATGAAGTACATGTGACCAGACACATCAAATCCATTAATCCATTTGCCATTATGCTCTAAACACTTTCTCTTGTAATCAATGGATTCAATGGAGCAACATCCGGAAGTCATAGTATTGATTCGATCGAATATTGAGGGCCCAAAGCACCATATATTCAACGCCAAAAAAATCACAGTATTGACACAATAAACAGAAATAAAACGATATACAACGACTTCTGGGACTCTCAACGACTTTTCACTGCAATAAGTTAAAATAAAGCTTAAGTAAACTATTGTGAACCAGGCATATCCATGTTTCTCGATGAGACATTGGTTCCAAAATCTGAGAAATGCAATATTTGCAATTCTATCAGAATATCTCTGAGAAGTGAATTGAAATGGCAATGACACTACCAATGTAAGAACGTACAACGTAATAGCTACATTGCTTTTCAAATGCATCACCTTTGATCTTCCTATCGGAAGCCTAGCACCAATTGCTGGATTTTAGTGAGAAATGATAGTGGGTTGAACAGGACCCCCAAAGCATATCGCATTTCACTAAACATCACGTGAAATGATTGAAGTATCGCAGTTGCATCAAAGAATAGATGAGGTACTACTGCTACCACGTAAGTGGAATAGATTGCAAAACTAATTGTGATAGCATGCTGTTGTCTAGGCAAATGAAATCTCTGACAATACGGTATCTCAAATCGACAAGTGGTCGCTCAGGGCCATTTATGTCTTATTTTGATTCCCCAAAATTTTTTTCCATATCCTCCAGAGCAATTCATACATCACAGAATCTTAAAAATAATGCCAGCACTAACCCTCAGATGACTTTTCCTTGTCTTGATAAATTGGAAAAAAAGACAGAAGCATTGTCAGGGTGTACTAATGATTCTACTGCATCAACCATGGAATCAGGTCCAGAGCCATCATATTCAAAGGTGCAAACTGGATTTAAGCTATATAAGAGTGGGAAGCCAATATTTGTCGACAACGGGGGTTATCTTCCAAATTATGAAATAGCTTACGAAACTTGGGGTGAGTTGAACAGTGCAAGGGATAATATAATTTTGATCCATACTGGCTTATCTGCGTCTTCTCATGCGAAGTCTCAACCATTGAACAACAAACCAGGCTGGTGGGAAAACTTCATTGGTCCTGGAAAATACTTGGATACAAACAAATACCTTGTGGTTTGTACTAATGTTTTAGGTGGCTGCTATGGCTCAACTGGTCCTTCTTCTAAGGATCCAGCTAATAATGCTTACTATGGCACCAGATTTCCAATTCTATCAGTGAATGATATGGTAAGAGCACAAAGGGAATTAATCAGAGACGTTTTCAAGGTAAACAAGATATATGCAGCAGTAGGTGCCTCCATGGGTGGAATGCAATCTCTCGCGTATGCGTGGGAATTTCCGGATGAAGTTGAGAAGATAGTATCGATAAGTGGTTGCGCGAGATCGCATCCCTATTCAATAGCGTTGCGTCATACTCAAAGACAAGTTCTTATGAGTGATCCAAATTGGAAAAGAGGATTTTACTATGGAAAGGTCCCCCCTCACATAGGAATGAAGTTGGCGAGGGAAATAGCAACAGTCACGTACCGGTCTGGACCAGAATGGGAATATCGCTTCGGAAGAAATAGAGCAGATGATTCTAAGCCCCCAGCGTTTTGTCCTGACTTTTTGGTAGAGACCTACTTGGATCATCAAGGCGAAAAATTTTGTTTAGAATATGATCCGAATTCCTTTTTGTATATTCTGAAAGCCATGGATCTTTTTGATTTAAGCCAATCGAACCGAGAAAAGGCGCAAAGAGTTAGACTTGCGACAGAACAAAAATTCAATGGAGAACTTACCATGGAAAGCGAAGGCTCACTTCCAAAAGAACCATATAAAGAAAAAGTGCAGTCCGCCACAACAACACCAGAAGAATCATTAGAAGATCTACAAAAAGGGTTAAGCAAGATCGCTCACAAAGATGTTTTGGTGATAGGTGTCGAATCGGATATTTTGTTTCCAGTTTGGCAGCAAAGGGAAATTGCAGATGTTTTGAAGAAAAATAAAAAAGGCGGTAACATAACGTATTTCGAATTAGGCACAGATGTAAGCAATTATGGACACGACACATTCTTATTACGTTTGGACAATATCGGTGAGCCAGTGAAGGATTTCCTTTCTAATTCAAATTAGCATTCATTTTTCTAAATAGAAATGTATCTATCATTTTTATTTTTTACAGAATTGTATTATACTATTGTACCATGGTGGGGATCCAACTCATATCCCAAATTTCTACTCACTGAGTAAACAAACTCTCTCATGTTGGATACTAAAACTTTTGCCAAGCCACTCTTCTTCTTCTCATTTCTATCAGCTATATCAATATGGTGTGGTAACAAATTGTCATTAACACTGAGACTTACGAATAACGCGAATGGAACAAGCCATACGCACAATCCAAAAAAAGAGCAAACTTCTGCAAAAGACGGAATCCTTGGTGGTTCATAATCAGGTCTTAGTCTGACTTCTAACGGTGGGATATATGGGTTATGGAAATGCCTAAACCATAACGTGTGATTCGCTATTACTAATACGCAGGAGAATAGAAACACTGGAGAAGTTAGCTGGACATAAGGGAATTTAGTCAAATTTTGTAGATAAACGTAGCATGATGCTAATGAAAATGCCGTCAACTTAAAGGGAAACCCATCGAATAACCAAAGTAAAACAAATACAGTCATAATAATGAAAATTAACCTTTTCAACAATCTTTTCGTTGGCTCTGAATGTTCTTCAACCAATTCTGAAATATAATATAGCCCAGACGCTATAGCCAAAACAAGAAATAGGAATCCAATCACTATTCCTACATATGATAGCAATTGAAGAAACATTTTGCGTTCCGTTTATATTATAGACTTACAGAGATAATATTTTACAAGTATGGGGGACGTGTTCAGAAGGATGCGAATACCATATTCATGATCATGTGATGTACATTATTCGATCTATTATTCTAATCATATATATCAATAGGCGGGATTCTGTCGGTATTGTAAAACCAATTACCTCCATCAAGTTCTCTCAGTAACCAGTCAACAGGAAATAAAACCAAGTTTCCTCTAATTTCCTTTAGCAAACGCTCAGCAGAATCGCGTTCAAATATTCTTTCACCCATATAAGCTCTTCTAGCAGTGAAGTTTGGTCTTCTTCTTGTCCTTCTTCTTTTTCCTGATGACGTAGTTTCATTCATTTGACCATTCAGATTTGGAGATGGACCATTTAAAGTGCTTTCACGAGCATTATTGGAGAGAGGTTCATTAGCTTCTTGAGTCGTGTCACTGTCATCACCCATCTTATCACCTAGTTCATCCTCTCCTTTACCATTTGCTTTTTCTTTTCCTACATCTTCAGTCTTCCCATCTTCACCCTCTCCTTGTGTGTCTTCTTTACTATTGAAGGCACGTACCAACTTCCTTTTAGGGCCACCATTAAATGCACTTTTCTGATCTCCATTGATGGTATCGCTCAGGGGTTCAGGGGGGACTTGTCCAAGAAGACCAACGTCCTGGTCTAAAGTATTCATATTGATTGTAGCTTTACTATTATTGCTATCAAATCCTGGTCTATAGTGCAATTTGTTATCATTTTCATCCTCCGACTCCTCAGAGCTACTATCTGCTTCAGATCGATGTCTATATTTCGCTTCCCTTTGTTGAGATATTACGAATGCCCTATTCAACTTGGAATACTGTTTATAGTTTTTCCAAGACTGGACATTATTATCCGGCTGTGTGTGAAAGACTATTCTAAACAATTCAGTGTTTTTTCTTGCATTCTCATACCAGAGGTCTTCATAGAATTCCTCGTCCAAAGGATCTTCAAAACAATAGGGATCCACGAACAGACTCGAGCTCTTGATTCCCCTGGATTCTATGTCTTTGATCACTTCTCTTGCTGATTCTTCATTGAAAGATACAATTGGAACATCTTCACTAAAGGTTTCAGTTGAAAGGGGTTCCACAGCTTTTTTCTCCGGTAAAGAATTTAATGATTTGCTTGAGGAATCCACATTCCACGCACCAACTGGAACACTGTTATGCATTTGCAAGTCTGTATTAGGCACTACATTATGAGGGTCTGGCTCCACATTGCTCTTTTTAGCAGCAAGGTCGACATTTGGTGATAGCCCAGCTCCTACTCTTTTCTTTGATTCTTCTTCATTTTCACCTTTTTCTCTTGCAGCAACTCGTTGTAAATAAGAGATCTTTTTTAAGAGAAGCCATCTTTCTTTATTTCTTTCGCTTATAATACGTTCACATTCATCATCCATTTCGTCCACCATGTCAAAGTCATCAGCTTGTAAGAAATCGTAAACAGTTTCAATGTCGGGCAAAAAAACTTTATTTGGCCGCTCCTCCATTGCCTTGTGAGCTAATTCCTTTAGCATCTTGCCGCTATTAAATCTTGCCCTCCTGGCTAGTTTACTTTTATATTTATCTAAGCCATCGCCGTAAACATCTCTTTTGTGATTCTCGTTATGTTGAACTCTAGCATCGAAAGAATGTTTCTTCTTATCTCTGATGCCTTTATTTGCTTCATGTTCCCCGGTTCTATTATTGAACGATACAGGTAACGATAATGGAGTTGGAGCCCTCAGTGCTTCTTCGTGTTCCTGAATATCAGATAAGGGAACATCAAATACCGAAGGATCTAAATTTTTGGAATTTCGATAATTTTTCCATCTGAAAGTCCCTTTTGGTTCATTCAAAACGTCCCTAGACGCAATTTCAACCATTGCCGACAATACAATATTTTCAAAATTCTTAAAATGGCTCGTGGCAGCTATTAAACCCTTTTCAGTTCTGGCAAAAGATTCAAATCTCCAAAATCTTCTCTCCACAATATCAAGAATATCAACGCTGACTCCCAAATGCTCTCTCATTAGCCTCATTCTTAAAGTATGAGCAAACTTGCCAGCTAGATAGGATTCACCACCCATAGTGGTTGCTATAGTTTCCTTATCCTGAACAACTACTGCAACCTCTGAGTCTCTGATTCCTCTCATAGAACGCTCATTGATATTTGCACTTCCAATAATCGCAGCCCTGTCATCAACCACCATAGTCTTAGCATGAACATATAATTGCTCTGTGACAAGTGTCCTCTGAGGGCCCACTCGTCCCCACTTCCTAAGTGAAAAAAACTGAATATAGTCATCTGGTTCGATGCCGTACTTTCTGAGTTTGGCAAAGATCGAAGTTGAGCCTCTTGAAATGGACATGAACTGGCATTGCATGATTACACGGACTGATGAACCATCCGGCTCGTCGACTTGAGATTCAAATCCAGGCATTAACGGTATGACAATAACAGCTCTCCAATCAGTACCTTCATTATAAGCCCTTATGATTCGATCGACCAAAGCGTCACCTATTCTGTTATGTATTTCGTTGCCATCTATGAAACATGATGTGACAAAGAATTGGTTCTCAATATAAACAAAGTGTTCAGACGTCTCTATAAGCTTCAAGTATGCATTTTGAATACTTTGTTCATGATGTTTTAGACCCAAAGACCAATTTCCAGAAGATCTAAGAAGCTGAATTTGACATGTACCTTCTAGACCTAGTTCCTTGACTTCCGCGTCAGTCATATCAGGAGGAGGAATCAACAACGGAGTAAACCTACTAGGTCTCTTCTGACGAATCAAATAATTCCACCTCTGAACGAAGTGCCTGGCCAAATCTCTGGCGACTTTTCCCGAAGTCACCATATGTACATCGTGCCACGGCATGCGGGGGACAGCATTTCTGTCATACATAGACTCATATGGTTTATCTAGCGAGGAAAAGTCTTTTACTCTTGGATTAGAATAATCCTTGCCCGGAAAAGTTTGAAACTTAATAAACTCTTCATTAGTGAACCTTTCATTAGGATCTAATGAGGTAAAATTAATCTTTGAATCATCAACCAAAACGTGGTCAGGCGTGTCAAATCTTCCATAGCATAAATCGATGCCTCCAACGAATGCAATGGTTTGGTCAACGACACAAAGCTTCTCGTGATGAGCCCAGAAATAGGTGTTTTGCAAAAGCTGATTCGGAGATCTAATAACATGTATGTTCTCCTCGTTTAAAGATAAAAGTGAATGCTTCGTATACAATGAATCTGTGGCAACTGTTGTGCCCACATTTCTATAAATGATGACAAATATCTTAACGCCTTGCTGGGCCTTTCTTTGAAGAAGTCTATCAATTCTCCATTGTTGATTTCCATTGGCAGGTCTTCTAAGATATAGCTCTGGGGAAAGCCACCAGTCATGAATGAAAACCACATCTTTGGCCATTTCAATCGCTGAAGACACAGCCCAAAAGTAATCCCTACCATCAACAAACCATTGAGCAAAGCAATCGTGTCTTATTGGCGCGAAAGAATCAAAGCGATTTTTCTCTGACCAAATTGAAGAATTTTTCATCTGGTTTAAAGACTGAATCCATAATTTTTGTTCTTTCAGTGACTTTGGAATTAATACTAACTTTCTTTCGGAGTTTTCCAAAGTGATTTTTAAATGTTTAAAGACGTTTTTGCTAGGGACATCGCTATCTTCAATATGAGCAATTTTCTTTTGAATTAAAGATGAATCATCATAGTCGGATTCATCATCATCTTTGAAGGTAATATCATCACGGCGAAAATTTATTTTAAAACTTGAATCCACCAAAAATACTTCTAAAGGGGATGTTGAGTTAATATCCGACACGTACATTACGTAGGAATTTCGAATTAGCAACCATTTTTCGGAGCGTCTGTCAATCATATTTTTTAAGTCATTAGCCTTGAAATGACCTACTCTCCATCCCTGTGACTTAGCTGTACCACCAATGTGAATAACTCCCTGTTTACCCGTATATCCAGTTTCATAGCTCAATAATGATGAGATTGGAGAAATTTCAAAAAACTGAAAGAGCCTGTTAGATTGGGGTTTCAAGGAAACAAGCTGAATCAAATCATTCAAGTATTTCGTTACATCTTTGACATATTCTTGATTTTTTAGGACCCTTTTACGAAGCTGATCTGGCGACGGCTCATCGGATGACAATGATGAAATGCTACTTAAGTGAGAACGCAAATGAGCAAACTGTTCTCTAAAAGTGTGATTTGAGAGTATTGACGCATTATCGGGTTGACGCAGAATTTGACTAGACGCATCCAAATCATGTTCACGTCCTTGTGGTTCACTTGCCAAATCTCCATTTTCTGGCAAATCACCAGTTGCTTTTCCTGCCCTCGATCTCATCCTGGCATTATCACGACGGTAAAGTAGTGGGGGTATAGGATACTTCGGAAGGTCGGTGTTTTTACTTCCAACTATATCATTTCTCCAATTATCGAACTTGAATTTTGAATGCAAGTATAACAAATCTTTCGCAGTTCTGTCAACAGACCATTTCATCCTCTGAGGGCCAACACCATAATCTAATTCAATTTTAAATCTTCTCAATTTTGTGTTTATGCTAGGCGATATGTCGATAACTTTTAGACCAAGTAATGTTAAAAGAAGTGGTGATCTTGCAATACCGTGTTCATCTTCCAACAAACAAGATGCAAGAATATTAATAGCAGGAGAACCTATAGTTAACGTTGCAATTAAATGTCTTGCTCTTTCTACAGTAGCATTCTCGTCGTCAACCTCGAGCTCATCTACGTCTATTGGAGCAGCTGTAGACTTTCTCTTATCTTTGTTTTTTTTTCTACCGAAAATCTGAAACTTTCTCATAAACTTTTGTCTACTTTCATCCTCAGTAAATTGACCATCGTTCTCATTATTCAAATTACTGCGTGGTGAACCTGGGCGGTAACGATCGTTTGTATTCATATTAGTTCCATGCACATGAGATGGAGCATCAGGTTCGTTTTGGATGCTTGTGTCGTTGTTGGGTGGATACATCTCTTTATCCTTCTCTTCCTCTTCTTCATTTTTATACCTTGACTCCTGATTATCTGAATTCCTATTGAAAAACGACCAAGGGTTACCGATAACATTAGGAGAAAGCAGAGCGAAACCAATGCTACTTTTTCCATTTGACAAGTTTTTTTTTGGTTCATTCAGAGGTGCTTCAGAATTTTGTGAAATAGACTTATAAATTTTTGCTGCATCACCACTTTCTCTCAACAGAGTTGTTTTATTTTCTATTTTGGCGTCATCGCTGTTGTCAATACCACTAGTAATTGAATGATCAGAATCTCCATCAGGAATTGACTGCACATCAGAAATAGAGCTGCGTCGTTCGTTGTCACTTTCAGAAGAGCTTGGCGGGCTTTCGTTTTTTTTCAACATGTTTATTTTGATGATGCGTGCCGCTAAGCTCAAGACAATATCTCCTGAACAACCTCTTCAAAGACTAATGTATATGTGAATCCAATTCGAAATAATCTCGATCTAGTTTCTATACAAACAAAATAGAGTGTTTGATCATTGCTCGTATCTAAATGTGAAACGTATTCCTCAATGTAATTATGAAAGTCCGCACTACAATTTTTGGAGCAGTATTTTTTTTATCTCCACATGTGGAGAGGATGGCAATAATGACTTAATAGATTGAAGATAGATTGAGAATAGATGATAAAGATGTAAAATAGAATTATTTATTTATATTTTGGAATGCACTATGTCGAAAGAGTAGTAATTCTCACAAGTTATCTGTAACTAATCTTTGCTTATGACCCAACCACATAGCATGAGAAGTATGGTCGATTAAATCACCTTTATCAGATCGTGGGTGAATCAATACGGAAAGGTTTCCGTGATTGAGCTGAAAATAAGGGACAATCTTACTAAATATTTCGGGACTTTTAAAATCCAACTCCCACATATTCAACGGATGAGGCCCGATTGGCTTATCCCAGAATCTATAAACTCGGATATTTCCGTTATTTATGTCTTCAGTGAAATCTTTTAATACTCTCTCTCTTAATTCGTATGCTTGAAGGCGCTCTTTCGTACTGTTCAGGTTCCAATACGTATGAATATCATAAGATTTTATACTGCCGTAAAATTTCGTATTGACACTCAGAGTCGACATTTTGGCAATCGAATTGAAAGCAGTTGAACTTCCCTATCGAAAAGCTTTTCACAATCACTGAGAAAATACCTGGTTGTCTCCCGTATGTCACACTATATTTATTAGTTAGAACTCACTAAAACTAGGTGCGGTTCATATACAGGACATTTGTAATAATTAGTCAATCAGCTATACCATATCCTTCATCTGAATTGTGACATAGTCGCGATCTTGATGACCATCTGTCACTTGAGAACCATCAGATCCTTGTATCGCAACCGACGTCTCGGGATGGTGCAATTCCAGATGTAGCATATCTTGACGTTGACGCCATCTTTTACGTCTTTCCATAATTTCATAACCTGATATAAGGAGTAAGCCGAAGAGACTACCACATATATTTGCAAGTATATCATGATAGTCATAGATTCGTTTAGGATTTACAATATGCTGTAAAATTTCCAGCAATATACCTCCTGCCAAGGTGCATACCAAGAGTGTTATGTATCTTAATGTCTTCAAGGATCTGTGATGCGTATCAAAGATAAAATAAAACTCTACAGTCAAAGTGAAGAATGTAGCAAAATGAACGAGCTTATCTTGCTTTATCTCTATCAGCGCAAAACCCAAATAACAAGTAACGACGATTGAGATTAAAAATACTGAAAACGTTAGAATTTATGAAAAGAACCTCACTAATCTCATTTAACTTACTTATTAGTACTGAGATCCTAATTTCAACCATTTTGATCTCAAATTTCAAGCCTTCACTTAAAGAACCTTAATCATTGGAATTTTGACTATATTCTCGTATTGTTATCAATCCGCTTAAAATTAATGAGCAATTACTGTATGCAAGAAGGACAAAAAGCATCTCTTGTTCCTTATTGTACAAACTCATGCTAGGTACACTAGTAGCAAGGCATCAAAGTTTGCTTAAGAGTACAGAGAAATGTCTCTACTCAACCAGCTATCTTCTTGGGGCATTAGAAAATTCCAAAAAAACAGTCCATCAATTAAGTACGAGAGAGACTACCAAATCACCATCGCCATGGACATTCAATGAGTTAACGAATGTCATCACAACTCCAACTAGGCTTAATGAACAATTTCTTCACGAGCACTATTTAGCTCCTACCCAAGCACAAGTCAATTATACTCAAAGTTTCTTCAATAGATCTAAATTTCGTTTACTTTGGACTGTTGGCAATTACGATGAAATACCGGATATCAAATATGAAAGGTTAAAAGAAGCCAAAGGTTTAATACATAATGATCACCCTAAAAGTTCCTTTGGTGTGGATCCAAAGTTGTTGAAGCCTTTACCTGAAGTCATTCTCCTTGGTCATACTAATGTCGGCAAGTCGTCATTAGTAAATAATTTGCTTTTAAATAAAGAAGAGAATAAAAGCCCTGGTGCCTTCACAGAACACTCATTTGTATCAAGGAGAGCCGGGTACACAAAAACACTCAATTGCTTCGATATAGGGAATCAATTGAGGTTAATAGATAGTCCCGGGTATGGGGAATATGGAGAAGAGACGCAAGGAGAATTTGTCACCGAATATATTTCTCAAAGAAAGCAATTAAGAAGAGCTTATGTGCTAATAGATGCTTCAGTTGGATTTTTGGAAGAGGATCTACATATTATAAGAGAGTTGACAAGATTGGGAATTGCTTTTGACATCATTTTTACTAAAGTTGATGTCACTATTTCAAAGTTTATGCCAAAGAAAGATTTTTTCAAATCATACAAAGGACTAGGGGCTACAGAAAAAGCTAAAGCAAAGAAAGTCGTTGAGATGTCTAACGTCCACATTTTCAATTATTTTCAAACCATGATAGATGCTCATGCCATCGATCTCATTTCTTTGCCCAGATTCATGTTTAATAATGCGCAACGTAGTGTTTTTTTAAAATATCGATATGGCTATAAGCAAATCAGATTCTCAATCCTCCAAAGTTGTGGCCTAGTATGATATGATCTTAGAGGATTTACAATCACATCTTCAATCGGAAATGCGCAAATGTACAACTTTAAATATGCATCTACATAGATATTATAGAAAATACACCTTCTGATAGCAAATAATATATGAAGGTGAGAAAACTCCTAATAAATTTGGTGCACAGCTAGCTCCTAAATCCTCCTCTGCCTCCTCTACTTCCGCCACGGCTAAAACCACCTCTACCTCCACCACGGCTAAAACCACCTCTACCTCCACCACGACTGAAACCACCTCTACCTCCACCACGACTGAAACCGCCTCGGCCACCACCACGACTACTGAAACCACCTCGGCCACCACGGCCACCGGCACCACCAGCAGACTTTCTCTTAGGCTTTGGGCCGTACTGTTTCGGTTTAGGCAAAAACCTGTCTAAAGGTAACAATTTATCTGGACCAATATAAAACTTGTCACCATCTTTAAACGATTCTGCTTTCACGCCCTCGGAAGGCTTAATCGTAAAAAAAACTTCGTTAATAGGTCCCAAGATTTCGTCAACTTTTCCTATCTGGCTCTTATTCTCCAAGTATATGGGTGCATTGAAATAAGGAATCTTGACGTTTATTGAGCGACAGACTATGTCTCCTTCACAAGATTTAAAATAAGTACCCATTTCTAACACAGAATCAGGAGGACCTTGTTGGAACTGAGAAGGACCGGTTCTTCCACCACGTCCACCTCTGAATCCACCTCTTCCTCTATTCATTATGACCTTTTATTTTCTTTGGGTTTAGCTTTCTTTGCTCATAGAATTGTACGCTCAAAGTGAAAAAAGTTTATACTCATCGTAAGAAGTCGTACGACATGAAACATTTTGCGACATTTCATATAGCATTGTGGCGCATTTCTTAATAAGAATCAATTCTAGGTTAAACATAGAAGAAGAACCGAGTTATAGGGTCTACTAAGCTGCTTCCTAATAACTTCTGCCATTACATGTACCACTTTGTAGACGTATCTTTAATGAGGTACCATGTTACCATTATACAAAGTCGTGCGCTTTCGCACTGTACTGACTATCTCCATTAAATAGTGAGCAAAACAGTATTCACAAGTCATAACACCCGTACGGACCCGATACTTTTCCAGTCAAATAATTGAATACAGCTTACACTCAAATAATTTCGATTGGATGCATCATGAGTGTCTCACTGCGTAAGTTCTGGTAACGATGTTTTCCTCATAATGGCTCGCGTGACTAACATTTATTTAGCTTCTCCTATATTTAAAGTAGGACTCACACCTGATGAAAAGAAATTATACTCACAATTGTTTAAAGCTTTGGACACTGAGTCTACTGGTATTATAACAGGAGATAAAGCAAGATCGACTTTTGAAAAATCTGGTTTGCCACCTACGATATTGGGTGAGATCTGGCAACTCGCTGATCAAAACAACTTGGGCTTTTTAACTCAATTCGGATTTTGTTATGCCATGAGATTAATCGGCTATACTCAAGCAGGTAACCATCCTACTGCTGAGCTTGCGGATTATCCGGGACCATTGCCCAAGTTTGCGAATGCAATTGCACCACTGACGGGCTCTTTACAACCTCAATCTACAAGTAGCTCGTTCATGCAATCCCAACCGAGCTCTATTATCCCTCAAAACACAACGACTCTTCAATCCCAGCCCCAGGGATCAATTAAATCAGTAAACCCTTCTGACATCCAAAAATTTGGTGACTTATTTATCAAAACTGTTGGTTCTTCGCAAGGAAAACTTGACGGTTCTAAGGCAAGAGATATCTTTTTGAAAGCAAAATTACCCACTTACACTTTGGGTCAGATTTGGAGCTTAGTTGATAGAGATAATTCAGGTCACTTGGACCTTGGAGCATTCGTGATTGCAATGTATTTGATTCAGGGCTTGCTAGGAGGAACTATCAAACAGTTACCTCCCTTCTTACCTGAGAGCCTTTGGCAATCTGTCCAGCTTTCTAACACATTTTCTGACAAGTCTCCTGGATCGAGACAGACCTCCTACGGATCTGTGAATTCTCAACAGACCACGATTAGGCGTCAAGCTTCGACTTCTGGATCCTTTATTCCTAATCTGCAAGCTTCAAAAGATTGGATCGTAACTCCCACAATGAAACAACAATATGCTTCTATATTTGCGAATTTGGATAAATCTAATACTGGGCAGTTAAGTCCTGATCAAGTTGCTTCATTCTTGATGACTTCTAAATTAGGTCAACAAGACTTAGCGACTATATGGGATCTATCAGATATTCAAAATACAGGTATTTTCTCTTTGTTAGAATTTTCAATAGCGTTGTTTTTGGTAAACAAGAAATTGGCAGGTGAGGAACTTCCAAACATTGTTCCTGATTCTTTAATATCATCTCTAAGGGATGGTCAGCTACCATCATATTCGAGTTCTGTTCAAAGTTCGAAGGTAACGGAAGACAATCAGCCTAAGAGTCAGTATCCAGGACATGATGGTAAATCATCCACTGAGAATGTGATTCCACAACCTCTTGAGAAGCAAAAGACTGCTATGGACGATTTGGTTGACATATTTGGCACTTCAGAAAGCTCTGTTACAGCTCCTGCTAGGCCCTCAGCTCCTCAAACTCGATCTTCGAGCAGTGACTTGACCTCTGCACCTTCCACGTCAAAAGGACTTTCGACTTTTAAACCAACATCGAGCTTTGGACAGAGCTTGTTACAAAATCAACCCTCTCCACAAAAGGAAATCGAAAGAATGAGTGCCCCCAAAGAAATCGACGAGGAGCCTGAACCGAGTGCTCGCACCGTGCCCGTTCCCGTTCAAAAAAGGGAACTGAAGCAAATTAATTATGATGCCTTGAGAGCAGTACCTCCTCCAGTTGCTAAAAGGAATAACAGCTCTTTAGATAGACCTGAAAGCTCTGTTGAGTCAATTCCATCTTCCCAATCGATTGCCGAGAAACAGAAGACACCTGAGGCGGCAAATGGCGACTTGTTGGCTGATAAAGAAGTTTCGGGTCAATTGTCTCAGGCAACATCTGACATAGCAAACATATCAAATCAAATTAAATCCCTCACTACTCAAACCACTGGTTTACAAGATAAGAAATCAAAAGCTGAAAGCGAACTATCTAAGATTTTGAGTGTTAAGAAAGAAATTGATGCCAAATTAAAACAACTAAGATTGTCTTATCAAAATGAAGTTAAACAAGCTGAACAAGTGGAAGTCAACCTAGCTTCAGCCAAAGAAGAAACTGAAGCTTTGAGGTCTGAAGCTTCCATTTCAGAAGCTAAATTTCATGCTTTGACTAGTGAGTTGAATGAAAAACAGATAGCATTGGAAGATTTACAAAAAGAAAACAGTTCCCTCAAGGAGAAATTAGGAAATATGAGTGTCGAGACTATTGAAATCAATAAAGATTTAGAAAATATTAATGAGCAACACGAGAAACTTAAAAAGCAAGTATCTATTAGGAAGTCACAAGTTCAAGCTTCCATTGCAAAATCCGAGCAGATGAAAAGTAAAATCAGCGAATTAGAGACAGCTTTGGCACTGCTTATAGAAGAAGATAAGAACACACAGATACAGCAAAACAATCTAGAGGAGGAACATAAAAAGTTGTCTAAAAGAGCAACTGAATTAGAAGGAATAAAGTCTGACTTTTCTGGAAAGAAAGCATCGCTAGGTGTTGGTGCTGCTGTGGGCACTGCTGTGGCAGGTGGGTTAGGTTTATTAGGTACTCACTCATCCGAGGGAGACAATAATACAAGTGATCTGAAAGCTACCAGTGATAAGCCGAACTTGAACGTGTCGGCGTTGGTTGACGAAGTCAAAGAAAAGCCAAGTGCAGATATGACAGGTGTAGACGATGTTAATGAGACTAGCGAAGGATATGACTCCAAGTTACCAGTTGACGAGACAAAGGAGAAACTTCTGAATTCGACAGTAAATGAAAATGTTAACAATCCTACTGCTCCTTCCTCAGTGACTTCTGATTATAAAGCAAGTGAAGGCGATACACCTGTGACCTCTCCAAGCACGTCTGATTTTCAATTTCCTCAAGACAATAATGCAGGAATTGTTGGTGGTATGGTCGGAATGCCTGGAGTCTTGGTTGGTGTCCAGAGAACAGATTCTTTAACTTCGAGCGTCCAAAATAACGCCGCTTTATCTGTACGTGATGATAATATTGATGATGTTGGTGACCAAGAGACTCTTGAAAATGGTGAGCTGTCTAACCCAAATAAAGCTATTACGTCTAGTGCTGACACCGTAAGATTAGGAGAAAACTTTAAAGTCCCTGACTCTAGTGCAGCCCATCAGGAAGACTCCAGTGACGGAGACAAATTATCATCGGGGGTTGAGTCATTTGAGATGGTTAACGCCGATGATGCTAGAGGGCATGAAAACAGACAGAGCTTACAGGTTGAGAATTTGGAACCAGAAGTCTCCAAGCCTCTTTCAATCGACAACAAAAAATTACCTGCTCTGAGCGTCAATCTATCTTCAGTAAATGAAGAATTCCCTCCTATTAGAGAATTGGATGCAAACGAAAGTTCTTCTTTCGAAAATGATTCCCAAGACGAGAAGTTTGACGATGCAGTTGACAGTTTGCCTACAGCATCTAATCTGATGTTTGGATCATCTGAAATACGCGATAAGGATGTTCAAACTAAGACATCTGTAAACGATTTTGATAATGCGTTCGATGATTTACAGCCGGCTACCCGTGAAGGTGCAAAAGCTGAGGCTGACGATATTTTTGATGGCAATTTTGATGACTTAGATATTGCTAAAGATGAAAGAAGTAACGATGATTTCGAAAACCAAGAGGGCTATGGCTTTTCAGATGATTTCACGAATACCCCCTTTGAGCATCTAAGCGCTCGCCTGAATGCTCCTGATTTTTCGCAAGCTGACTCTACTTCTAATAACAATGACGAATGGGAGCAGCTTTTTGCTGGCTTTGGAAACGGTGGTGCTTCGACCGTTACCCAGGAACCAGAGACACAAAATAACCACCAGTCTCAGAATATTGCTATAGATGAATTAATGGGAATGGGTTTTGACAAAGAAACTTCTCTCGATGCCTTGAGGAAAAATGATTGGAATATAGAAGCAGCAACCAATTTCTTGTTAGACAATGCTTGAAGAAGGAAAATCAAAGAGAATTGAAATGTGTATTTTAATTTTTGACTACATAAGTTTGTAAAGCTCATATATATGTGATATTTTAAGGTAATGCTTCATTTAAGGTGGCTTCGAGATCACCGACATCGTACTCTTCTTTATTTAAGTCCTTCAAATCTTCCACTGGTCTCTCCGCCTGTGGTGTTAATCTGAAGGCGTGTCTTGAAACAGGTGTATCCCAATCAATAATTGCAGAGTGAACAGTTCTTCTGTTATCCCAAATAACAACAGTGTTTGGCTCCCATCTTCCTCTTAACTGTAAATCATGAGACGATTCAATATGATCACTCAAAAACTTAAGTAAATAAGCCGATTCTTCTTCCTTAAGCTCGACAATTCTTCTCGAAAATGGCTTATTCAAGTAAATACTCTTCTTTTTAGTAACTGGATGAGTTCTTATTAAAGGGTGTATATGAGATACGGGCTCTCTTCTTTCAACACCACCTCTTCCTCTGGAATGTGATGCTTGGTCACTAGACGTATGTAAGACGTGAAGATTGCTTAATCTCTTTTGAAATTCAGGCGATAAACGGTTGTATGCCTCTTCTGTGTCTGCAAAAATCGTGTCACCTCCTGATTCGGGGCCCTCTAATACACTAAAAAATGTCGTGCCTGGACCTTGGAGTTCATAAGATATATCTGAGTGCCATCCAACATTATTAGTACGATTTTCAAAAGCTCTTTCAAATTCACCTGGATCCGATCGTCTGTATGTTATATGAAGCTCCGGGTGATTGCGTGGAGCACCTGATGTTGGGTGAATATGAAGACGGCCAAAATGCTTTCCGAATTCAACAGCAAACAGGGGACCCTTAGAAGCAAAATCTTGGTCTCTGAACACACCAACACCTCTTTGAGCAATAAAAAGAGCTAATTCGTCTTTTCCTTGATCATTTAAACTCGATATCTGGACACCATGAACCTCTGTACCAAATTTTGGTGTGATTTTCTTCAATTGATGGCTACCGTCTTTTGGAAACAAGTTGGGGAAGCTCGGATCAGCTCTATGACCAGGATCATAGTGCTTAAAAAATTTCAAGGGAGGATGTTTTTCGCTAGGATCCCAAGTTGGTAGAAATTCAGGGAATTTGGATTGCTCTCTGTTTCTCTTATTAATCACAAGAACCCCATCTTCAGCCACCTCATCTTGCCCCTGTTTGAAATGAATATCGTAATCGTTAGCAATTTTAGACATTACGAGTATATCTAAAAAAAACTTTTCAAAAGTTAAGTTGAATTCAAGTTAGTTACCTGATACTGTTTCGAAGGTGATCTGTCTCTTTAATACTCCATCATTGGAACTGTGGCTTTTTTGCATTTTATCGGCATAGTTACAGAAAAATCTAATTTGATGTTATCTTCGAGCCACCACAGTTTTATCGAGATTTGTTATCATGAGTGGTCGCAAATATAAATGCACGTGAAATCAAAGAATATCAATCGCATAAGTAAGTGTGCGATAATGAACTCAAATTAGACGATGTAAGGTTTAGGTGCAAAACATTCATAACGTTCAAAAATCGACCATAGACTTATGCACATGTATTGTATATTTAGTTATAAACATCCCTAAATATTCTTCTCGGCTATTCGATGTTAAGATCTTTCAAATCTTCAATTGGCTTTTCAGCCTGAGGAGTAATGCGAAAAGCATGCCTGGATACTGGGGTATCCCAATCGAGAATCGCAGAATGTAAGACTCTCCTATTGTCCCAGATTACAACTGTGTTCGGTTCCCATTTAGCCCTTAATTGCAAATCATGAGATAATTCAACATGCCTAGCTAAGAAATCAAGTAAATATGACGATTCTTCTTCCTTGAGTTCAACTATTCTCCGACCAAAGCTTCTGTTTAAATAAAGACTTTTTCTTCCCGTCACTGGGTGCACTCTCACAAGCGGATGAATATTTGATACGGGCTTTCTTCTTTCGACGCCCCCTTGACCCCTGGAATTACTGGCCTGTTCCTCGGAAGAATGCAAAACATGTAAACCGCTGATTCTTTTCTGGAATTCAGGCGACAATCGGTTATAGGCCTCCTCTGTATCAGCAAAAATTGTATCACCACCGGAATCAGGACCATCTAAGACAGAAAAAAATGTCGTTCCAGGAGGTTGTTGTTCATATGAAATATCAGAATGATATGAGACTGCATTGGTTCTCAGAGAAAACACACTATTGAACTCATTTGGATCAGGACGTCTGTATGTAATGTGAAGTTCAGGGTAGTTTCGAGGAGAGCCTGACGTGGGGTGAATATGAAGACGACCAAAGTGCCTGCCATAATCAACTGCAAACTTAGGACCCTTAGTAGCGAAGTCTTGATCTCTGAATACCACAACACCCCTTTGAGCAACGAAAAGGGCCAACTCGTCTTTACCTTTCGAGTCTAAAGAAGACAACTGGATACCAGTTATTTCACTTCCTAATTTTGGAGTGATTCTTTTGATTTCATGTTCCGTACTTTTTGGAAATAGGTTAGGGAACGATGGATCAGCCCTATGACCTGGATCCTCATGCTTGAAGAATGTAAGAGGTGCATATTTCTCATTTGGATCCCAGGTAGGTAAGAATTCAGGATATTTAGCCTGCTCTCTACTTTTTGCGCTCACCGTTAAAATTCCATCAGGTGTGATTTCGTCTTTTTCCTTGTTAAAATGCGTATCGTAATTGCCATATAAAAGGTTATCTGTCATCTTTGAAGTCTTGCAATGAATAATGAAGTAAAAATTCCTTTATCAATGATTTTGATTCATCACGAAGGAGCACTGAACAATTTATATCAACAATTTACGCGGGAGTGAGGCGCACTAGCGATCCGAATTGCGAAATCACTTCACGCTATTTGCACTCGATAGCACTTTTGATACGCATAGTCACATGTGCACTATTACCTATTAAGGAATGTTTTTTGTTCCCGAGAAAATGATAGTGAAAGCGAACTTGATACTTACAAAGGTAATTTTAACCTATACGTTCATTTTGTCTAACATATACATTCATGTACCCTTCTCAGTCCCAGACCGTTCTATATTCCCAAAAGTCGTGATTCTGCTATTACAACAAGTACTTACTCATGTTTCGTAGCAAACCTTACGCATAAAGCTTAGACTTTCTTATTATGTAGCTAATATTTTACTCGACGGTATCTGATATAACTCATTATCGCAATCAAAAGAAGTTATTATGAATTTTGGTTCCTTCAAGTTATTCAAATCAGAACAGTCCTCAACTATTGAATTTCTATCGGATTCCAGCTCCAGCAATGGAGACTGCGGTATATATGGTGACTTGTCACCGTCGCTGATTTCATGCATGTCATCTGTAACAGGAGTCAAGACAGGACTTGGATATACATTGAATAGAGGTTTTTCGTGTTCCTTTGGTGTGCTTGCTACTGATTTTGAAGTCTTGTCCTTTTTACTATTAACAGGAGACTCAGGATGCGGCCAGCTGCATTCCAAAAAGTTTCTTGCACAGGCCTGGCACTTTCCGCCGACCCTTTCTTCGTCGCATTTCTTCTTTCTTCTTCGACAAGTCAAACAACCAGTTCTCGTCCTCTTTCTTAGTGAACATACGTTAGAATGCCGCCTGCGGTTGGCATTTTTTGCGACTTTGTTTACCGCTTCTCCTCGATATGATTTCGGCCCTACAGTCAAGTCCAATACTTGCTGATAATTTTTATAATTCACCATCACTTCAGTCTTAGGAACAAGTCATTAGCTCTAAGATAGATTTTTTACATTATTAATGACAAAACTTTGTTGTTTCGGTACAGAAGAGCCAAACGAAGAAAGAGATCTCTGAACGGAAGGAGAAGTCGAGAAATGATTACCTAAAATGTAAGCTCACACCGAGATTTTTACAAAAACGGAAAGTAGGCTCGATCTCAGTTGCTCTTTACAGTAGTATAACATCTACTGAAAGATGCTTTATACGCGGTTATTATCCGAAATGAGGTAGGTTTAGTCGTTCCTCTAAAGATGAATTATGAGTTGGACTACAAAATCGCCACCTGCACACATCAAGGTCTTATTCATTTTAGTTTTCTTATTGGAAGTTTAATCCCAATTCTAAATGTTCTTACGGTGTCTTACCCTGTGCAACGAAGTATTACATTCAAATCTTATTATCTTTGGTACCCAATACAAACATTTTATTAGTGTAGGAGTAATCACATTCTTCCATACACGCCAATTAGAAGTAACTCGCCAACTATATTATTGTAGTGAATACTAAATCTTCAATAACTATGTACAGTGCTGTAAAATATCTATGTTACACTTTGCCATCTCTCAGAGAAAACACTCAGATTCTATGCCTGTGGTCCTTTGGAACGTGCAATGGTGACCAAACACCCCTGACAGATTCATTTATTGAAAGAACTCTCTGGTTAAATTTAGACAACTTGTTACCGCTGGATTGCGAGAGTTCCTCTAATTTTTCTTTGATTTCTTTAGAGTTAAAATTTTTCACTTCAATCTCCTTAAAATTCTTATTTGCATAATAAAACTTGAGTTTAGGATGACCCAGCACCTTTTTAATTTCGAAAACTATATTTCGTTTCTTCAAGGCAAGCTCGTTAAGTGCTCCAGAAGAAAGGAAATCTCTCGCTCCAGATGAAGACCCTCCCCAATTACAATACTGCAAAGCAATCTTATGACATGGAACAACATATGCCCCAACACCGTTGCGCCCAACAGACAACTTTTGTATAGCTTTTACTGGCATATTGTTCTAGTGTTCTTCGTTGGCGGGAATGTTTTGTGAGAAAATTTGAATTAAATTAAAAAATGATGCAGTGTTACACAAAGCAACTAGCTAAATAATACTTCGAGAAAGTATCTTGAAAGATAATTGCTCTATACAACTTGAAGAGAAAGGCTATCGCTTTGGAAAGAATCGTCATCGGACTGACTCAATGCACTGAAGTTCAAATATGTACTCGAATCAATTCTTTTAAAGTAGAATGCTCTTATAAAGTTATATCTAGCTTGCTGGGTTTTGAAGACATAGTTGATAGAATATGAGCTATCAGCTGGTAACATACTGCACGAATATCACACATATATCAATATTAAGCTACTTTATAAGTAAAAAGAAGGATAAGATCAGTCCAAATTTGAATAATAAGGAATCAATCTCATAAGTACACACTAGTTTTGCATAGTAACGACTTACAGTGCTACAAAGCTATACAAAGATCAAGATGTGTTCTACGATTTACACTCTTCCAAGGAGTTTGGATAGTGATGAGTTATGCAAAAACTTAGAGAGTATTCAAGTATTCATGGTTTTGTTGTTCAACACTTCTAGCAATAATTCATCTTTTTTTTCTAATCAAGGCAATTCAATTTCACACTGATCCCTTACAAAGTTTTTTTTTTTTACAGTTGGTCCCTTGGCCTAGTTGGTTAAGGCGTGGTGCTAATAACACCAAGATCAGCAGTTCGATCCTGCTAGGGACCACTAAGAGAAGGGCGTGTGGCGTAGTTGGTAGCGCGTTCGCTTAGCATGCGAAAGGTCTCCGGTTCGACTCCGGACTCGTCCATTGTTTTTGTTTTTTTTATTGTGATCTTTAGTAATAGTTTGCTTCAGATTTCAAGTAAAGCTTAGTCTTCACGTGCCCTTATATATTAAATTCTTAAGAGTGATGTAACCATTAGCAATCAAAAGAGTATATAAAATCTTTTAGTTATATGTTTTCTCAGAAAAATGAGGACATGTTTGGAATATGTCGCCCATAATTAAAAAACAAAAGGTGGAAAGCTTACCCAAATTCAGCAGCCCATATTATCAGCAGCCCTCAAATCGTCAACTGGTATTGAAATATTTAGAAAATAAGAATAAACCTTTTTATATTTTGGAAAATTCTTTGGAAGAAACGAAAGAGAAAAGGTCTAATATTGTACCAAACAGAGCTATTGTACACCTATTTACTAGGGATTTCAGACTTGACGACAATATCAGTCTTCACAAGGCAAGTGAATTTTCAAAATCTAATCATGTACCATTAATAACGTGCTTTGTATACTGTAAGGATGACTTCAAAAGTCATTCAGTTAGTGCTATACAGATGAATTATAGAATCAAATCAATTGAAGAAATTCAAGGAAGATTGAATGAAAAAAATATTCCCCTTGTTGTGTTGAAAGTTGACAACAGAAGAGATATTTGCAGCGAGATAGAGAAATTTTTGTTAGCCAAAGAGGTGTCGCATTTATTTTCAAATATTGAGTATGAAGTTGATGAACTCAGAACAACTAAAACATTAGTGCATAATCTATTGAAAAAGGGTATATGCTACTTGCCGTTCCACAATTCTTGCGTTGTCAAGCCAGGTGAACTAAAAACAAAAAGTAAAGGCACCCCATACTCTGTTTTTACTCCGTTTTACAAATCTTGGTGTCATTATTTAAATGCAAAAAAAGAACCCTTCGCAAAATTAAATGAACCTTTCCCCAACTCGGATGCTTTCAAACAGAATAACAAAGATTTATTTAATTCCCTCATGCCTGAACTTGAAGAAATGTCGGATCTTCAAAGTAGGAACTTTGAGTCTTGGCCGATTGGTGAAGAAAAAGCTTTGGAAACATTAACTGCCTATTTAGATTCTCATAAGGTAGAGAAATATTCTGACTCAAGAAATGATCTCGAAGAGGATACCGTATCTTACCTCAGTCCTCACTTATCTAGTGGAACTATTTCACCAAGAACAGTTTTGAAGTTGATGGTTGATAAAAAATACCTTAGAAAAGTGGATCTGGGAGAGCCTGGAGCAGTGGCATTTGCTCGTCAGATCGCTTGGAGAGATTTCTATCGACATATTCTCTGTAACTGGCCTCATATCTGCATGTTCAGACCCTTTCAACTTGACTATGAGGACATCAACTGGGAATATAATCAAGTTCACTTTGAAAAATGGTGTAAGGGCCAAACGGGCTTTCCGATAGTTGATGCTGCAATGAGACAATTAATAAATACAGGATATATGCACAACAGATGTAGGATGATTGTTTCAAGTTTTTTGTCCAAGAACTTACTAATTGATTGGAGATATGGGGAAAGGTATTTTCTCGAAAATCTAATAGATGGTGATTTTGCCTCAAATAATGGAGGGTGGGGGTTCAGTTCCAGTGTTGGTGTAGACCCTCAGCCATATTTTAGAATTTTTAATGCTTGGACTCAGTCCGAGAAGTTTGACAAAAAAGGCACATACATCAGAAAGTGGATACCGGAATTGAGAGAGATTTCAAATGAAAAGGCAATCCATAATCCATACGGAGCTGGATATGGAAATTTTGCTAAGAAAAAAGGTTATCCAATGCCCATCGTAGATCACAAAGAAACACGCGAAAGAGCGCTCGAAAGATATAGAGAATCGAGGTAATCTAATAAATTTATTCGTTCACATTATGTATCATTTTAATTTTGAAATAAAGTATAAAAAAATTAGCTAATGAGCTTTTCAATAGCTCCCTTAGCGGATGATACCGAATCTTGAGACCCAATTAAATGTATAAAATTTGGATTTTTGTCGTTTGGCCTCGGAACAAATATGGAGCACCCAGTCTCATTTCTTATGCGGTCAAGAGTAGAACCTTGTGTACCTACGATCTTTGACAAATCTGAAGGCTTTTTAACATATATCCAACCTATTGTATCCGCCTTTTTGGCATTTTCTAAACGCTCCTTAATAACTCTTAGTGCATTATCCGAATCTACAGATTCTCCCTTTACTCTCCATGGAATTACTTTAGATGTGTCAGTCTCTTGTTCGAGAGGAATAGTTGAAAATTTAAAGTTCTCCTCTTCGTGTGGATGCGCAGCTTCTGGGGGACTTGGAACAGATGAGCTTGACAACTTGGCGGCCCTTCTAGTCATATTTCCGTGTTGAATTTCAATATTGAATTTCGACTTTAATTTTTTAAAAACTGCCCCTCGCTCGCTAACAAAACTGTGATAAGCTTCAGGAACATCAACCGACGCTGTCCAGTTATCTTTCGTTAAAATGTTTAGCTTTTCTATTAATGAGTCGATTTTCTCCTTTCTTCCTTTTAGTTTGATGGTAGTTGACAGGTCATTTGGTCTGGGAACATCAATGAACACATTGAATTCATCTTGTAAGGAATGACGAATAGATCCTGATGGACCAATAATCAATCTATGTTTCTCCTTAGGTAATTCATAGTTGACAATAAGTTCGGCTTCCTTATTAGCTACAATATCACGAACTTGTGCTATGATTTTATCAACAACGTCTTTATTACCCTGAGAAGATACTTGATTCGATCCCGTACCTTCGTTGGGAACAGTCAAAAGCCTGTTATATCTAATTCCTGAATATCCGTCTCCACCAGCTTTAGAGATTATTTCCTTCATCACAGAGCCTCCAGGACCTACCAAGTCACGATGGAATTTAGGGTCTACTGAGATAGATATTGAGGTAGTGTTTTCAACTTCGTCGATAATGTCTTGAATCTTTTTAACGGCCATTTTCAAGGCAGATTTGGAACCAGTAAGCTCAACCTCAGCATAACCGTTTTCCTCTTCAAACTCTTTACTACGATTAAATCTGTAGTCAATACCAGTGCCATCGGCCAAGTCCTTTATGGTTTCTCCAGATCTACCAATAACTCTAGCGATGGCCTTGGTGGGTATCTTTACACTCTGCTTATGACCATTCTCTTTTTCATAATGATAAAAGTCCATAAGCTCCTCTTCAGCCTTTGAGACAGCTTTAGAGGGCCCCTTTATAGTAACTTCATCTTTCGATTTTGGAGCATCGGGATACGAAGACTCAAGACTGACAGATGAAGGAAACCTTATATTAACTTTGTACTTTTCCTGCAACCTATTAATGTAGACTCCATGAGGTCCTATTAATCGTCTGTGGAATTGAGAGTCTACTTTCAATCTCACTAAAGTTTCATCTGACCATTTCTTAGATAGTTGTTGAATGCGGTTTGCACATTCGTCGGAATTCAATTTTACGCCAGTGATCCTGATTTCTGTCTTATTATCATTCTCTTTGTTATCCAGCTCATTTTCGGAGACGTCTATTTTGATGCCATACTCTTTTCTCAATGAATTTAAATTGGATCCATTTTTTCCAATTAATCTTGATAAAATTGACGTGGGAACTTGGAAAGATGTTTTGTATTCGTCCTTAAATTCTTTGAAATCAGAAAGAACTCTTTCAATGCTTTGTATCACGATAACAGTTTGGGATTTTAAACCTTGTATGAAAAGTTCATTCTCTGATCTTCTTTCGCCGTTAAAGTGAAACTTTATCATGACTGAATCTGGCTCAATTCTTTTCATAATGAGAGATAAAGTTCTACCACTGGGACCAGAGATGTGAGCTTGATCATTGGCTTCAATACTCAAAACTGTGGATTGCAAATTTTGGGACATGTCTCTCAATTGATTTAAAAGATTATCAATATCATCTAGTGCATTTGATGAACTTGCTTCGTCCACGAAATCAATGTCGTCTTCTTCTGCAGCAGAAAATAAGGTGATGTATCTACCAAGGATAACATAGGAGATCGAATTTTCTGCTGCAGACTCGTCAATGACACCAGGAACTTTACTCAAGAGAAATTCGTCAATATCAGAAATAATCTTTGTTGAATCTGGTGAAATAGAGTTAACAGCTGAGACTATTGACCTTTTGGCATTTTTCACCCTTTCAAGTTCGTCGTTCTTAAAGGTAACTTCTAGTGGAATGGATTTAACATTTGTATTTGCTAATTCTATGGAACTAGGCACATTTATCAGGACATTATTTTCATCAGCAATTTTTTTAAAGGTTCCATTAGATTCTAGCAATGCCGCAACAGCCCTGACATGCAATAGATTACCTTTGTGTGCTTTTGACATATCCAAGATATCAACTTGATATTGAGACGTCGTCTTTCTTGCTCTTTCAATTGCAATTGGAATCTTTTTCAGTTCACCAACAAATTCGACGTTACCCTCTTCATTCTTAGGCAATCTAATCAAGATATTCTCCTCTTCTAAAATTTCATCAATCGGCAAAAACTTTTGTTTTAACTTAGGAATTGCAACTTCTTCAACTGTAATTTTATCGGCTGTCTTGTCAAGTAAATTCTTTATGTCATTTCTCGCCTTTAAAACAGCCTCTCTATCTCCATATAGGCGAATTTTTGAGCTATTATCATTGCGTTCTGGAATTGAGATGTCTAACTCTTCAAATTTCCCTGGAATGTCTTTGAGGATATGACTGACGAACGGTAAAATCATTGGATCGACAGAAAGATTTATTGGCATGTTCTTGGTCTCTTCTTTCACTATATCCATTATTTGAGCTTTCGCATGTTTACAACCTTCAACATCTCCCTCAATAGTGACTTTTACTAAATCGTCAAATATGTCTTCCTTTTCGTCTTCGTTATTATCAGAAGATTCAGGATGTGCAATATCAATTTTAACTTCATTTCCTTGGATAATTGGTTTCAAAGTTCGACCTTGTTGACCGATAATCCGAGATCTGATTTTAGCTGGGACACTGAAACTTATCTTGACAGGCTTAGTTAAATCTTTGATTATAAGTCTCTTCGCTAATTTAACGTCCGTTGGTTTTCCAGTGATTAAAAATGTCCGCTTCTTGGTGTGATGAGAAGTGGTACACTCAATGCTAGTATTAGTCTCAGACTTTACATAAGTTAGAATCTTAATGAATTCGGGCCTAGCTACGTTCAACTGATCGTCAGCACCTAGCGAAAATGCCTCTTGAATCGTAGATGATTTAATTTTTCCACTTCCAATAGAAGGCGAAGAAGTCTTTGACAGACTATTAGCCAAGTCACCTGAGCCAGCAGAATCCATTTTGGGGCCCCAAGTTGGTGTAGCATTTGCTACGTCGGCTCTCTTACCGCCCAAAGCTGGAAATGCAGACTCATCAGAAATGGAGGGTACCGAAGTGTTCATAGAATGATCATCAGGGCTCCCTGCTCGCGCAGATTCGGAACCATCAGAGTCTGATGGAGAGTTGAGGTCTACGAATGATTTCTCACTCGTAAGGTGGGACCCATTGACTCTAGCAGCAATGATTTCGGCTGGTGTAGACATTTTCAGGAATCAAATTATACAGTAGTGAAGACAAATGGCAATGCTTAAAATTGAAGCAGCAGAAAGAATGTTGTTACCTCGTTAACTCACAAAGATTAAGTCTTTGAACTAGTAAGTAATAGTTCGGATAAGTGGGACTTTTAGTGAGACACGTAATTCAAATTAGTTTTCAAGTTTTGAAAAATTCTCAATCGGGGACCAATTTTTTTGGCACCATGCTCGTAAAAAGTTCAGGTATGAAAAAGTCTATTAAATACTAAATAATAATATCTCTTTAAATCTAAAACACATGAGCTAGCTATACTCACATTTTAATGTAACATCCATAGACACATCAACGACCATACCGTTTAAGCTCTAAATATCTTAATGGAGGAAAGCATAACCCACTGAATCCCATAACTAGCCACATGGCAATATCACCACCATACTGACCACCTACAGCACGAGCAATAGGACCAATCCAATAAGTTTGTGACATTCCGACCGCAGCACCTGTAGCACCTATGATAAATGAAAGTGTGGAAGCATAACCATGAGTTAGTTTACCGTATTTATCCCATATTGCAAAATTGTAGTGCTGTGTACGTCTAATCAGTTTTGAGATGTATCGCTCAGTATTAGGCTCGTCATCTGGAAGCTCAGCAGTGTATAAGTGAATGAATCTATCAGTCCTGAATATTGTATTTTCTTCTAAGAGCATTATAAAATACATTGAAATCCAATAACCAATCATTGGCAAAAAGTTACCTAAAATTGTTGAGAACTTGTTCCTTCCAACCAATGCACATACCAAGTATACAATAGTTACAACAAAAGCCCATATCCATCTTGGAACTCTAGCAAGCGGAATTGCAGATAACTGGATACTAAAAGCGGCGGAATAAGTATTGACAATATTGTTGGATATCAACGACAAAAATATCAAGATTAATAAAAACTTGCCTCCACCACCCCAGGGTAGAAAGGCCGCATTAAGTAAGCCACCCATACCATATTCTTCATATGCTGTGCCCCAAGGCTCGTAAGAAAGAGCGACATTTCCTATTAAGAGACCAGCAGTAGCTACAAAGGTCGTGGGTATAAGAATACCAAAGAATGTTAAGCAGAAAACCTGAACGTCTGGTGTATCTTCGGGAAATAAAATATAGTAATCTGATGCAATTGAGCCCCAGGTTGAAGTTACCGAATATGAAAGTGAAAGGAACGAAAGCCAATTTCCCTTGATAGTAGCTGCGTCGATGCCTGGCACATTGGCATTTGACAAATAGTGAAATTTCTTAGAAGCAACGATGTACAAGAGTAGAAATGCAAAATTCACGGGTAAACTTAATATAGTTTCCACCTTCAATAATTGTTTAATTCCACCAATTGCTACTAGTAAAGAAACACAAGCGATAATTATGATTCCAACAACAAGAGGAAGTTTTCCATCGCTAATACTTGCTAGGATTTGGCCGCCCACAACACAGTTAACCACTGACCATCCCAAGACCCCAATGATGCTCACAAGACCGACCAATTTTACAAACCACCAACCAAATAAAAACCTAGCGCTTACCATTTGTCGACAGCCAGATCTTGGACCCATTAATGAGCAATATGCAGCAACACCACATCCAATCGCTTGTCCAATCAAGCCTGCAATTAAGGTATTTTTCAAACCTAGCTCAAATAAGAGAGGTCCCAAATAAAAAGAAGACATCGAACTTAACCCGCCACATGCAGAGAGCCATAAGCCACATACTGAAATAAGCTGCTTAGTTTTATTTGTAGATCTCTCATAAGGTTTGATTCTCTCTATACCTCTTGATTCTACTCCTAGCGAATCTAAACGTTTAGAAACACTCGAAAGTAGTTTCCAAAACCTATTTGATGAATTTTCAGAGTAGGGCACATCTTTAATGGTCTCTTCCCTTGAGCTTAGTTCTCTTGGCAATTTGCCCATAACTATTTGTAGACGTTAAAGCTATACGTTAATATAATGTACTAAGTGAAATAAAAAAAAAAAAAATTGTTTTGACTCATTAAATGAGCACCACAATGACTCACACAATAATTTTCATGAAATAGGATTGAATCGATCAAAATCAAGCATATCCTGATCATTTAGATTGTAGAAGAAGATAAAACGACGCAAGCTATATAACTAGGGAACTTAAGTTAATCGTATAAAAGATTAAAAAATTAATTAGAGCTAGCCCGACGCGGGGGTCGAACCCGCAACCTTTTGATCGCTTCTCTTTACTTAAGAGTCAAACGCTCTACCGATTGAGCTAGCCAGGCCAAATCGTTGCGATATCAGTTAAGCGTACTTTTATAAGATGACATGAGTTAAGTCCTATGTAGAAATTAGCTTCATTTGCAATCTTTACTACTGGTCATCTCATTCCTATCTCATAACGAGCTTATTGAAATAAGATCGTAGAAAATTTGCAGTGTAATTTCATTCTGCTCTATTTTGAGCCTGGTGACTAGCACTGACAGAGGGAGGTTTATCCTGTTTTTATCAGACTTAGGTATAATCCAATATGCTTTTTGGCACGAGGAAGCACGACGTCGTTTGCTAATTAGCAATAAAACCAACGATGGTCTTTTTTGCATCCCTGGAAACCATTTGATCGAACTCACAACATATCTTATTTAGGACAAAAAGGAGCTCCTTTACTTTAAAGCTGGGCTGAGAAGTCTGACTAGTGAATGAAGACACCGCAACACATTACTGGTTTTGGTAACTGTTGTAATGTTACCAGAGAAGCACGGACCATGAACTAAAAAAACGATACAAGTCCGACCTCAAGTTATTCCGCAAATCCTCAAGTAAATCATGCTTGCTACTGGCACGTTCTTAACCATAATACATCTTACACCTCAAATTGTAGAATGTGAGACTGTATCTGGCTACGCCATAAGTGCTTCCCCTGGTACTATATTATTAAAAATCAGCAAAATAGTGCAACCTGACAACGGCGCCCTCATGCTCTCTACGACTTTTCCATGAGAATTAAGAAGAACTAGGAAAGTAAGCTGGTTAGAGCAAAGAATTTAGCTCAAAATATGGTGCGGGATGGGTATAGTAATATGAATGTATGTTTTCGTAACATCTCCGACTGAAGATCATCTTTCAAATGGGTTTATTAAGCATACGATTATTATGGCCCAGTCCCACATTATCTAAAAATGTGGTAGTTTTTGTAGACTTCGTATGCCAGAATGAGGGACACTAGGGTCTAGAAAATAGCGGGGTACATAAATTAAGCAAATGCGTGATTAAAAGGCATACAGTCTAGTATGGCTAATTCGTGCGATTTTGACCAGCGTATCCGTAAAATTATGTAAAAGTTAGTATGTTGTCACTTCAGAAACTTGTTGATCCTCCTCGAATGGACTAGGATAATGTAGATAAGGTTAAGTAGTTATATCATCATGTAAGACATACAGGAATGTTGTTGCTTTGCTGTAGCAAACACTGATTGTATTCAGAGCGCAGGATCCCAGATACAAAGAAAAAAGTAAAAAATAAAAGAAAAATAATTTTCGCCGCCCCTTCTCATTATGGAACTCCACGCTTACGGGTAACGCACGATCTTGATAACACCAGGGGTTGAGCCATATATAACAAAGAGCAACGTACCCTACGGTAATCCAGCAGAAATCGTAGTATTCTGGCCAAATATAATGATAGTAGTAGAATTGCTTAGATTAATGGAGCTGAAGGTGACAATCTTGTCCCACATATTCATATCAATAATCGCTACTCCAGTCGTGCTTATGTTTGCACTTGATATCATGGCCTATACAGCTCGAATCTTCATGAATAATTTTACATGGGTCTTTTCGTTGCTGAAAGCAGCAGGCATAAGTGATATCGCTGTCGTTCAGGGCTTATACAGCGAAAATTTGAAGGTGAAATACATCCGTTGGTACAATGAGATTTTAAAGGCGGACCTAGGCTGCAAGAAGACATTTTTCACAAATTTACTTAAAATGAAAAAAGAAGATTAGTTTTAGTCATATTTTTATTCATATGAAGACTTTTCAATCATCACATGGTTGCATTTGCTTCGACTGCTTGCGAGTGGTAAGTGCTTCACCAATCCGCATATTTATTTGCGACCAACTACTTATTTCTTGAGGTTAATCGTCGGCATTCAATTCATAAATTCATGAACAATGGCTTATTATTTATCTGTCATCTTAGTCATTATATCAAATCCATATATTTATCTATCATGTTATTTATCACATCAGTTGTGGCTAACATATGTATTATCTTGTTGTATTAGTTTAATTTTATTTTTCAATAATGCATAAAACTGAATCATTTTTGAGTCTTTATCCTTTTACCCGAACACTCTAACCCTCAAACTCTCACTCTTCCCTAGATCATTTGTTCGGGGAACGTGATACGGAAAAGATTCTTGATCCGTTAGCGAAAGATTTCTGTGATCCCCACGATCGTCAAAGCGTGGGGTGCGAATATGTACAAACGAAATATTATTGTAACTCGTAGAATCGAGAGGCTGCGAGAGTGCGAACTTACATCTTTACGCGGTGATTACAAATTGTCCTATCTCGCAGTCTAAAATTAAATTTAGTGAGTCACAGAATGATTACAAATTGTCACATTAGTTGATAATATGTATATAAAAGAAGACGATAGCTGGTTTCTATTCAGTTAGGATTACGAGTAAACTTTGAAGAGAGTATATATGGAGCACGACAACGTGGCCGATGAAAATAGTCCTACCGGACTACCATCACTTGACAATGAGGCACCGATATGGAGTATTTTACCTTCATATGACATGTATGCATCTACTATTTTCAAGAGTGTAAATGTATCAAATGAAGGCCCGGAACCTCCGATGTATGAGCATTCATCAATTTCATCAGCAGATTCCAATCCTTTCTCGAGCAATTCGAATACTACAGCCACAACCTCTGTGGCGGGAGGAAGGGGACTTGATGGTGAAAGATTGATCTTAGCAGACCAATCTTCAAGTCTGTGGCAGGAAACTATATTGGATAATACTCACAGGTTGAAGAATTTAACGGATACTCGTAACACTGTTTCAAACGGTGTCAAACTTGAAGTCTTTTTTACAAAAGAGGTTGGCGATTTTGGCAAGAAATTGGAAATAATAGATCCAACTCTCCACGAGTATAAGCAAGGCGATTTGTTGAATGGCTATGTTGTTATCGCTAATGAAACAAATGACGAAATTCCCTTCGATATGTTTAATGTTCTTTTGGAAGGTAATTTTATTGTTTCAAATACTAAAAATGCAGCTGATAAGAGACCGGTAGTAATCAAAAAATTTTTGGAAATTTTTGATTTTAGTGCTTCTTGGACAGAAGCGTATGTGAATAGATTACTAGAAGATAAACTGGAACAATATTTTTGCCCTTATCAGCATGATCCGATTGATGGCACCCTCATTTCAATGAGAGGAAGACTGTTATTGCCGAAGGAGACGTATAAAAGGTTTTTCAATTTTAAAATTCCAGAATCACTTTTAGATTCCCAATGCAATGAACATAATTTAAGTAGTCATGTCGAATTGCCACCTACTTTGGGACTTTCCAAATATGAAGCGCCTTTGAATCTGAATACTCATATGAAAGATTTCTCATTCGTGGACTCTTCAGTGAGTTATGATGTTCTAGCTAGATTTATTGGACGCAAATCGGCATATAATGTAGACGAGGACTTGCGTGATATCGATAGAACAAAATTGGTCAACAACAGTGGAGACGAATATGTTATCTTAAAGGAAAGAAGAAATTACATTAGGGTCGTTAAAGAATCGAAACGTTTCACTGAAAATGAAAAACTAATGAAATTAACTGAAAACAGAGTACTTTATGATATGTTTATGAGAAGTTTAGATCAAAAAATTGAGTCAGGAAACCAACTTGTGAAGTTTATCAATGAAGGAAATGTGGGAGAAATTATAGATGGTTCGACTAGACTAGCGGAAGCTGAATTGCAAATAGAGAAGGCAAAACAATGCTATAGAAGAGGCCCCTACAGAGATATAAAGCAACAGTCTTTCAAAGAAAATATCGAAGTAGTACACCCAATTAATAAAAGTAATATTCTCGGTCTGGTGAAACAACTAGGATGCGTGCGGATACAAGTACCCAAAGTTGATCATATAGTGAAATATATCCCTCCTCCAAGGTTCAGAAGGACTGAGAAAGTAATAGAATCACCTCGACTATTAGACGTTCAAATCGATTTTTCAATTGACCTCCCATTTCAAAACAAAAAAGGGCCAGAATTGCGACTGATTTCGTGCGATTTAGTCGTATTTACATTCAAGTCTAATGGTGACCAAATTCCAATCGAGCTAAATCATGACTTATTGTATAAAAATGAGTGTATTCCACAACTTGAATATGTAGGGGATTCGGATAATTTCACACAGCATACAAAGTTACCTGTACGCTCGAAAAGTCTTGAAATTGGTAAACTTTTGACTAAACTAGGACATCAAAACTACAAGCTTGAAAGTCAGTTTGTGCGTGACATGAAGGCCATTTGCAAAATGGATGAAAATTACATGAATTTAGAACTCACCGATATACTGATACAAGCAAATGGAAATGAATATGAGAACAATCAAAGATCGTTGTCTGCTATCCGTTCAATTTCAACCTGTTCGTCGAAACCTGGAAACAAGAGATTTAACCTTATTGTTAACCTAGATTCAGCAAAGTTAAAGGGAGACAATAAAAAGCACACAGTGCCTTCTTATGATAGATTCTGTTTGCTTCCATCTTTTCAATCATGTTTCATGGGTCGCTTTTATTATCTCAGAGTAACCTTTCATCTTTCTAATAACACTATAGTGAATGTGAAAGTTCCAGTGACAATACAAAAGTAAAAGTATTTTAAGAAGTTTAGTTACAATATGAAATTACGTATTCCAATTATATAATTTTGCTGCAATTGAGTCATTACGTATTTTGGATTTGAGTTTAGTTGTACGTAAGCCACATAATTAAAGAAAAAAAGAAAAGCTGATGGCTTCGCCATAGTCGATGATCTCATATATAGCCACTGTTATCGTAAAATTGCTGATGCTAGCTTAAGCTTGAAATTCCCGAATTTCACACGTGACGTGTAGCTGAGCCCTTAGTTTTTCGCAACCACCGCAACCACTTACAGTTGTTTTTCTAGAGCAACCCAGCAAAGTACTGACACCTTTTCTGAGGCTCAAACTATTATAAATAACGAGTATATTTGAATGAGGCTAAGAGATATTAGGTGGCATACAAAGCAAAATGGGATTAGCAGACAAGATTCAAAGCAAAATTAGTAAAAAGGATGTCGACGATGTTGACAAACAAGGTGGTAAAGTCATAGGTAAAGATAATCTTACTGGAGAGGTCCAAAAGCAGTATAAAGAGGGCAATTTAAACAAGGAAGAAGCTTCCAAGTATGCGAATGACTTAGATAAAAAGGCAGGAAATGCAATTGGCAAAGAGAACATATCTGGTATCGAAGGTGGAATTGGTACCAAATTTGGTTCTAAAGGTGATTCTAAGACTGGAGCTTCTTCCACTGGTAAAAATTCCGACGCAGGTAACGTGTCTGGAAGTGGTCTAGGATCCGGTGCTGCAGTAGGTGCTGCAGGTGCTGGCGGTGCTGCTTATGGTTCCTCAAAATCAGGGGGAACGACTTCTGATCCTTACAGTAAGGATTCTTCAAGGTCGAATGCTACGTCTGATCCATATGGCAAAAGCTCAACAACTGGTTCCAAGGGTGATTCTTACACATCGAATGCAGGAAGTGGTGCCCATGGGTCTTCAGGTTACTCAGGGTTCGACACCTCTGGGAGCGGCGTAAAGTCTCATTCGGGAGTTGGAACATCAGGAAAAGGCAACTATGGTTCTAATTCAGGAAGTGGTCAACATTCGTCTACCAATGACTATGCGATATCTGAGGATCAATCTAGAGCCGCTGTAGTCGATTCTTCTGCGCCTTCTGGTGCAGCTGGATATGTGTCGTCAAGAAATGACGTTCCTCACAAAACCGCTAGAGATAGTCAACATTCCAATGCAGGTAACGCAGCATATGGTTCAGGCGCTAACTACCTGTATGGGAAGCTGTCTACATCCAAGGATGACACGAGCTCCAACAGTGGCTTCAGTACTGGAAATGATAAGTTAGACTCAAGAATTAGCTCTTTGGACCCGTCGGTTCAGAAGCAAGCCAAGGAAGCCTTCCACAAAGGCTACAAGGATGCCCAGGATGCATTCAGGACCTAATTGTGATTTAATGAAATGATCATGTTTATGTAACGATATGTAATTAAAATAAATCCTATATTTGATTTCAATTTTTTGAAGTACTACTATATATGTAAAGGTATAGGAAGCAAAAAAGTGCGAACATCAAATGGTTCAACTAGAGCAGCTGCACTGAAGCATCGAGTGATACTCATCGACATCACCTTGAACTAACCATCTCTCTTCAAGCTCCTTCAAATCATCACCCCATTTTGATTTATCGTACGGATAAAGACTCATCCTCTCGAGTTTCTTTAAATAACTCAAATCTTCTCCATTACTGTCATTGGTGTATTGTATGACTTCATCTAAGATCCAGTTGCGAGGTAAAAACAATGGATTACGGTTTGAACTGATACTAGCTCTCGACACTGCCAGATCGGAATCCTTGAGTAAATTTCTATACAAATCTAACCAGGCGGCGGTATCTTCGATTAGCTCTTCTTTCAGATATCTAGCCTCGTCGTCCTTATATATTTTTGATACAAAAGACGTGGCTAGACTTTCTGAAGTATTCTGTTCATTCTCAATGTTTAGCGACTGAATTTGGAGGAAAAATTTGTTGAAGTCACATTGAAGCTTCTTTAAAACACCTAACATGGGTTCAATAAATTCTTCGTAATGTCTTTCTGGATTCCGCATATCAATTGAATCGTTTGAAATACCCAATCGCTTGAAAAAAGTACCTACATATTTTAAAGTGAAAGCGTATTGAAAGATTTGACCACCTCCTTCAATTATTTTAGTAGCCCGTTTTATAATCTTATCCTGCAACTCAGGCGACAGTGAGAGATTATCAAATTCCTCAGTATTCAAAACTTTGGGACCTGCCCCTATCAATTCAGCCACATTCTCACCCATTCGAGTTAAATTCCACCAAATAGCAGTAGGAGTATTACGGTACCCATATCGCAATTCGTGATCTTCTGAATTTGGAGTATAGTTTGGATCATATTTATCCATAATAGAAAAAGGGCCAAAGTCCATAGACAAACCAAGAACAGAAGTATTATCGGTATTCAATACACCATTGAGGAACCCATAGCATTGCCACATTGCAGTTGTTTCCGCATTCCTTATTATTATCTCGAAATACATCTTGTCATAATCACTTAGTTCACCGATAACGTCTTTGGATTCATTATAGAAATCTGATTTTATCTTCATCAAATCTTCGTAGTATTTAAATTTTGAATCTCCATAAGTGAAAAGGTTATTTATAACATAGTCGGATAAATCTTTTATACCCTTCCTATCTCCTCTCCATCTGTAAAGATCGAACGATCCTAATCGTACCCACAGTTCAGCAAATCTTGAAACAATAGCACATTTTTCAGCACCTTCCCTTTGAGCATATGTCTTTGGAAGATATGTTAAAGAAAGAGCCCTCGTTGATGGAATACCAATAGAGTTTAAGTGCTCCGAGATTATATACTCTCTAATCGAGGATCTTAAAACGGCTTTTCCATCAGCAAATCTAGAATATGGTGTCTTTCCTGAACCTTTCAATTGTAGCTCATATATTTTCCTATTCATTTTATTGTCGCTAACTTTAGGTACCTCAAACAAGTTCACAACTCTCCCATCACCCAACTGACCTGCAAACTGGCCGAATTGCCACCCAGCATATGCCTGAGAGTATGGAAATGGGTATCCCATTTCTCGAAATTTTTCTTTATTTTCCAAATAAAATTGGCCACTGACAATTTTTTGATAATCTTCATTATTCACTTCCGAAGCAGAAAGTCCCAAGTCTCTCAATGCAACCTCACTAGAGCTTAAATACACGTATTCTTGCCTGGGCTCTGGTAAAGTCCAGGAAAAGCTTCCCAGAGACAATATCCTGGGAGTATTTGCAATATTATCTTTATTCTCTAGTGCAGCAGACTCAGTTGGAATTTTTGCATCAGGAGATAGAAAATCTGTGAAAGAAGAACTCTTTGGGAGCTTAGATAGCTGCGTAGACATATATCGCTTGATGTATCTTGCTGATTCCAGTACTATAATCTTATGACCAATCATGAAGCTGACTATTTTTCACTTACAATATAATGTTATAAGTTTCAATAGTTTGTCATATATAAACTCAATTATTTATATTCCTGGAAGATAGATGTTTGCTTCATCTGGGGTTAAGTAATCTGATGGTTAGTTTCACTGAGGTGCGTTACACTAAGTTTTATTATTAGTAGTGCAAGCACAGCAACCTGCAACTTTGTATCTTGTATTACTTAAGCAAATATTCAAATCACTCTTGAATCTCTCGATACCTGCAAAAGTCCATCGAAATTGAATAAGTTTAATAAGTTGAATAATATGATTAAATTTTGTATAACGCTAGAGAAATTTTAATAACATTGAAGCACTTGCAATAAAGCAGACTTAAACACGTTCTCTTTAGTCTTGGAACAAGCTGAATGTTCTCAACATTCGATGTGATATTCTGATTTTCACGGAGTGAACGTTCTCTTAAGCAATTAGCTGATCTGTCATTTTTGAAGTGTTTGCAGTAGTATAGGATAAAGCCGTTTGATAGCTCCCTCTTTTTAAGACAGCGCTGTAGTAGTTCATTTTAAAACGCCATACAGGGAAAATATTTTAGCGCGCACTGCATTAAGTTGGCGTGTTTATCAAGCGAATAAGAACTATTTGAGGGCTTTGTTGATCCCATCAATGGTTACTGAGTTCAAAGCAACCAGGCACGTCACTCGACATGTTTAATATAAAAGTATTTTTTCGCCGCAAGATACATGTGTTGGTGATCACTCTTATTATCGTTGCATTTATTCATCTCACATCACAGAAGACAGACAATTTATCTTCATCTTCCACCACAAACCAAAAGCATAGCGAAGAAAATGTTATACAGGGAGCCAGACCAGCGCATGATCCTCCCGAGCTAGAGGTTCTTGAGCCACAGTCTCCAGAGGATCTCAATAGTAACACCGGACTTGATCGTTCCACATACCTTTCTATCAAGGACTACTCATTTTTCTTCAAAAATCTTGATAAGTATGCCCTCAAGTCTCCATCCATCAAAGATGTTTATAAAACAAATAAGGCAGCTGAGAAGTTCTCCAATGACGATTCATTCCTCTTTTCAAAAGAATATCTAGAAAATGTTCTCGATATTCCAGACTCCACCTTCAGAGAACTCAAAGATTCTCATAAAAGATACGTCAATGAAGAAATTACAAGAGCAACCAAGCATTTGAGTACCTTTGGTAATGTTTTGACTACTGATATTGAATGGAAGGAGTATGCGGGATCTTCTGGTTACGTTATAGTTGGTGGTGGGCAATATTCGTGGTTGGCGTATTTGGTAATTAGGCAGATTAGAGCAACTGGAGCAAACCTCCCGATAGAGTTATTCATAGCTAATGAGAATGAATATGAAAAAGACTTTTGTGAAATTCTTTTGCCTAAATATAATGCCCGCTGTAATCTTTTCAACACTGAGTTATCTTCTGAGTTAAAGAAAAAATTTGGTATGGGAGGATTTCAGTATAAGATGCTAGCGATTTTAAGCTCAAAGTTTGAAAACGTGATATATTTGGACTCTGATAATTTTCCGACTAAAGATGTCGATTATATTGTAGATTCTGAGCTATATAAGGAGAAGGGTTTGATAATATGGCCAGATGCATGGGCTAGAACTACTAATCCAAAATATTATGATATAGCTGGAATCGAAGTCAAGGAGAAGAAGATTAGATTCTCCAACTATGATAAGAAGAGAGCAGAAAAAGAAGGTAAGTCAGATTCATTAGATCTTAGTGATTATTCATTTCAGAACTCTGCGTATCATGATTTTGAAGGTACATTACCCAACCCATCTTCAGAAGCTGGTATGTTGATCATAAATAAAACTTCACACTTGAAAACTTTACTTTTGAGTTTGTACTACAATGTCTTCGGCCCTAATTTTTACTATCCTTTGTTGACTCAAGGTTCTGCTGGAGAGGGAGACAAGGAAACATTTATTGCTGCTGCCCACGTCATGAAGGAGCCCTACTTTCAAATACTAAAACAATTTAAATGGACAGGATACTTCTCTGAAGAAAACAACGAATTTAGATCTAAGGCATTAGGGCATTATGACCCTATACAGTCATTAGATCAGTCTAACAAAGACTCATCTATAGTGTTCATGCACTTGTCTTATCCAAAATATTATCCGAATTGGTTGGCAGATAATCACGATCTTATTTACGAAGGTCTGGGAAACCACATACGTATGTATGCTGATATATATGACAACGTTGGTTACGATTTCGACTTGCGTGTTTTACAATTCTTCACACAGGGCATTTGCCCCAATTATTACGATGAAGAAGGAGATGCAATTGACGGCCAAAATGACGTTACTAGAAAAACAGATTACATGGGAAATTTTCTCAGCTACGTCAGGAATGACGAACTGACTGAGGCCGATCGTTGTCTGAAGATATTTATTCCGCATTTGAGGTGGCTTAAGGAAACCTCTAAATACCCTCGCTTAAATTAAAGAAAAATCGGTCCGCATTTCCGCATTTCCGATTATTTTGATTTTTGATTTTCCATATGTTATCTTGTATTAAATTTACTAATTTGTGTGTCAGCATGCACTGCAATCATGTTTTATATTAAATAGCAAGAATATCACATTTAAACTCCAAAAATATACCACTAAATTATTCAGACCCTTTTGATAATGAGTGATAGCAGCTTGAGGCGATCAAGTGGCGAAGGAAATTATGAGGGGGAAGTGGAAAGGTCTGAGCATAGTGATACTGCGAGTTTTCATTCGAGTTTAAACACAAAGACCACACTGCACATACCGCCCATCCCCCCTCCAGAAGACATAACATTGCAAAGAGAAGTATTATTCGTGGCCTGTGTTTGTCTCTCTCAGTTACTCACTCAGGCGGGGGTTGCTCAAACTATGAACCCAGGAGTTGCTATTGGAAAGCAGTTTGGTGTCGAGAACAACGAAGGTGAAGTATCATGGTTTTCAGCAGCATTTTCGTTTACTGTTGGTACATTCATTCTCGTATCTGGTAGATTTGGTGACATGTATGGCTACAAATTAATGTATATAATTGGCTTTTTATGGTATGGTTTACTTACTATAATCACAGGGTTTACTGCTTTTTCAAGTTCTTCGATTCCTTTTAACGTGATGAGAGCGCTACAGGGTATCGGACCCGCAATTCTTATGCCCAATTCACAAGCCTTAATTGGCCACTATTATCCTGATGGAAAGAAAAAAAGCATATGCATGTGTTTATTTGGAGCAGTCGCTCCTGGAGGATGTATATTAGGTGCGATATTCAGTGGCTTATTTACTCAGTTAGTTTGGTGGCCGTGGGCTTATTGGGTTGCTGGTATTATTTATATGGTAATAGCTCTCATTGGCTATTCTGCAATACCCAAGAATATATTAAACTCTAAAACCAGTGGCCATGATTTTTTGGGGACCATTTTTGGAATATCTGGCCTTGCATTGTTCAATTTTGCATGGAACCAGGGCCCTAATGTTGGATGGGATAAACCGTACGTGTATATCTTGCTAATAATTGGCATTTTAATATTGGTTGCATTTGTCTTTATAGAGCGCAGGGCCAAGTATCCACTCGTACCACCTAAGGTAATGCAAGGTGACACGGGCTTTATACTAGGTTGTATAGCCGCAGGATGGTCAAGTTTTGGCATATGGTTGTATTATACTTTTAGGTGGTCTCAATTGATAGATGGAGATAATTACATTTTATCAGGTGTAAAGCTATTACCATGTTTGGTTTTTGGGTTTGTTGCTGCATTTCTGGCTGCATTTCTCTTGAGCAGAATACCTCTGTCACTGGTGATGTTTATTGCGATGTGCTTTTTTTTGGCTGGTCTTGTGATTATGGGAACCAGACCAGTGGGGCAGATATACTGGGCTCAAAAATTTGTAAGTTTAGTCATCACTCCTTTCGGAATGGATTGTTCGTTTCCTACAGCCTGTATTTTAATAAGTATGGCTGTTCCAAAATCTCAACAAGGCATAGCAGGATCATTGGTCTCAACTTTTGTTAATTATTCCATCCTGATAGGTTTAGGAATAGCAGGAACCGTGGAATACTATAGGACGAAAGGGAAACATTCGAATTTTGATACTGAAGTTTTGGGTATGAGGAATGCATTTTACATGGGAATGGGCCTAGCTGGGAGTGGAGTGTTACTTTCCAGTTTATTCATGTTTAAGCAATTGAATAAGCAGAGAAAAAATAACTTAAGAGCTCAAGAAACAGATAATAGAGAGGAGAAAGCTTAGTATATCCGTTACAAACGGTATACTAATTATGTATGATTAGATTAGATTAGATGTATATATGCAGTTTCTTAATTTGAAGTGCGAAGCTCTTGATAAGTTTGTAAGCATACTGGAAATATTATATCTTTGTTAAAATTAAACTAAACATAGAAAAAGATGAGTTCTGCAGTGCTCAAGAGTCCGCTTTCAAAGTCTTTAAAGATAGCTCTAATACAGTTAAAAGCTGGTGGAGATAAAGCGGCCAATTTGGATAAAGTCAAAAGCTTTATCGACAGGGCCATAGCTACGTCAACCATTGGAAAACTTGACTTGGTGATGTTGCCCGAATGCTTCAATTCACCTTATGCAGTCGACCAATTTCGTAATTATGCTGAATCTATCCCTGACGGTGAAACAACGAAGCTCTTGTCTTCGTTGGCTCATAAATACGGAATATTTATTGTGGGTGGATCGATTCCTGAAATTGACTCTAAAGAAGACAGCAATGTCTACAACACATCTCTTACATTTTCACCGGAGGGCCAGATTATCGCCAAACACCGCAAGGTCCACTTGTTTGACATTGATATTCCAGATGGTATCACATTTAAAGAATCAACTACGTTGAGCGCGGGTGATAAGGCGACAGTGTTTAAGTTGGGCGACTTTGGAAATGTGGGTTTAGGCATCTGCTACGATATCAGATTTCCAGAGCTAGCAATGATTGCTGCTCGCAATCCTTACAATTCTTTTGCCATGTTTTATCCAGGTGCGTTCAATACCACAACTGGGCCGTTACATTGGCATTTGTTAGCCAGAGCTAGGGCCGTTGATAATGAAATATTTACTGTATTGTGCAGTCCTGCAAGAGATGTTGAGGGAGGTGGATACCAAGCTTATGGTCACTCTTTGGTAGCAGATCCATATGGTAAAATCATAGCCGAGGCAGGAGAAGGTGAAACTATTTTATTTGCAGAATTAGACAAAGATTTGCTCCCAAAAGCTAGGGAGGGAATTCCTGTTAATTACCAAAGAAGATTTAGCGTATATAAGGACTTTGTTGGAGACGGCGATGTCAAGGTGTCTTCTTTATGATCTCTACGTCTATATATCTTCTTTCCTTTCTATAAATTCTATAAGAACATCGGCAAATTCATTTGGCTTTTCACTGATCACCCAATGACCAGATTCAATATCCTTAACTTCAAAATTAGGAAAAAATGCTCCAATGTCTTGTAAATATTCATCAGGAACATATTCGGAATTCGTGCCTCTGATGAACAAAGCCGATCCATTACTCCACTTACAGTAGTTCGGATCAAATGGCCAGCTGGCAATTTTTCCTTTGGTAATTGCGTCACCAATAATACTCAAAGGTATCCTTGAAATTATAGGATCATCCTTTTTTCCTCGGACAAGATTCGTTAGCAAAAATTGACGAACTTGCTCGGAGTTTTCAACTTTTGCTAATTGGGCATCAACATCTTTAATGTTACTGTAATGGTATTTCTCCAATGAAAGCCTAAGTTGATTGACATATTTTGAAAAAGGAGATGTAGATCCTGAATGAGAACTAACAGGAGCGTTGTCCACCAGAACGATAATACTTGGAAGATCTGGACGACGCAAAGCGACAGCCATTGCTGTCTTTGCACCCATAGAATGTCCAACAAGAATAGGCTTGTGGAGCTTTTGCTCATGGATAAATCTTTCGACGTCAGCTGCTAAAGATGGGTAGTCTAGTCTGGCAATATGAGGAGAGTCTCCGAAGTCTCGTAAGTCTAAGCAGTATATATCTCTACCTAATCTAGAGGCTAATTGTTTTGAAATAGTTCTGGTGTTGGCCTTTGAACCAAATAATCCATGTAACATTATTAAAGGGGAAAGTCTATCCTCTGCACCACCCTTTGGTGAGTGTTTATCATAAGCTAACTCAACTGTTGGAATGGAACCATCTGTAGACAACGCATCTCCTAGATATGATGAATTACTTGCAATAGAATAATGTTTGAATATCGTCAAATACAGTTGCCTCGTATTTCGTATAGTTTGACTAGCTCTCAATGTACTTTTCAACATTTTAAGTATTAAAATCTATTATCGATGTAACAAATGTAACACACACTTTGAGTTTCATAATAAGACACAAAAACAGTCGCAGTACTATAATATTGCCCAACCCAAGCAAAAAAAGAGCCCTAGTAGTTTGTAAATATATATTTTTATTTTATAAATTGGATTTAACACACATCAGAGAAGGAAATTTACTCAATTTTACTTAGCATAAAGTAACATAACTGTACATAACTTAAGGTCACTTCTATCCTGTAGATCTCTTTGATTTAACTTAATAATTTAACGTAATTCGAAGGACAAATTCCAACTTGGCCATTTGATTTTCTTGCTTGCCACCACTTACCGTCAATATCGTCAACATCTAGTATTTCGTCTTTGACGAAAGATATTTCATTTATATCATCAGGATTAGCATCATACGAATATAGAGCTTGAGCCTTATACCTGAAAGTTATGTTATTGTTGGAGCCTTCATCATTGTATACAGTTTGCCTTTTATTGCTTGTCAAATCTCTGCTTTGACGAACATCAGACGAGGAAAAATTTTCCAAACCATTTAATTGCGAAGATGACATATATGGTGCTGTTGTTGACTTATTGTTTGTAGTCAACTGTGATTGTCTAAGATTATTATCTTGAAAATGAGCACTGGTGTTTGAATTTCCTAAGTTTTCCTGAGAGGAAAACTTCTTATAGTCAACCTCCTCTACTTCTTCCAACTTATGATTATCATTTGACGCCAAGTGGCCATGGTTGTGAGTATGACTCCTTAAGGAGAATGAATCGACAAATTGATTTGTTGGAGACTCTGGATGCCCACCAAAGTAAACTATCCAAATGACATTTAAAATTGAGGACAAAATGCATCCTGCAGCACAACACTGTGAGCCCGAGCTGGATCTATAGATTTGATTATTCGTTGCATTTGTAGTGTAGACGAATGCTACTGATAATAAGCCCACCAATGTAAATTTGTATAGCTCAAGGGTATTGAATAGGTACAACAACAAAACAACCAAAACTATTATAATTTGATACACAAGAGCCCACCATGTGAAATGAGACACAACATCAGGTGCAGACCCCGCTCCCGCTATACCAATAATCCATGACATTATGCCAAAGGATACTGTTGCAATAGCGAATGGATCGCCATAAAAGTTAGATAATTTAAATGACATCTCTCGTAGCTTAATAACTTAAAGTCAAATCTTTTTCACTGAAAGCCTCTGAAGAGGTTCGTTTCTACCCTCAAAAATATAAAATTGATAGCAAATAGAAAGCTTCTTATAGTTTCGGATCCTTCTGCAACAAAAACTTCGCAGCTATGGATCCTGATTTAATCAAACACCTTCTCAAGTGCTTTTACTGTTTCGAAATAAAAGATAAATGAAGCGAATGTGCTGAGTTGCAACTCTCAGTAGTTTAGCCTATTCTTCCGTGAAGTTTAAAATTAAAATATATAGAAGCTAATATTTACCTCTAAAATTTTGAAAACATTAAAATCAACCGATTCATGCGCTTTCAGTCTATATATTGATCAATGACGAAGACAAAGGGGAAAAAGTACCACAAAATAGAAACACCTCAAAAAGTGGCGATTCGTGTTCATACGCGCGAAAGAGAAAAAATTGCGAGTCTAGAAATGTCAGAGACTCAGATCACCTAAAGACAAAGATCTCAGAGCACGTGCTACAAAACGTGATATACAAGTGTCAACTTTGCTGACCAGCTGGGGTTGCGAATCTCTTCAAATTGGGGCACATACGTAAAAAAACGGGTGTCACAATGCAGCGGCTCCGTATAAATTCTTTTCTGATGATGGGAGTGGTCAGCTTTCTGTGTGAATGACTTTGCAACTCTCCCTTTTTATGTGGTCTCGAAGCCGTGTAGATATACTTGAGTCAATTTCATTTCCTTATCAAATTGTGTTTCGTTAGTAGCAACGGATAAAAGCGGCTAGACGTATTAGTCAGCTGTAATACTTATAAGTAGGAACATAAAATTAACTTGCTACTGTCTTTCTTCTATACCTTCACTTGCTTTCCTAAAGTATAAATAAAAGATAAATTGAACACCCACCAAATTCTTAACCGACATTAAATATAATGCTTGTTGCACGGACTTACACTGCGGCTTGTCTGATTCCTGCTGCAGCAGTAGCAGCTAAGTACACTTTGAGATTTAAATCAAGTGCCATAAAGACACATGCACCTCAACCGGCACCTGAAACACACCGCCATAATCCGCTTTCTATATCGACTAGGATTTTAGAGAACGATGAATCCGCTAAGCATGATGATAGACAGTTTATCACACATCCTATGTTTCCACATCCATGGTTCGCAGATAAAGACTGCGAAAAAATTCATTTTGAACATAGAGTGCCTGAAACTAGGGGTGATAAGATTGCTTATGGGGGTACAACACTAGCTCGGGCTGCCTTTGATTTTGTCACTGGTTACAAAAAGCCTCGAAATGAGAAGGAGGAAATAGAGGGCTTTAAAGGAACTCGATACGAGATGACTGAGTCGAAATGGTTGACGAGATGTATTTTTTTAGAAAGCATTGCAGGAGTGCCTGGAATGGTTGCAGCTTTCATTAGACACTTACACTCTCTACGTCTTTTGCGAAGAGACAAAGCGTGGATCGAAACACTTTTGGATGAAGCATATAATGAACGAATGCATTTATTGACTTTCATAAAGTTGGGCGATCCCTCGTGGTTCACTCGTCTTGTCATCTATTTTGGACAAGGCATTTTTTGCAACGTATTTTTCTTGTGTTACTTAATTAACCCAAGATATTGCCATAGATTTGTTGGCTACTTAGAGGAAGAAGCTGTGAGTACATATTCACATTTGATAAAAGAATTGGATCTTGGAAAGAATCCCAAATTCAAAGAAGTGGAAATTCCTACAATTGCTGTTCAGTACTGGCCAGAGCTTAAGGATAATTCTAGTTTCAGAGACTTGATTTTAAGAATAAGAGCCGATGAAGCCAAACATAGAGAAGTAAATCATACTTTGGCCAATTTAAAGCAAAAAGGTGACAGAAATCCATTTGCATTGAAAATTAAAAATGTCAACGAGCCCCAGCCAGACAATGGAATCGAAAACACGAAAGGTAAAGGTTGGGATCGGGATGAGCTCATTTTATAATTTAGTTTTTGATTTTAATTAATTGCTATTTGCTATTTAAATAACGTAAAAAAATGTACATAGTTTATGAGTAAGTGATATTGTTAATGTTTGGCCCCAAAAAAGATAGTTGCACCTAGACATATAAACATAACGACTAAACCCCAAATGGCTAACATTAATCCACCATATTTAGAAAAAGTCTCAAGCCTGTTCAACGAACTGCTTCCATTCAAAGGCTTAATTAATAGGTAGCCGAACAATCCTGGGAGTATGAACGAAATTGAAGTCGATCCTGTCGATCCAACAAAGGCCAATACATGCTCTAAAGAAGTAACAGAAATTGCAACAATAAATGAAAGTACGTTTATGCATGTGGTTATGATGTAAAATTTTTTTGAGCTTAAAGGTACAATTATAGGATCATGACCCTCAGTGTCTGGTGCTCCCTCCATCGGAGTTGTTGAAACAAACGATTCATCATGTGGTAAATCCTCGGCACCGATAGACTCTGCATCAGAACTCAAAGATGTGTAACCGTTTAAAGTTCGTGATTTGCTAGTATTAACCCCATTCTTAAGAAAATGAATAACATGATTGATCGAACCTCTACATGGATGACATTGTAGTGGGTAGGATAAACTTACCATAATTACAATGCACAATCTCCCAATAAGCGACAGTGTAGAATCCTTAGAATACATGGAGATTATGTTACCATTTACAGTTGTTCCGAAGCTCAAATAACCAATTACACCAACAATTAAATATGAAACAAGAGCTGTACATATAGCACGACTGATAATTATATTTGCTTGTCTCGTTTGAGAGCCATCCTTATCACTAGATTGTAGTTCATTGATAATAGCAAACATATTTTGATGGCAGGTGTAAGCGAACACAAATATTGGAAAAGATGACAACGTTGACTTAATTGAAACTGGTCCGATCAAATCTATATGTTTATCTTGAGGCACATCATTAACGATATAGTGACCCACGACTAGTATTATTAAATAGGCAACTGAGAATAGTGCAATAACAGAAGTATATTTCAAAGAGTCTAGCTTTTTCAAATAGGACAACGGAATGATTAACAAAATCATGAATATTGATATCCAAAAGTTTCTTGCCATAAATACGCTTGATGGATCTACTTCTAGACTTTCCATAATCTTCGGCATAAGATCTCCAATAACAACTAAATAGCTGACGCCAACACCAAAACACTTTATTGAAATCGCTGAATCAAACACAATTGACAAGTTAGGATAAGTTAATTGTGCCAAGCTAAAATAAGATACAACTCCTCTTTGAGATGTATATTTAGCTACTTTATTTTGTAGATATAACCCGAATGAAGAAGTTAAGGCAGACCACACAATTAATAAACATCCAAAGAGCAAGCCGTTAGACTTCAACCCGTAGGGCATGGCTAGAATACCTGCACCTATAATTGTGTTCAATAAGTTTATAGTACCTGACCTGATTGTAGCCGTAACCATAATGTTTCATAAACTACACTGTTGCTTTGCTCTGACCCAAGTTCAGTTTCTGGTCTTATGTATTTTTTTTTTCTGCATATCATATCGAAACGTGATTTTTTATCAATTGATAACACCTACATTAAATAATGGTAACAAATTTCTAATAAAACACTTGAGCCTATACAAAAATTATCAAACTAATTCGACGGTTTAAATATTTGAGATAGAAGAATAGAAAAACATATTGATTTTATACCATAAACTTTATACTGTGAATACAATAACGGAAATCGAATCAACTAATTATTATAAGATAATCGATAACTAATAGGATACATTGCGTAAAAAGTTTACTATATCTTGACAAAAAAGGTGGTCGGAAGGAATCTGATGTAATCTGTCCCTTCCGAGAAGATCATTGGTGACGTAACAAGAGAAATTGATCTTGAGATCAAAAAATTAAATATCCCACGAAGAATGCCAATAATATCAATATAAAGGCATAAGGTAAAGACACCGCACTACCTACTTCCTCCGACTTTGGAGTACTTGATGTCGAAGAGGTGGCTCCGCCGGCCCGTTCGTTGGAATCCAATTTTTGTGATAAATTGTTAATCTTAGCTGTTGATGCGTCAAGTTCCTTTTGCAATTCAGAAGACCCATTGCTCTTATCTATTTGTGAGCCAGAAACTGCTCCAGCAGCCGTAGGAGGGATAACGTTAGAGGCACTTGAATCACCCACGTCATGCCCATTTGCTGAAGAATCATCTTCACCCGTAATAATATAATTCACCCTCAACTTTTTTGAATTCATCTGCAGCTTATACTTATTCTCCAATTCTGACCAAACTTCGCTCACCTTAGATGAATCTTCCAAATCAGGACACGGCAATGATACTAGTAAAAATTTATCCTTACACTTATAATCTTTCGGTAACTCCTGGGTAAATCCTTGCAAAATAATTGAAATCTTAACTTCTGAACCTGGTTTGACTATGCTAGCATTTGGTCTGACACAGTACAATTTAGGGGCGGTTGTCTTTACCTTGAATGCTAGTGGGGAGTCGGTTGTATTTGACAACGTCAAGTATTCTGTAGTGGGCTTTGTGAAGTCTCCTACGGTGCAAAATGTTAGTACAATTCTTAATTATAGCACAGTCTATAGTTTTTTCAAGAACAGTTGCCTACCAAGCATCCATCGTTTGAATGATAGCGTGGCTGATTTATCCCAATTTGTAAATACTTACCCTTGAATTCTAAAAGATTTGGTAAAACATCCATTGCGACTATAGTTCAAGCTTCTTTAATACAAAGTTTCGATTGATTGATTAAATTAACTCAATTAAAAATTAGTTATCTTTATAGAACTATGCTGATACTGACAACCAAGTGCTTAGTTAGCGCAGTATTTCAGTAAAGAATAAATTCCAACACTCAATTTGAGGTACAGACACGACCAACCCTTACTTTGAAGCATGAAATTAGCCTGTGTGAACGAACTACAAAGCGTGAGTTGTCTCCTGATTGAGATAGAGAATAACTAAAAAAAGCAGTGACTACTATTTCAGGCTCGGGTTCCTTCAGCATCTCTGGTCAAGTAATTGATATTAAAAAGAGCTTCACACTTCTTTCGTAATAAAATTCCCCTGCCATTTTTCATAATCACATGCAATTCTACAAGAACATTTCACTAGTAAAATAGTTCAATTTACGTAGCTAATAATATAGGGCATTTCAGTAGTCATCTCCGCGAGATACAACTTCTTTCTTATGAGGGTGCAAAAGTATTGTGTGTTCAAATTGAGCAGTATAACTGCCTTTGATATCCACAATTGGTGGATAGTCTTGAACTATTCCGGCACGGACCAACTGGTTTAATGCCAAAAGATACTTATCTTCTCCAGTCCTATCAAGATACCTGCGACACCATGGAAGAGTTCCGAAATTCTTGTTTATAGTATTCAAAAGAGTCCTTGCTCTTTCTGTTGGTATTCTGATATCATCGACATCTTTGTTCTTTGCATAATGTGAGCATTCGCCTTGAGGTAAAACATAGCCATTTCCTGTCGATCCAAAGGTTTCAATGGCAAAAGTCTCCCCCTCCTCCATCTTTGTCATATCCCCATTTGGTACAATTGGAACAGTTTTACCAGAATGGATCACATAATCACCGATATTATGGCCATTCAAGTTTCTTATGCATTTTATCGGATAAGTTTTGCCATTCAACTCCATTTCATACGACTCCATTACCTCTTGTACAGCAGCTCCAATGTCATTCAATCTGACATCAATTCCAGATTCTTTGACACCAGTATTGGTTGCTTCTCTTACCGCTGTAAGAAGATTATCGTACTTGTCATCGAAGGTCAACGTAAACGCAGAATCAACAATGTGTCCATTAACATGGACGCCAATATCTACTTTCATAACATCTTCATAATTCAAAACAGTCTTATCACCAGCATTGGGTGTGTAGTGAGCAGCTACGTGATTCAACGAAAGTCCCGTCGGAAAGCCAATTCCCGCTTTCAAAGTATCATCAGTCGCTACGTACCCCCTGATTGAATTTTCAATAATATCAGCTATTTCTGTCATACTCATTCCCGGTTTTATGGAGGATCGAGCCTTGTGGCGCACTCTTCTATGTATTTCGGCTCCCTTACGAAAGTCTTGCCAGTGATTATTCTTTTGCCTATCAAGATATCTAAGTTCTTCCGATGAAGTGCGGTAACTATTAATTTCTAAGGGATATTCTTGCCATTCACCTTCTGGGAAAACACCATCAGGATATGAACTATCAATACTAGTTATCTTCTTCTTCTTCTTACTTTTCTTCTTTTTCTTCTTTTTGTCAGTTGAATCATTTGCTACATCATCGTTTTCCTCGCCTTCATCTTCAATCGAGTCTCCTTTTCTATTTCCTATTTGTAGTGCCTCAAGTGAATCTTTAACACTATCAATTGCTTTCTTCGGTTGATCGTTGGTGGAAGAAACGACCATGACTGATTATGCTTAAGTATACTGAGTACTTTCTTTGAGAGTTCGTGGGACCATAAAATTTTCCTCTACCAGTTAGTCATGTGATGCAGTAATGTACATCAAATATTACTTCTAATTGCAAAACTACGAACATTTGGAATCTATTTTGCGCCAGAGTAACAAATAACTGAGAAAGCTTTGTCATGATTAAAATCATATATTAAATTACAATCGAGAATTAAAGAAAACGAAAAAGAAATAAAGATGCAAAAATGAAAGATCTATAGACCATTGGAAGTGCAACTGAGGAGCAGATACACTAACGAAAACGAAACTAGACAACCTTAACCTCAGAATTGAGTAAAAGAATTACTCTTTCGAGTACGACTCCCCATTAGAACTTGAGTTTCCAAACAATACCTTATCAAAATTAATCATCTTACCATCCACCCTCTGCTTTTGCATTGAAGAGCTCACTATATTGTTAAAGTCGGGCGTCTTTAAAAATGCTTTCGAGTGTGCGCTTAAATTGTTACTATTATGCACGTTGGCACTTCCAGGGGATGGCGTAAAAAAGTTGACATAGTCACTCATATTGAACCCAGCGGGAGTAAGGCTCAACCCAGAAGAAGGAAGTCCATTAGCTGTAGTGGCGTTTAAGGCATTGAGAAGGTTGACCGATGGAGTGACCCTATTTTGAGGAGTCCTTGCCGAGTTGGAAAGGTTATGTTTTGGAGTCAAAGGAGGGGGTGCAGTAAACGAATTCTGAGAGCTTGGAGAATGTGGTTTACCCGAGACTGATAAAGACCCTGCAGAATTCGGCACTGATGATGAGGAACTGTTATGATGTTGGTGATGACTTGATCTTGGGGTATTAGAGTAAAATGGTTTCGCAGGAGAGGGAGACGTTGCCAAATACATCAAGAGATCAGCGCCCTCATCGTCGTTATAGGAGCCACCTGTATTTGGTCGAGATTGTGTAGGTGTCTTCAATAAAGACGTAGTGCTCGAGTTACCATAAAGCTGCTTCTTTTGTAGGGTTGGAGTAGTCTGTTGATTCAGAGAGTGGTCCAGCAACGCTGATTTGGAGCTAGATGATGGCATCAAGATCGCAGGGTTTTTTTTAGGTGTGCTGGGATACGGTACCTGTTCCAAGATCATATGAGGTTCTCCTTTGGACTCCCTTTTAACAGAGACGTTTTTTCTCGATGGACTATCAGGCAACTTATCAACGTCAGAGTCTATTGCAATATTTTTCAAGGGGGAAGAATTCAAAAATACACCTGCTGGTGATTTCACTTGAGTTGGAGATATTTCATGCGGTGAATACATGTCACCCAGGGACGAAGAGCTCAAGATCTTCCCGCTAAAATTTGTAGGAGAAGCGAACAGCCGTCTCTTAGGATGATGATTCAACGGGCTGGACTTTTCAACTTTATAGATGGCATCTGTTTGGTCTTTACTCAATGGTGAAATAGATTGTTTGGCAGCTATCGATGCCTTTGACAACTTTTTTTTGAGCTGTTTCGCGATTTCCTCTAACTCCTCCCTTCTCAATGACGGCTTGTTTTTTGAACTATCATTATCATTCTCTGACGCCATGGATACTGTAATGTTCTTTTCTGCTTTAGATGATGAAAGGATCAAGTCTTTATTTGTCGTAGTTTTTTCTTTGAGGGAGGGCTGGGTCCTTTTGCTCTCAGTCAGACTCATTTGTCTAGTACTATTCAAAGAGCGTCTGTCTCCTGGATGCGGATGATAAATCTAGGAACCTGTTATGTGTCAATATCTCTGAGGAAGAGGGTCAGTTAAGTAAAATCTTAGAAAGAGCAATAATAACTTGTGTAAACTCGCTCAAAGGTATGCTACACCCTTACGCGTACGAAGGAAAAGATGGGTTCTATTTTAACCGTTTTAAGAAATATGATAGTGCATGGAAGAAATACAGGTGCATTTTTAAAAAGGGAAGAGAAAAAAAAGAAAAAAAAAACTTTCTCTTATATTTACGGCCCATGCCGAAATCGGAATATTCCGATTTTCTAGCATTTTTCGTTTGAGATCTCACTAAAATTAGGCGCATCGATTAGGAAGGCAAAATTAGACATTTTCTTATCTATCTATATAAAAGGTAGACGGGTAGGATAGTAGCATTTCCTCTTGAGATTCTCCTCCGGTAAATACACCTCATATATATATCGTGCATTCCAGGTGTTAAACATTACTGTTTAATACATCGTGACAATCATAAGCACACAAGAGCTATGTTGTTTCTTATGATATTATGTGTTGCGCTTTACGTGATAGTACAGCTAGTAAGAACTGTACTACCACAGCGCTTCTTTGTCCCACCGCACAATTGGAGGGAAAGGATTCAGAAAGTTCTTGACTATCCCAAACCGATTTATTTGAAAGTTGGATCGAAGAGGTCAAGCTACAGAAGACGGTTAATTCTAGCTAGCTCATGTCCATCTTTCTATACGAATTTCATGAACAACAAGCTCAAAATACATGATGAAGACAAAGAGAATAAGCAAGCTTTTCAGGAGGAGATGAAAATCAGAGATGGTAGTGACCCGAGAAGGAAAATCCTTTTTGGTTTTTTTCATCCATATGCTAACAACGGCGGTGGTGGGGAAAAGGTGCTATGGCAAGCAGTAAAAGCAACTTTATTGTCGGATGATAGAAATATTGCTGTAATCTATACGACTAATCTTGATGCCCAGCCATTAGACATATTGAATAAAGCTGAGGAGAAACTCAATGTGAAAAATATTGATTCCAAAAGAGTAGTATTTATATACTTGAGAAGGTTCGGCAACCTTATAAGTGAATCCTATTGGACACACTTTACTATTATTGGCCAACTCTTAGGATCAGGCTTATTATCACTTGAAGCAATGAATGAATTGTCTCCTGATATATGGATTGATACGATTGGTCTTCCAGGTAGTTACTGGTTAGTAAGCGTTGCGCTCAAAATACCCATATTAAGTTACGTTCATTATCCCATACTTCAAAAAGAAATGTTCAATAAGCTCAAGTTTCCAGAATTCTCAATGAATCAACTTCGGAAGTTCAAAGGCACTGCAAGTGATTTTTTTGCCTTAGGGAAGTTAATATATTGGTCAATATTGTATTACACTTATAAGTTTTTAGGTTCTAAGGTTGATATCACTTTGACAAATGGTACTTGGACTTACAACCATTTATCGACAGTGTGGTCTTTGAATATGAATCGCAAATTTGAAATATTATATCCGCCTTGTGGTCCTGCTGCGCAAACGAATGAGATATTACCTACTGAAAAGGAAAACAAGTTGATATATGTTGCCCAATTCAGACCCGAGAAACGTCACGAATTAATATTATTAGAATACTCGAAGTTTTTAAAATCCTTTTCATCTCAAAAGGGCCAAGTAAGGGACTTACCCACTATTGTGTTTCTTGGATCATGTCGTACAAAAGACGATACTTCAGTGTTGAATGATTTAAGAGAGACGATAAAGAGGCTCGATCTAGAAAATTACGTTGAATTGGTAATCGATTGTCCATATGACCAAATGATCTCATATTTGCGTAAATCAAAATATGGATTAAATGCGATGTGGAATGAACACTTTGGTATAGGCGTTGTGGAATATTTAAGCTACAAAGTAGTCCCAATTTGCCATGCATCTGCAGGTCCATGGATTGATATCGTCGTTGAAGAGGGGGTCCCAAACACCAAATGGTATAATAATGTGGGCTTTTTCTTCAAAAGTTGCTCGGATCCAGACTTTGATGAAACATTGCAAAGAAGCGATACTGAGCTATTAACTTTCAATATGAAAAACTCAAACGCTTCAGATGGTAAGCCTATAGATTTTCCAAATTTGTCACAATTATTTATCAAATTATTTATATCACATACTGAAATGGTGACAGCCAATCATATCACTACTATGAATAAGAGAGGACTTGAAATAGCTGAGGACAGGTTTTCTGATAGGGCGTTTGCTGAAAAATGGATGTCATATGTAGAAGATTTAAAAATGTTGGAGCGTAGTTACAGGGAAGAGAAAAGATCTGGAGTGGAGACAGTATATTAGTCAAAATAAACTTTAATGAAACTGAAGATAATTCTGTAGAACTTTAAATCTAGGAGTATTTGACACGTAATAAATATTTCTTAATTGTGGTAGGACCTCAAAGTTGGTATATATTATAGCTGTGAAATATAGTAGTGCGCGAATTAATTTATATAGCTGAAGCAGGAAATTGATCTCTGTCAATAAACTCGACGTGTTAAGTTCGCATAACAATATACAATAAAAGACGAGCTATTGAGATCCATTTCTTCATCAACCATTGAATAAGAAAGAGATTTTGGTCCAGGATGAAGTTGGATGTTACTAAACAATTTTCAACTCGTTCCGATAGGGTTAAGGGTATTGATTTTCACCCTACCGAACCATGGATTTTAACAACATTGTATAATGGTAAGATAGAAATTTGGTCATATGCTACCAATACCTTGGTCAAGTCAATTCAAGTGACGGAATTGCCTGTTCGTACAGGTAAATTTATTGCTCGTAAGAACTGGATAGTTGTTGGCTCAGACGATTTTAATGTTAGAGTGTATAATTACAACACTGGTGAAAAAATCTCGCAATTTGAAGCACACCCTGACTATATTAGAAGCATAGCTGTCCATCCCTCTAAGCCATATATTTTGACGTCATCCGATGATATGACCATCAAGTTGTGGAATTGGGAAAATAATTGGAAGTTGGAGCAGATCTTCGAGGGCCACCAACATTACGTTATGAGTGTAAATTTCAATCCCAAAGATCCAAATACATTTGCATCTGCCTGCTTGGATAGAACGGTCAAAATTTGGTCTTTGGGGTCTTCACAACCGAATTTTACTTTGATTGCTCATGAGGTGAAAGGTGTAAACTACGTTGACTATTACCCTCAATCGGATAAGCCTTATTTAATTACTTGTTCCGATGATAAGACGATAAAAGTTTGGGACTATCAAACGAAGTCCTGTGTGGCGGTATTAGAGGGACATTTGTCAAATGTGTCATTCGCTATTTTCCATCCCGAATTACCATTAATTGTTTCAGGTTCAGAAGATGGTACTGTTAGGTTCTGGAACTCTAATACTTTCAAACTAGAAAAATCGATAAATTATAGTTTGGAAAGGGTATGGTGTATCTCCCTTCTTCAAAAGTCTAACTTAGTTGCAGTTGGTTGCGATTCAGGTTATGTCGTTATAAAGTTGGGTAACGAAGAACCATTGTTTTCAATGGATTCCAATAATAAATTGATCTATGCAAAAAACTCAGAAGTCTATCAGTCCATTATCAAGCCGGGCTCCTCTGAAGGGCTCAAGGATGGGGAATCGTTATCTTTGCAACAAAGAGAGCTTGGATCTATAGAGATATATCCTCAGTACTTAGCTCACTCGCCTAATGGAAGATATGCTACGGTTTGCGGGGACGGTGAATACATTGTATATACTGCACTAGCTTGGCGATCTAAAGCTTATGGTAATGCTTTAGACTTTTGCTGGAACACTCAAGATTTTTCTAATAACTGTCAATTTGCCATTAGAGAATCACCCTTATCAGTAAAGACCTACAAAAATTTTCAAGAACATCAGAAAATTGATCTCATTTATCAAGCTGATAAAATTTTTGGAGGAGCTTTATTGGGTGTCAAACTGGAAGGATGCATTTCCTTCTATGACTGGACATATGGAAAATTAGTGAGACGAGTCGATTTGGATGATGACATTCAGGATGTAATTTGGTCCGATAATGGTGAACTTTTGGCAATTATCACATCTTCATCAGTCGGCGAAAGTTCAAATAATCTTATTGGTTCTAAGAAGAGCGATGAGACTTACTTTTTGAGCTATAGTGCTCCTACCTTTGAAGAGGCATTAGAGAGAGACGAATTAGATCCTGAAGAGGGCGCTGATTCAGCATTTGATGTTTTGTATACGATGCCTACATCTGAACCCATTTTGTCTGGGAAGTTTATCGGAGATGTGTTTATTTATACTACAGGAACTTCGAATAGATTGAATTATTTTGTTGGAGGTGAAATAATCAATTTGGGACATTTTGATCATAAATACTACATTGTTGGATACAAAGCTAGTGATGGCAAGTTGTATCTTACCGATAAGTCATTCAATGTTGTTCCATGGTATCTTAATGCTGATGTCTTAGAACTTCAGACTTTAGTCATGAGAGGTGACTTAGAACAGTTTGCAAAGGGTTCGATATTAGAGGAAGAAACAGGTGAAGAAATTCCAGAATTATCTTCTATAGTTCCCGGTGATTTGTCCGAAGAATACTCTAGTCTTTTAACTGGATTCAATAAAACTGAAATGAATCAACTATCGAGATTTTTCGAAAAGTTAGGATATCTAGGATTATCATTTGCGTTGTCTCAAGATTTTGATTCAAAGTTTCAAATATCTCTATCAACAGGAAATTTAGAGCAGGCATTCAATTTGCTTTCGTCGCACCAAAAAGAGAATCCATCCACTGCAATTATGAATTCTAATAAATGGAAAAAATTAGGAGACTTGGCATTGACCATGTGGAAGATAAAGCTTGCTCAAGAATGTTTTTGGTTAGCTAACGATCATGGTTCCTTATTGCTATTGTTGTCATCATCGAACAACAGGGCCGGTCTTAGGCAACTAGCCGAAGAATGTGAAGCGAAAGGAAAATATAACATTGCATGGCAATCATGGTGGTTAAGTGGAGAAAAAGACAAATGCTTAGAATTGTTAATTAAGAGTGAAAAGGACACAGAGGCTGCATTCTTTAGTGCTAATTACTCAGGTGATAAAGATGATGTGGCGAATGCAGTTAATGCATGGAAAGAAAAGTTGAAGTCTAATAATAAACTGAAAATCAGCGATCGGCTCATAGAAAATTTTGAGAATCTTAGCATATCCAAAAATGGAACAGCAGATACCGAGACTTTGATTGACCTTAATGATTCAGGTTTAAACGAAGGAACGGAATCTCCTCAAATTCAAAACGGAGGTGACCTCGATGTTTAAATTGAAAAATATACAGCTTCTAGTTTATATAAGGTATTTACTTTTTAGCCACTTATATATAATGACTTTATACATCAACTCTTATAAACATGAAAAACGTTATTATAATAAAGAATATTGGAAGCTCTAGAATTGAAAGATTTGATTGATATTAATTTCCTTGTCTTCTTTTTTATCAAAGCATACGAAAAATAACTCTTCATTCGATGAGGAGTTCACGTTTCCAACCGACTCACCCCACTTATGTACCTTATTGAACACTTTGAGAAGACGGTCATGCAAGAGATCAAGCTCAGGATCCCCAGGGTCGGTCTTGTACAACCTTAGTACAAACCGTCCTGTTGGTGCAAGAATATTGCTACATAAAAGTAACGCTGCATCCGCAAGATCAATTGGAGCTTTCAAAGGATCAACGATCGGTTTATTTAAAGCCTCTTTCGCTCCAAAACGGAGGTGTGGTCTCGACACAGTATTACTAAAAAACCCACTTTGTTGCATTAAGGGAACAGAAAGATCAGACAAAACGAGTTGAGGTTTGTAAGGAATATTTTTATAACCTTCAGTACGTGAAGAAGGAGTTTTTGTCTTAATGAGTGAATCCCGAATAGAGAGGCTGTGAACCCCATCTGTAATCGATTCTAAATCTTGCTCTACTACGGAATCTTCCTGCTCTTTAGCAAAGTATGATTGTTCTTGTGGATAAACTGTTTGCTCGAGGCTAGTACTATATTTTATCTCCTTCTTAACGGCAATCTCTTGAAAATGCAGCAATATATTGTGGTGCGACATCTTCGAGTAAATGTTGCCTTGAATAGATGATATCCCCGGTAAGGATTCCCCAACAAGGATGTCAAATCCAGCAATGTGGCATTTCTCTTGGAATTTTTCCAAATCAATGCTATGAATTTGGCATAATCTATTTTGAGAGAAGAATGCCCAGTTCCCAGGTACTGATCCTAAATCAAGTACACGGGTAATAGATTGATCAAAAATATTGAATTCTGAATCTAAGCGAAAAAGTTTGGATTGTGTCATCATATTTGTCATATCAATGAGCTCTTGTCTCGATGGCTTTTTGCCTCCTACTTTCCGTCGTACTTCATTATCAATACTAACGCGTCTAGCAAGTAACTCCAGTGCAGTTTGAAAGTACCTAGAATGTAAAATCAGAACTCTGGCTTTAAAGAGCAGTGCCAGAGCACGCTCAATATTCATTTCAAGCCCTCAATACGGATTTTTTAAACAGTGATGAATATACCTTTGGCTTCAATATCATTTCTTAAAACCTTATAACCTAAGAGCGACATAATCTTGGAGACATTATACGACGTAGGCAGGGCAACACACGTCGATTCTAATACTTTCACGTGATACTTTTTTTCACAAAAATTTTCACTTTTACTCGCATATAAAGATGATGATGAGATTTTTCAATCACTTCTCATTCAAAAACCATCCTCGTCGAATCATAAAATTACCAAATATTTTTGGGAGACGAATAAAGTAAGATGTCAAAAATCGCTTCATCTCAGGTTCGTGAACACGTCCAAAAGTTATTGGAATTCTCTAACGAAACCAAGAAGAGAAACTTCTTGGAAACCGTTGAATTGCAAGTTGGTTTAAAAAACTACGACCCTCAAAGAGATAAACGTTTCTCTGGAACTTTAAAATTACCTCAGGTTCCTAGACCTAACATGACCATCTGTATCTTTGGTGATGCCTTTGATGTAGACAGGGCCAAGTCTGTCGGAGTTGATGCTATGTCTGTTGACGACTTGAAAAAGTTGAACAAGAACAAAAAGTTGATCAAGAAATTAGCAAAGAAGTATAACGCTTTTATTGCTTCTGAAGTTTTGATTAAGCAGGTTCCAAGGTTGTTAGGTCCTCAATTATCTAAGGCTGGTAAGTTCCCAACCCCAGTTTCTCACAATGATGACTTGTATAGTAAAGTCACTGATGTTAAATCCACCATCAAGTTTCAATTGAAGAAGGTTTTGTGTTTGGCTGTTGCAATTGGTAATGTTGAAATGGAAGAAGATATCTTAGTTAACCAAATTATGATGTCTGCTAATTTCTTGGTTTCCTTGTTGAAGAAGAACTGGCAAAATGTTGGCTCATTAGTCATTAAGTCGACCATGGGTCCCTCTTTCAGAATCTACTAGGTAGTTGACATAAATAGTTATACTATATATCTTTCTATTGTCAATTAAACGTGATTTTGGATAAAAATTTAGCGTAAATATTATACACGGTTTATATTCACTATTAATGAGAGAAAATCTATTAGATCAGTCATTAAGATTCATCAGAAGACAACAGCATACACTTCAATACGCTGTAACCCTATTTTTTTTAGTAGATTTTTTATTCTTCTTGTTATGCTTCTTGGTTTCCAGTTTAAGTCCTCCTTGCTTATGAAACGGGCTATTGAGTTTTCCATTTACATTATTCATCTCGAAGAATTCTTTATCAAGATCATCACCTTCACTTTCAAGAGCTGCTCTTTTTCCGCCATAAAAGATAGTGTTTCCCGTTCGAGCAGTTGAAGAATCAGAAGCATCGTTCACCTTGCTACCTTTGTGCATCGAAAAGCTTAACTTCAGTAAATCATTTGAAAGATCAAACTCGTCTGTGGTCATATTTTTAGATGATAACGAAGAGATTATTTGCATCCTTCTGGATTCAGGTAAATTTTGCAAAGTATACAAATCTTTGTTGAATTCCCTCGTTTCCTGAAGACTTGGAAGTTCCCACAGGTCCTTTCCAACATTCTCCGGTGGAGGATTTACAAACTTGAGCTTTCCATTCACAAAATCCTTCAAAATATATCTTGAAGCTCTTGGTTCATCGGCACTGCCAAAACCTTGAGTCATGTAACCTCGAGCTCTTGCATATGCATTTAACAATTCTCTAGCTGTGGGATACTCACCACTTCCCCCATCTTCCACACTCTTGATCGGTATGTGAATACCATATACTGCCTCTAAGAAAAATTTTGGAATCCTTTGACAAACTAAAGAGATAGGTGAAATATGTTCCCTTAACTGATCAATCGGTAATACTCCATTGCAAACTAGTTCTCCATTAGTGTATGCGAAATTAGGAAAAACCAATCCAGGACAGTCACAGAGTAAGATTTCAGGCGTTAAGTGTATTGTCTGGAAATGCTTAGTCTTACCTGGTGTAGAAGATACTGAAACCTTTTTGGAGCCGACTAATGCATTTATGGTGGAAGACTTACCAACATTGGGATAACCAACTAATCCGATTTGTGTTTTGCGGTCAGGAAACTCAGGATCTATATTAAATTTTGGCGCTTCTTTTAAAAATAAATCTTCTAATTCGTCAACAGAAAGTATACGAATTCTGGGATCCAAGCCTTTTATTTCCAAGTTATCAGCCTGTTCATCGGAAAGCTTAGCATCTAGGTTCTTAATTTTGAGCTCGTTCTCTAATTCGTCTCTTTCTTTCTCAAGTAACTCATTGGCCCTCGCTGCACTGAAGAAGACAAAGTTGATATTCCTTGTAATGAAATATTCCGACCATTTCTTCCTTTGATTTAGAGTTAATAAATCAGCTTTATTAACTAAAAGTAAATTCTCTTTTGCCTTGTTGTCTTCAGGATCGCTTAGCTCATTTACATAATTCACCAAGTCAACAGACCTAAAAAGTAAGGGATTTCGAGCATCAACAATCTGTACAATCAAATCACATCTTTCAACTACTCTCCACAATTGTCTCCATACTTCTAAATTTCTCTCAAATGGAGTTAAAAGTAAGTCATTATTCTCAGTCAAGGAGGCTAAATCTCTTCTCCAATCTAAAAATGCCAAATTCTCCTGCCTTTCTATCTGAATTTTAGATTGATCTTTTGTCCATTTCGGTCGCCTAGGAATTGTTAGCCTATTTTCAAACATTTCATGTTTCTTACGCAACTGTGATCTTTCTTCGGTGCTAAGTAGTCCATCTTGGTCAGCGATTGTTGTGTTACCCACTTTTATGATCTTGACTTGATTATTTCTATCTGCTGTGAAGTCAGTGTCCGCTAATTGTGCCGTATTTAAAAATTCATCTAGTGAGTTTTCCTGAGTAACAGATCTCAATTTTACCCAGTTTGCCTCCTTTTTATCCGTGGTGAATCTCATCTCACCATCAGGTAAAAACGAAATCAGGTTTTCTAACCTTCTCTGGTTTGCGATGGTTCTACCCAACCCAATATGATTCTTATTCTTATGTCCCACAGGCTTGGGACCTTTTGGAGCTTTCCATTTCTTGGGTTCGGGATGTAAAGACGTTTTATTCTGACCAAAGTCACCCATTGTAATGAGAAGACCTAATATATGTTATGTTTATTAAAGGTAGTTAATATTAATTAAGACTACTAATCAAGATGGCGAAAACATTTCAGTGAGAAGATGCCCTCAAAAATAATCCTCTTGTCACGTGAGCAAATTATTATTTATACTTCGAAATCTTCAGAGATCAATTGATGAAAGGAACCGTGTTCCTAATGTAACCATGACACGAATAATGACTAAATATATTGAGAGAGCCACTTGAAACCCTCGCTGTATCCAGACCTCATGACGACAGAAACCATAAAAACTTCGATAGGTCTCTGGCCATCATTCAACTTTCCTGTGTCCTTACCCGTTGTGTTGTATAATCCTAAGGCTGTCTTAAGTTCGATCTCTCCTACAGCAGTTGGTGAGTCAATCTTATTGCCTAATATCAAAAAAGGCACGTTTGAAAGTTCTTCAATTCTGAACAATGACTCTAACTCGGCCTTCGATTCAGCAAATCTCTCTGGATCTGCTGCATCCACTAAAAAGACTATACCATTCACCTCTGGAAAGTAATCCTTCCAAAGGCGCCTCGCTTGCAAGTGACCGCCTAAATCAAAGGTGGTAAATCTGACTGAACCTATCGCCAATTCTTCTGACGTAGGATGTAAAGTTGGTTGTAAAGTTGCCAATCTGTCATTCTTCAACATATGCAATAACGTCGTCTTACCAGCATTATCTAAACCCAAAAAGAGCAATTTCGCATGCTTGTTCCATAATCCTAACGATGATAAGACATCTTGAACTGTAAAGCCCCTTGTTAGTATTGTCACGGAATCACCAAAGCTGTTACTGTAATACTCTCTTCAATACTTACACCAATCAAGTATCCACATGGCAACTTATTCTTTGTTCTTCTTAATGTAAACTAACTCGTTCGAAAAAATTCGACCCTGGCCACCTTATAAATATTGTATAGATTTGGTTCAAATTCCAGCACGCCAGAGGAACTTCAGGTGTGCCTTTGCGATTCGATTTGTTACACAAATTAGAAGACCAAGTTACACGACTTTGAGCTCTCTCCTCGGTAGTAGTACCGAAAAGCCAATATCTGTATACAGGATAGTGAAGGCGTTTAAGATATTGAAACGGTGCTTATGTGCCCTTCCCAACAGCGGATAGTAATACAGTCGCCCGATTGAATCTATAGCTGCAGAACGGCCCTGCACAATCGGAGTAAACAGTCTACTATACCTTAATAAGACCTCTTTTCAGCTCTTACTATATCATTCGGACGCAATATAGGATGCCCTAACTTATCGTGTTCGTAAAATGCCCAAATTTATGCTTGTTGGTTGCTCGTCACACTTCAGTTATGCCCCAGTGGGTGCCTTTTAGTCACTGAATCCAGGGCCAGGGCTGCGCATACTCCTTTTTCCGTATAGCGCCTCACTGCCCCACTCTAACGTCTATATATATAATCGGTACGAAAGAGTTGGCTTTACATGTAACTATGCCCACTACAGTGACAAGTTGGGGCTTGTGTTACAATTCAAAAAGCATAGTTGAGAGTCGTTAGGACTAAACTGAGCGTAAATACTAAAGACGAGCATTAGCATGGAAGTCAATAGATCAAGATCGATATCGACAGCATCCAAGAGTTTTAAGGGCCGGCCCCATTCATCTACTACAAACTCAATGGACTCAGCACAGTCCGAGACTTTGAACAACATTTTGGGGGAGGATTCGCTGACTCAACTGCCATGGGGCAAGATCAAGTTAGAAAATGAGGTGGACTTGGAGAAACAGCTAATAATCAGTGCAGGAGGAAAGAGGGAGTACGTATGTGGGTTCATTTTAAAGCTACTTCTTTTAGGAACTATGGTGTTGGGCTGCTGCTTTTTAATATTCAAGGCTCTTCAGGGAGTGTAATAGTGAAATCGGTAATGTCAGACATACCCATTATTCAATCTGAAAAAAAGACCTAATATTTCATAAAACTATGCTTTAGGAAGTCTTCATCTATAAAGCAAAGTGATATCTACTAAACAATCCTTCCGCTGATTGAGGAGTATATATAGTTAACAAGATATGTTTAAATCGGTGATTATATGCCGGAACGTGTTTTATTTTGTATATGACTTAAATATTTCTAAATTGCCTAATAAGAGAGTTCTAAGATAGGTCTTGCGTCTGATTCATGGAACGTAGAAGCCGACTTGCATATTTGTATTTCATAAAGTACTATTCAAACTCCACTAAGGGAGATAATTCAGCGCTAGTGGAACGGTTCAATCAAATCTTGGATGAAAAACTTTCCGCCACTAGCCTGACAATCAATAAGAGTCCTGAGTTTCAAGAAATAATAAAAAAATATAACTCAGAACAACAAAAGAATGTTTCATATAGGCAACGTAATCAGCCGAGACTCTCTATGCTTAAAAATGAGTCTGCTTTATCGTATAACAGACATGCAAGAGAATTAGCTGATCCTGCCTTGACGAGGCCATGGTCAGGATCAGAGTCTGTGCACGATGCTAACTTGAGGATGCTAGTAGATCTGCAACCTAAAGCAAAGGTCGTAAACCTATCTGTTGAGCGAAAGCCAAAAATAAGCTCAGCTCAAAGGATTGGAAATGCAAGAGAGGATTATTTGGACTACAAGATTAATAAAAAAAAAGATGATAATTTTAAGGAAATGTATAAGGAAAAGCTTTTGGGTTTTTCTATGCTACTCGATGTTTCGTCGCCACATACTGCGATTGGAATGGCAACTACTTTGGCAGATACTAGAATAAATGCTCAGATCAATCAACGAACTGGAACTTTTGATCACAAGTCGATGGAGAATGTTAGGGGAAAGCCTTTAAGCAAGGAGCACCTAGCTAATTGTATGGACAGTAATTATTTCATGAATCAAATTTTGACTAAACAAGAAGTTCTTCCGCCATGGATCGAGAGTCAACAAGGAATCAATAGAGAAATTAATGGCTTTAGAAAAGTATTAGATAACATCTGGTATAAATCTTTTTTTCAACTAATTGATATTGAGAAATATTCAAAGGAGGAAATCCTAGCACAGTTCAGTACTATCGACAAATCTTCTTTATATGATTTGCTGACGTTAAATGTTCAACGACCATATTTGCAGGAAAAATTAAAATTAGTTAACAACTCTATTCGATCATATAACTTGCAGTCTCCATCTTCTAGCCTCCATAAATTTAAATTAGATTTAGACAAAGAAATCGGCAGTCTGTTTGATAGGGCCATATCTAATCTAAATTACAGAATCAATGAGATATTCCGGGCGAGAGAGGAACGGAAGACTTCATTATTTCAACATAAGGGAACCAGTATGTTTGATCTATTTTCTAATTATTCAGCTCGTGGTTCTTCTATTGGAACCGGCGATTCTGTGCCTCAACGAAAATTCGATAAAGTTGACCTTTGGAGCTCATTCAAACAAATGTTCAAAGAGATTTAGCATGCTCAAATACTTTTCAGTATATCAATTTGTAAGCGATAATAGAAAATAGTAAAACGATTTCAATCTTCCAAAGGCGAATTAGAATAAATAGTATACCCTTATCAGAGGATGACTCCTCGCATCTTGATAAACTAGAAGCAAACGCTTTACTCATCTCTTCCCTCAGGAAGACTTTGATAGCTCTCTCGTAAGCATTTTGCCCTAATTGCGTTTTAATTTCTGTGTTGAGTTCAAGGAAATATTCAATCATAATTTTTGCCCAATAATGGCTATTAGGTTCTTGGATGAATCCAGTTGCGGAATCAAGGTTCATCCCATCATAATTGACAATTGTTTCCAATGGGCCCCCATGGTTAACACCCAAAACTGGTATCTTAAAAAGCATTCCTTCAAGTGGAACTATACCAAAATGCTCAGAACAAGGAGTATATAAGAGCATCTCTGTATTCTTTATCAATGCCTTTTTCAAAGAAGTACTTATGGAAGGTAGAAATAAGACATCTGTGGAAGGAGGCATAACAATTAACTTTCCCCTAATCGTAAAATTCGTTAGCTTAAGATTGTCCGATATTTTTATAAGCTCATTTAGATATTCCACATTCTCGGTTACTCTTGAGTCATATCCACCAGCTATGACTAAGACTGGCTTTTTAGTCAAAGGGATAAGCTTTTTGAATTTTGCAAATGCTTCTATTGCAAGTTCGATGTTTTTGGTCCTCTCAAATCTATTGATCGATAGAAAGTACAGAGTTCCTTTGAAGAACGTTTTGACATCAACAACTTTTCTTACCTCTTCTTCATTTAGATCCGTGGAGTTGACATCAATACAAGGGTATATTACTTCAGGTTCAACATTTCTTAGCCTCTTGAATGTTTTATGAAAAATACTTTTAGTAAAATTTGAATTGACAATAATACAGTCACTTAACCCTGTAGTCCATTCTTCAATAAAATTGAAAGGTATTCTATAAAGCATCTTGATAAAGCCTTCTTTTTTAGATAACATTTGATCCGGGAAATGACAGTAAAACATGATTTTGCAGTCTCTTCTACTAAATTGGATCAAAAAGGGGACGCAAAATGAAAGCTGATCTACTATAAAGTAATCAAATTGTTCGATTTCTTGAGTAATAATTAGCTTCAAAACTAAATATAACTGCCTTAATATGGCAAATACTATATGTAGCTTTTTGCATATGCTTGTTGGTAAGAAGTCCCCGTAGACTTCAACACGTAATTTTCCAGAGCTAACTTCTTCAAAGCAGTGTGATTTGTCACAATGCGAAGTAAATATGCTAACATTGTAGTTCAAATCCTGAAGACCCATTGCGGAATCAACTACTAATCTCTCAGCACCTCCAATTCCTAGATCTGGATGGATAAACGCGATCTTCTTTGAGCTACCCTCGTAGACTTCCGTCATATTGGAAAATGATAGTCTTTGCTACTAATTATCTCGAATATGAAAAAAATGAAAGTTTTCTATTTATTGCGAATTCTACATAGCGAGAAAAGTAAGATTGATTTAATAGATATTTTAAAGCACTTCTTTGTGTTCAGCAATAATTTGAAGCTGCTCTTCTCTCTGTTGTCTTTTCTTCAACTTTTCGGCTTTCCTATCGTATTTAACATCTTCAGGATTGAAGCCAGCTTCATTAGAACCCCATACAGCCCAAGCGGGCGTTTCTTTTATATAGTCTAAGTCAATGAACTCCTTTCCGCTTTTGAGGAGCTCAAAAAACTTGGGATAATCAATATGAGTAAACCATTTCCCATCAATTTTGAATTTTTCATGAGCGATTAGTATGCAACATGAATGAGCATGTTCTGCAGCAATATCATAATGGAACCCTCTTGATTTCAATTCATGAGTAAGATTGAGAACAAATTGCTTACACTCTTCATAAAATGGGATATTTTGCATGGTAAGGGGGTTTCCGTTTCCTGACGAAGAACCGCAAAAAGTTGCACCTTTGACTTCAATCTGGGACGGCTGTGCACGTACTACCATGTCAGCATATCCCCCCACATCTCCCATATTGAATCCTTTTACTAAAGTCAATCTAAAAACCGTTCTCTGGTGTTTTTGAACTGTCCTTAATATATCCAAGCATGACGTCAATCTCTCCCAAAAATCACCGTTCAAAGGTCTATCGATCTTTTTTAAGTCCACTTTCGTGGGCGCATCAATACTTACGTAAAGCTGTGTCACTCTTTGCAATCTTCTCAATTGCTCGGGATGCTGCGCGTTACAAACCAAAAATGATGATATTTGTCTGTCATGTAACATTTGGACTAATTCATTAATGTGAGGGTAAAATATTGGCTCTCCAACTAAAGATAAAGCGCAATGCTTGACTTCAAAAGCTTCCTGAAATCTCTCAAGTTGGATACCTGGGACTCCTCTCATTTGTTTGATTTTTTGATAATGGCCCCTCAAAGCGCCTTCTATAACTTTTTCAGGTGGATCTAATTCCCACCTCCAATTTGATTTAGCAACTGGGTTTGTACCGTGCCTCCAACAAAAGACACACTTATTAGAGCACGCTAAAGACGGTGTCGTCTCCATGCATAAATGAGATCTAATTCCATAGAAAGCAAATTTGTAACAAGAGCCTCTTCCTCTCAAGGCACTTTTTGTCCATCTGCAAATTTTAACTCCTGAGTGAGATCCTACAATCGTGTATCCCTGCTTGGTTAATGATTTGAATGTAGGAGAATTTTCAGCGACCATTTGCTTCGTGAGATTTGTTAATTCGTCAGACGCTGATTTCCTTATCACACTTCCAATGTCCTCGACATCAACAAGGGTGTCACTACCATCGCTTCCATCATCTTCTTCATAGTCACTATCCTCAAACTCCTCATTTTGTGTGATATAAAACGGTTCATTGTCCACCATTAGGGCTGCGAAATTTTGAATCCACTCATTCGATTTTGGCTCTCCTTCGAATTTCATACAAACATTTCCCAAAGGATAAAGTCTTCTACCACCAAGTTTTGCCAAAAACTTATCCGCTAGTTTCGCTTGATAACAAAACTTATCTCCACCCCAAGACTCTGAATCTCCTAAACCCAAAACGGCAAACCCCAATAATTTGCTCAAAGGGTACTTATCAACCCTAAAATCATTGTGGGTTTCTCTTAAGTGTTCCAAGAAATAGTCAATTGGTGAGTCAGTCTCATAAGATGGTAAAACTAATAAATATATGTTTTTTCCACTATCTCCAGGTGTCTTCAAAAAGTATTCTTCGAGATCATCAACATCCTCATCAAGACTTAGTAATTTCGGTTTAAGTTTTAAATCATCTATGTTTTCAAGTTTTTCATATAGACCCTTAGCAACTCTTTCAGAAGAACCGGTTAATGTTGTATAGAAGATAAATACTTGAGCTTCCAAGAGTTTCACCGAGGATTGCGTTAGAACTGGCTCTCTCTTATCTGTCTGCTTGTTGATAGGTTTCGATGCTCGGATTATTTTTGGTACCCTTCTTCCTTGAGTCCCTTTCACGCGCCCCTTATTATTCAGTAGAGTTTTTGATGCGGGCCCTGAAGTCGTGAAATCAACAGCATATATTGGCGAATTCAGACCATCTATTCTCCTTGTTATTTCATTCTGTGACTCCAAATGATATTTATGTTTGAGCCTACGAGAATGAACAAATAGGAAAACAAAAAGGCTCAAAGCAAATGTCCATCTACCCCCACTGATCAAATATAGAGCTATCGCTAAAACCGCTATTGCTATGCTCATAGACATCCTTCCTGTTGGCTTGATTAGTAGAGTGAAATTTAGAAAATTTTACTTACTGCGATGCTAACGGTTCACGATGCCTGGTATGCAGGATTATACTAAAGCATGTTGCATTACGGTCTTGGGCAAGTACGATAGGAAAATACACATCAAAAATCTTTGAAAATTGTTAAATTGTTATGCTTGACACCAATCATATAATTTAGTGTTATGATCTTCGGAATTATATCATATACAAGGATATGGTTTCTTTTTTTATATTTTATATATGCTCAAAGTACAAGATATGCTATGGCTCACTCATAGCATAGTATGTCTGAGTGACTGTAAAAGAGAAGATAAAATTGAATGAATTGCAACTTCACTCTACAATTTATTCTACCTTTTATCTTATACTTTCTAGACTTATAGGAAGAACATCTTGGTAATTTTGAATTAATTGCAGCAATTACAAAAATTTTAATAAAAGTATGTCGCAACCTGGTTCAGTAAAAGAACATACTTTTATTAGTTCCAACCAACTTAGATTGCCCTACGAAGAATACAAAACAGAGAAAGCAGACATTAATGATACACCCTCAATTAGCGAGGATGTTGAGAGATCAGAAATTCTTCAATTTAATAAATTTCCATTTCCAGATAATAGCCACGATTTTTTTGACATCAGTCATAACGGGAAAGAAATTGTACTTCAACCATCAGATGCAACTCAGGTAAATAGATCAAGAGATCTTAGTAACTATGTCTTCAATCATTTCATTCAAGAAGAAGACACATTAGTTGGAGAATCTATGAAAGAAAAAGACGCAGCAGATATTGGTGATCTTTTAAATTTGGATTACGTTTTAAGCGATGGATGGACACCCAGCGATTCAAATAACATCAATCACTTCTCTAACTTTACACAAATATCAGAGCTGTCAAAATGTCAGATTAGTTCATTTGGACAGGATTATCCTATTCATCAAGAAGAAGGACTCACATCAGTAGACTATCAAGAACAAGGTCATATCGAGACGGTGTTAGGAAAGACAGCATCGATTTCACCTAATTTACCAGTATCACACGGCAGTAGTGCTTCAGAGAGTCTTGCTAACTGCAAAAAAAGAGGCAGAAAGAGCTCGCATTTTGAGCCAGGGGAATCATTAAACGATCGATTTTTAAAATACAGTAATTTTGGACAAGCCAATGATAAGGTCCCTTTATCAGTAGTGGGATCTTCTGTAACATGTTTATCAGTCGGAATTGATTATGGGGGATATACAGGTACTATTTTGGAGCTTATTGAAGATTGCCCTAGTCTCTTGAACAATTACTGCAAACCCCATAATACTGAGGAACAAAAGCAAAACGCATTGGTCTTGTATCTGGACTTCAATGGCCCAATATCGTCTGCTTCTGCTGTGAAGCAAAGAACGAAGTATGTGAGAAATATTGATGCTATTCAAAATTCTGTTCGAGATATAGTCTACAAAACTAGTTCAGTATTTAGTTTACTGAACCCATATGAACCTCAATATTATAGGTTCGAATTGAATGAAAATGGGAATCTTGCGAATGAGACAAAATGCGGGATGTGTCCATACTGCGAAGAAGTTAAATTTCTTCCATTCAAAAATAGCAGTTATCTTTCACATTTAACATTAGAACATGGGATCTTCTCTAACAATTATCTTACTCCTAACGGCCTCTACTATGGTAAATATTTGATCTCCAAGAAGGATAAGATTGGAGCTGAAAAGAATAGTCCGAAAGCTCGTGAGGTTGATGGAATTCAATGTCCACAATGTTTCGAAGTGATTGAGGTAGGTTGTTGGAGTATGAAGTCAAATAAATTATTGAGCTACTTTAGACATTTCAAGAATAAACATGGAGATGAAATTGATTTTTTAAAAGACAAAGCCATACAAGATCCAGCTATTCAACCGCGAGGAAGGACATTGAAAGTAATTGATTGATAACTTTATAACTTCCAATTTCAATTAATAAAATATAAGTTATTTAGTTACTACTCCATATATATATATATATTTTATATGATGTTTTTGTGTAATAAATTCGACGTTTGATATTCTTGTTCAAGAAACCAAAGCATATCTTGCAAGAGAAACCAATAAGCCTCATACTCTATTTATTAAGGGAAATCAACAACGCTTTACACTGATAACAACAAAGGTTGTCTTTTAAGCTTTCGTGAGTTTCGAAGACTATTACAGATAACCTTTACCATTTCTCAAATTACAACCTAATTCCTCTTTAATCAAGAGAATGTCCAAAACCAAGTCACAAATAATCACATTAGCCGAAGTTAGTGCACTTAATAAGAACAATCAAAGAGAAAAGCCAATTGTTTGGACAGATTTTGGGGTCTACCTTGACAAGAAATTAGAACACCACATAGATCCGAACGATAAAAAAAGATCAGCTGCAGCTAGTTTATCTGGAGATAGTTCGTTTTTGTCTCAAAATATTAATTATAGAATTTGCAAATCCTGTGAAAGACCAGTTGGAGAACAGAGCTTACGTTCTCACTATCTGAAGTGTATAGAAATGAGACACCGGAAACAAGCAGAGCTGAACTCAAACACAAATTCGGAGACGATAAAGAAGAAGAGGGGAAGAGCAACCAATTCTCTTTTGGATGTTGATAACTCTTCGGTAGACTCATCGAGGAATAGTACACCTAATCCGGGCACACCTAGTGGCTCGGGAAGACCCAAGAAGAAATATAAAAAGTCGCAGAGCCAGAAGGAAAAAGAAGCAGCTAATGCAGCAGCAGCTGCAGCTGCTGCTGCAGCGGCTAGCACCGATGGAACTTTATCAGCTGGATCTGATAATGTTGTATCAAAAAAGAAAAAGCAAACTAAGCCCAAAACAACTGCTAAGCCGAAGGGTCCAGTAGATGTCGAAAAACAGTGTGGAGTTCCATTACCATCTGGTGGCTTCTGTGCTCGATCTTTAACCTGTAAAACACATTCGATGGGTGCTAAGAGAGCAGTTATGGGCCGGAGTGCGCCTTACGATGTATTGTTGCAACAATATCAGAAAAGAAACCAAGCAAAATTGGCGGCTAATAATGCTCTTGCTGCTCAAAGAAGGGAAAATGCAGCATTCCACGGCAACGGTAGTGCCTTTAATGAGGATCTAAATGGTACTGGTTACAGCAAGATTCTTGATCCAGATGAGGAGACACACTTAGTTTTGGAAGGACTATCAAAGAATAATCCAATGCCTTTGGAAGAGAAGGTTATAATGTCTACTAGGTACCGTCACAGATTTTTAGCTATGAGAGAATTTTACGCGGACTCTTTGATCACATCTGGAGGAAATAGTGGCCAGAATGGACAAGCAGGTGCGCAAAACAGTGAACAGACATTAGCAAATCAAGCAATTTCGGGTTCCATCGGAGGCTTGCAAGGTCGCTGTGCCTTAATCAACGTTGATACGAACTCTGAGAGCACCCAATCAATTTCTTCTGTAAGCGGAGAGATGTATCAGGTAAGAGCACCCCTGAAGGCTGTCCTTTTAACAGCTCAATATAATGCTATGCAACAACAAATGTTCCAGCAGCAAGTTATGAAGCTCCAACAGCAACAACAGATGCTTTTGAGACAACGCCAAGCAAGAGCAGCGGCTGCAAAACAGGATCAGTTACCGGCAAGTACAAAATAAGTAAAGAAAGAAGCTAATTAAAAATTAATATATTAATTAAGTATGTAATTTCATA